AAGACCAGCATTAACCACCATACACATTATACACTAGAGATCACTATTTTAGAATACTTTTAAAATATCTCTTTCTTTGTATAATTACATCATGAAAATGATAATCATGAAATGAAAGCACTTTTAACGGAACTTGTATCTTGAATGTTATGCTGCTATCCATGAGCCCATTCCTGATTGTGTGAAAGGGGAACAGGATTGCAGAGTATGTGTTTTAAGCTTCTTTTTTTGTTATACATTGTAGAACCACAGACTCAACGTCTGTTAAGGGAAAGATACACCCTAAATGACGTATGTATGTTTGTTGTGTTATGTTGCCGGTAGTACACTCGAGCGGCACAAGTGGGGGCGCCCTTTGAACATATACCAACCCATTCAAAAAGCGCACAAGATATTGCACTTGGCATATTCAATAAAAAGTGCTATCACAGTGCCGTCGACGAGTATACTCGCCCCCACCCCCACCCACCTCCTAATATTTTCCCGCCAACTTATTATACACATCATTTTGATGATATACAGTATGAATAGAATTTCAAAAGTTTTTTTGTACAGTACATGTCAACGTGTTAAAAAGACTAAGAAATTTACTGTCAAGATACATATCTGCGACACTGAAGATGTCAAAGCAGTAGAAAAAATTGGTAAACAATGGTATAACCACAGAATACATAAAAAATTAGGTCAGTGGTCTTCCTTCCTGATGGATGTTTCTTTAATCAACCAAATTGTTGACATTCATTTAGAAGAAAAATACAAGGCAAGTTGAGGCTGACTGGCAGGGTGGCTGGAGACGAGATAGCACTGTGAGAAAGGGAAATGCTGTTATCTTTAGATGAGTACTTGGTGTTATCATAACTGATACTGATTTGATGTAACTCATTGGTTACACTTCCATATGTATTGTCAAATTGAGACTGATTGATGTAGTTGTCAGATCCCATATGAAATGTGTCATTAAAGATAATTATAATCAGAGAGGAGAGCTGAACGACTTCCTTTCCGAACAGATACAGGCCTACAATAGAATCTGTGGTAAGCCAATAGAAGTTTAACAATAATACTCGATATTTCAACTGTTTTAAACTTTGTATGTAAGTGACAGTTATGGCTGTTTTATAGTTATATCGCCCTCTGGGGTTGACCTGGTTTTCTCCGGCCTCTTCAATTGCAGTGGTATATTATTACCATTAAAAATAATAATAAATAAATAAATAAATATATTTATTTTTGTATAAGTTGCATTGTCATTATACCTCACCTGTCGGTGCTTCGGTTATAACGCTAGCGCGGTGTTACTGTAGTATCATTTTTAGTATTTTAACCCACTCAGTGGAACTAATTTTCCGCCATGGGGAGGGGGTGCGTTCCCCAGCACTCAAGCAACTGAACAACTCATTTAGCGGTCACACGATTTAATACATCAATACTGTACTAGCATGAAACACCAGCCGAGCACTTTCCCAGCAGCAAATGATGCTCACAAAAAACCATGTCCTCAATTATGCCTCTGTTGATTGACAATGGCATATCTTTAATATGGTAGGGTGTGGGGCACACGCAGGCTAAAAAAAAACCCTTAACCTCATTTTGTGAGCTAGCACCCTCTCACTTAATCATTGGGCCCCTTCACCTAACCTTTGCATCCCCACCCTTCATTAGCTATCCATGTTAATACCCTTATGCACCATTGTTGACTGGAAGTACTTTACAGACTTAGTTATTGCACAATCAAGTGCAAAAGAAAATTATACAGCAGTAACAAAGTAGTCAAACTTATGATGTTAGGTTGTGAAAAAGTTATAGGCCTACGATCTTCATACCAATCATAAGATGAAAGGTTGGCAAATCATCTCAGTACACTAATGATGTCCTGCTGATTATGAACTTGTGGACTTCAACCACATCACTGAATGGATGTCTGGCTGGCAAGAATCCAACTCAAACTCCAAGTGAGGAACTTTTCTGGCTCATAATTGTTATTATAATATACCACAGCCCTATTACTCACCAACTTAAAATGTTACAAGCTTTATGGATGAATACATACATGACAGATTGATACCTGATGGAATGCAAAACTTCTGACTGAATAATAAAACTATCACACTGAGAACATTATCACATTACACTAAAGCAAACTAAAGTCAAATATGAAAGAATTTCATCTGGTTTGCAAATTTATTTCTATACCAAATAATAAATAAGCAATCTTTCGTACTTGCGATGTTTTAACTAATTCAGTTGAAACGGCGCAAGTACAGTAAGTATGGCAACACTTTTTTATACCATGTTTTGTGAACTTACTTTGTTAAAGATGGGCGACAAAAAAATAAAAATAAAATTTGGGTTTTTCATTTAGCAAAGAGTTTTGCCAGATGGAGGAGAAAATAAAAATAAAATTTTACTGGTGAATATCAACACAAAACAGTGTAGTAATGGAATGGTTTAATGCTTTTAATTTATAAAATTAAGAAGGAACATACATATCATATTTTTGAATATTTCAATGTAGCAGCGGGTGTAATAAAAATAATGAAAAACATATCTTTTTTCTAAAATTTCCATTTTTTTTTTGTGATGGCTGGTACGCTAATTGGCCAAAAATCAAATTTTATTTTTATTTGAAATCATTATTATTGGCGGGTGGAGGGTTCGCTGAACAAGGTATAAAAAAATTCCACTTGTTTAATATCTGGTTTAGAAAGAAATTAGAATGATGATATTATCTTTACCAAATTTTATGGAAAAATAGAAAACTAGATGAGGACAATTACGAAATGAAGAACGACACAAAATATCTTTGTCAACCATACAGTAGCCAAATAAACATGCTTATGTAGCAGTTGTACCAAAGATTATAAAAATCAGGGCATTGATTTCGAGTGGTGGTTGGATTAATCGAAAATTCCATAAGGAAGGATTTTAGGGTAAGCTTAGCAAAATGAAGCATTTGATAGGACAGTTTGGATTGTAAGTACCTGGACAAATTGGATGGTAACCCTTTTCATACAATTCGATCAAATGGAAGGAGAAAATTTGATGGGAAGGACTTTGGCTTTGGAAGAGATGAAAAGGTTGAAAATTTAAAACTGCAGTTCCATATAAAGTCCATCCTAGGAAATAGCCTACTGTACTGTACTTTCTACTTTGAGTAACATTCACTTTGCTTATGATTGAAAATGTAAACCAAAAAAGAAAAAGGGAACAAGGAAATAATGAAAATTTCGTAAAGGAAAAAAAAAGGGGAAAAAAGAATGTGAAAGGTGTAAACAGAATGTCTATTACAAAGGTACAGTAATTAAGGTTAAAGAAAATGAAAATCAGGAGGAAAACAAAAATATTTAATAATTGGTCCACTGTTGTGTATGTATGTTTGTTTTATTTGGGGGTATGCTTTTTTACGTACAGTAGGCCTATGTATATGTGTAGGTTATTGGTGGGTATGTGTGTGGGTGTGGGCGTGGGTGTGTGTTTGTTGGTGTATTTATGTATGTTTGTGTGTGTGTGTAGGTGTGTGTTTGTATAATACATATATTGCATGTAGGTATGGAGGAAATGATTTACGGGAAATGTGCAATTTTCTCCTACTTAAAAAAAAAAGTATGCTTACAAAATTCAATTAATTTTTCTTTTAAATTTGTTTTATATTGTAATAATGTATAAATGCAAAATTGTTTTGAATTGTGAACGCATATGTAAATATTGGTACAGCATAAGATCACTGTATAATAGGAGAGAAAACGAAAAATTGAAAATCATGAAAAAAGAGGACAAATAAAGGTGGGTGATCCCCACGAAAGACAAAAAAAAAAACATTCATGCCAAATTACCTACCCATGTATAAGTCCATCCCAAATTTCAGAGAGTTCTAAACTTTGTAAGGTCTAAAGAGACTCAAGCTAATAACCATACTGTTTGTATTAATATAATACTGGTATAAGACCCCCAAATCTGCCAATTGTTTTTCCATGGAATGTGGATATAAGTACCTGAAAAAAGGTAAAAGAACAATGGTTGGGCTTTGCCAACTGGTACCAAACCATACAACATTATTGCATGATTAATGGACCATAAGGAAACAACATTCACCCACACAAACCATTGTAAATGTAATCTAATAAACCAGCAGTGAGACACCTTCAGGAAATCATTAAGTTGTATTAAACAATCCCTGGTTATAATAACAATATTATAACCTAAATAATAAATAACTCAAAATGTTCCTGAATGTGTCACAACCACAACATAATCTGTATTTACTGACAATTTTGAGTTACGTTTACTTGGATATCATAAATTCTGTTCTTGGTTTTGTCCATTTATGATATAAAATCAATGAAATAAAATCACAATCCTAAAATTGGATAATAAAATACAACCATAATGTACCGATATATAGGACCAAAATAATATTCCAGTCGTCTCTGCAGTTATGTTTTTTCCAATGCTTGATGAATCCAAATCCTCCCTCTTTCTTCAATAATAAGAATTATCAACAACTGCCAAATAAGCATGCTTACATTGAGCAGTTGTGCGAATAATTCCAATAGTAAGATCGTTGGAGCGCTTGTCTTATGTTTAAACTCCTTCTGCCATTCCTGCTTTAGATCAGCTCGGCACGAGCGGATAATGTACCGTACAGAATGTTAACAAATAGCCTCTCAATTATGTTTGTTTTACTCGCTCCAAACTCTAATACATGATTTGAGAACATGCGCCGCAAAGAAGATTATCTCTGCAGGAATCCTTTTTGAAGAACATGTAGATTGCAATGGTTTCTTCACCTTGACTTACATTCTCTATGTTGTGTGACTGTGTAATGTAGTTAAATGCGCATTCTTTAAATGTTATTGCATGTTGATTGACAAAAAAAAAAAAAATTACAAAATATCATAAGCAGTTGGCCTACTTTTGAATGGCCTTGGGAAGATTTGTCCTTCCATGATTTTGAAAATGGAAGAGTATTTTGACCACTGAGCTACATATTGCTTACTTACCCTATCACCTTTCGTTCCATTGCATATACATCTTGGAGCTCCTTGACAACCAACACAAGCCTGAAAAAAACAAACATAACATCCATCAACTGAACATCATTAAACTGTCTAAAATATCAAAATTAAAGTGAAAGAATCATTATGTACACTAAATTGGAAACATATAAATAAAAAATTAATGGAAACATTTTTTTTTCCCTCTGTGAAGTATAGTAAACATTTACTTATTGACCGGAATCCACATTAATAAATTCTTCCCTATCTAAACACCTGTCAAACTTAATTTTAAAACACGTCTGCTGTCATACAGTAGTTACAGAAACATAACCCGGTATCCCATAATTACAATTTCCATAGTTACAATAATAATCTTCATGGAGGTAGGATTATTATCAAAAGGTCACACCCTTGCCTTCAGGGTCCCTCCAGCTATTTTCTTACTATAATCAGGGTCATACATTGGGAGAGGACCAAGCTGAAAATGTTGACCAGTATTCATCACAAAACAGACTGAAACAGTGAAAGTATACAATTAGCGGCAAATCCAGAATTTTTTTTGCCAGGGTAGTGCATGAGGCCATCTAAGATTTAAAGTCAGAATGGGGCAGAACCTATCATGGTCCAGAGTACTAGTAGGTTTAGGGGTGTTAGCTTTAAGTAAGTATTTATTGGGAAATTACACCTTTATATCGGTGGCACACACAAAGGTGGTGCATCCACAACTTATAAAAGAACAAAATTATAAACAAAGAATTAAACTATTAACTTAATTAACAAAAAATATATATAAAGGCCTACACTTACAAATTGAAATTGGCAATTAAAAGTACTACTCTAGACAAAGAGAGAGGGGTCCACCAACTAGGTGAATACAGAGCAGAGTTTATTTATATTTATTTTTTTATTTATTTTGTTTCTTTTTACTACAAATGTTCTTAGTTAAAAGGATTTTCATTGTTACTTTATGTATGTTCGTGAAGTTTTGAAATAAATAAACCTTTAGAATGTTGAATGAATGAACTACCTGGAGAAAGTAGCCATGAATATGGCAACGCTTTCTCTGTGTATGAAGCATTATTTATTAGTAAACAGTTTTCATAAAATATATAAATATAAGTTTAAGAAAGAAAAGAAATTGAAACAAAAATCAGAATCTCATTAAAAAATTACTTTACACACAGTATTACAACTACCAGACAATTAAATAGGTTCATTTAACACAGCGTTACGTAGGGCCCATACTTATTTTATGTAGCTTTTACAATAGAGATCGAAAATTCTGTCAACTTCTTTTTAAATCAATGCATGTGTTTCATTAGGAAGGCTGTTACCACTGCCTAAGCTAGTTTCAACTTTAGTGTTGGACTGCCTGATATTAAATACAGCCAGAATATATGATGGTTACTATTTAGTATTAGATAAATTGTATTCAAGTTCAAAATTCAATTGCTCGTACATTAGCAAAGCATTTGCATTTAAACATAAAGAATGTCTTCTTTACCATCATTGCATAGAGGGCATGTGCCATCATTTTTATCTTCCGATATACATTTCTTAAGGCTAAGCACAAAAGTGTTATTAGATCTAGCTTTAAATTTAAGGCTTGCCCCTTTTGTTATTCAGGTAGTGCGTAGCACTGCTGTGGTCGCGATGAGGCCAGGCCAACAACTTCGACCTTGTGCAAGGTGTGATGCTGCGGATAGGCTTAACCCTGTCATGGTCCTGATGGAATGAGACCAGGATATGGTCTACCTCGTCTTCTTTTCCCCTCTGATGTTCCTTGAATTAGAGAAGTTTCAAGGCTCCCGTGTCTTCTCATCAAATGGCCGAACAATTTAGGTTTTCTTCGGGACATACTCTCTTTCAGGACTAAGCCCGATCCAATTCTATCCAGCACCTGCTTGCCCTTAAGAAATCAAATTTATCTTAACAAGTACGGCTCTAGGTATGGTGTGGATTTAAGAGTGACATAAACTGATGGGACAATTTCTTTCTAGCTCGGTCAAATAATTGAATACCATCAATTCTTTCAATTAAATTTTTGGTTACATTTACCCAATTTTTGTCATTTAAATTTAGATTAAATATGTGGCTAATTCCACATAAGTTTAAGATTATACTACTTCCACTTAAATGTAGATGTACAACCAGTGTATAGCAAAGCACTAAATGCCAATCTGGGCCAACGGTTCATATCTATCTTTAATAGTCTATTCAGGAAATCAATACGTTGGGAGTCCTGAATAGCTGAAATGGATTTCCAGCCTAGATCTCCATATAAAGCTTCCTTACATGTATTACAGGGTGCTCTAAGAATTGCCTTAGCCATTTTCGTTTGTAATTTTTCAAGGCTTTGAATTTCACTACTACTGTACCACTATAAATATATAGGATTAGGGCTTTTGGAGCTTTAGCCATTTTCTAAACGCCTATCTAAATGATTTTATAGTTTGTTACTGGTTAGTAATTTTTTGAACATTCTACTGGACATTCAATGGTCAACCACTGACAATACTAAGGATCTTAATATGAAAATCAAATACAGTAAAATCATTATTCATGGCATTATGATTTGATGCTCTATTTTGTTTAAGTTTCTATCTTCTATATTTTTCTTTCAACATAAAAAAAATAAATGTGAATTTGTAAATTTGTATTATATGTAGACCTAATGTACAGACAGGTAATATATATAAAAAAAACCCAATTAAATTACAGTAGAAACCATCAATTACGAACCCTGATTTAACGAATTCCCGATTTTACGAATGTAAAATCAAGGTGATGACGTCATAAAAAGTGAAGTGAAAATTAAAAAAAAAAAAAAAATATATATATAAAAAAAATCCGCTCGAATTGTAACTGTTATTATCATGCATACAACACAACATATCAAAATACAGTACTATGTAATTTTCAAGTGAAGGAGGCCCTCTAATGTGCCTCTTCAAATTCAGTGTTTATTATGACTTCACACAAATTTTACTTCTCATTTAATCATCATTTTCAGCTTTAATAGTCAACATAGTGCTTGATTGTTTTATTGAATGATCAATATATATAATAAACAAGTATCTATGGAAGTTGTGTTGGAGTAAAATCCACAATCTACAGTAGGTAAAGAAGGTAAAAACGTCCGATTAAAAACAAATTTGTGTAGGGCCTAGAGTGGGATCAGAATGCTAAACTGCCTATTGTAAGCCTAGGCCCCCTCAGACTTATCTGCGTAGGCCTGTGGGCCTAGCCTATGGCCTAGTTTATGCCAGTGTAAATAGTACCAGTGCAAATATATAGGAATTTAGGTCAACCCCGATCTTATGAATACTCGCAATTACGAACAGCCCTGGGCCCGTGCCGTACGTAATTGAGGGTTTTTACTGACCAGAAAATAAAACAATCAATATTGGCCAGAGCAAATTCTAGAAAAATTAAAATAAATATGATTACAGTAACATCTCCCAATTATTGTACGAACCTCCATTTTTACCTACAAAAACACTTAAAATTGTATTCATGAACTCTCTGAATTACAAATTTTCTCAATTACTAACTCTGTTCGGACGAAGGGGTACGTAATTGGGAGATGTTACTGTACATTATTTATGTCATCATCAAAAGAAAGCATATTTTCATGTAGAACACTCTCAGATGTTGGAGAAAATTTTGAGTTTGCGTTAAAAAAAAAACTATGCAGACACATTGCATTGACGGGGTATTTTAGCAGTTTATGGTTGTAAGAAAAACTTGGACGAATGTTGTTTGTGATTTGAATAATACTTTGTGGTATTTCTAGAATTCAAAAAAACATTTCCAGATGATAAACTTGTCAAAGTTGGAAAACAAATGTCATAATTTACATCTGGCTCATAATTTGCAAAAGAAAAATGAACACGAAAACAGATAGAAATTCTACATTTTGATTGGAGCTATGCCCAACCTTACTCAGTACGGAAGGTCCTCAAACCAACACTTGCAAAAAAAAAAAATCTTGATTATTTTTGATAAATTTCCGCATGTCAAATACTGAAGGATAAATTAAATTGGAATTTGTACTTTTATTGGGGGTATTTCAGGATAAACAAATGTGAATAACACTGTTTATAGCTGCAGCCAAAATGTATCCTGCTTTTATGGTGAACTGCAATTAACAATGGTGTAAGAACAAGTAGACAACAAGTGAACAATGGGCCTATAAAATGCTATAATTGGCGGATAAATTTATTAAATAATAGTAACATAACGGTTAAATTTATTTATTTTTTTTAAAACCTTCAGAAGCAAATAATCATCATCATTTAATAATTTCTAAAGCAAACCAAATATGAACTCATCAAAGAACATGTTGCATGAATCTTAACACGATGGTATGGAGTTATAATCTTATGTTTTATAGCAAATAATTTATGGACAACTGATATTAAGTGAATTTTAATTTATATTGGAATTGATGAATAGGCAACATTGAAGTCATTACAATACAAGCCAATCAGAAAAAAAAACTTTATTTTTTGGGGGGTAAAACTAAATATTATTAGATACAATTAATTATGATTATAATTAATAGAAAAATAATTCTGTATGTGAATAAAATCAACAAAATGAAAACATTTTACAAACACACAATTAAGTAATCCCTATTAAATCACGTAAACATTTTTTTTTAACAAACACAAAAACTTTGTACCAGAGCCTCAACATTTTTTCAAGCTGGCCAAATCCTATTAAACACTTGACTGAAGGAAGGAAATATTTACACTCCGTTAAATTTGGTGGTATTAAATATTTACCAACCACTATGCTACTACTGTACTAATCTAATATTGAAAAGTAACTGTAGTTGCAGGTAGAAGGAATTGAAAAAACTCTATACCAAAATTGTGGGTTAGATGATCCTTCTAATAGCAGGAAAGTATATTATAAGATTGGAAGCACTATTTCACATTATAATTATATTTTAATTGGGTTGATAATTGACAAAGGAACTACTACTGAATCCATATAATCTGGTTTTGATAATTACTTATCAAATTTACCAAGCCAGTATTATACTATTAAATGTATCACATTAAATAGATGATAATTGCTTTTGAATCGATATTACTTTACTCACTCTGTAGATTTAAAATATCATGAGAAACTTACAGTAGCTCTTTAGATGTATAAATCAATTAAACACAGTAACAAACATTTCCTATTGTAATGAATGACATCTGTATCTAGCGAGATTTTGATGAACATTCATACACAAATAATGATGTACTTGGCAAAGAGAACACTTTGTAGGTCAACATTATTCCTGTAGGCCAAAACTTTAGGTTATTATAATTTCATGGGGGCCAGTGATAAAATATATTTAAGTTTAATTATATTTTTTAGGGAAAATTTATATTTCAGAATGAATGCTCAGAAAACTGAATGGTTCTTCAATATGTAGATTAAAAGTTTTGAAACTTACATGACAATACTTATCATGATAATACTCTGCATACATTTGCCATGGTATACTTCTAACCCATTGGTATAAAACTGTCTAACAGCATGGGTTCCATGGTTACAGTTTTATTTTTTCAGACAGGTGAAATTATATTAGACTTTAATAAGTTAATATAAATATTCGACTAACTTCATACACTACATCATAACATTATTCCCATGGTGTGAAATTGTTTTACAATGGTGTTATACATTACTTCCATGTATTATAATTGTATTAAGTCCCCGGATACAAATCCTCTCAGGGTTTATTTACAAAGATTCCAAAAAATGCAGCAGAAACTTTGATGAATGAGAAACAGAGCTCAAGGGTCAGAAACAAAAGTTTGCATTCCAATTAGGCATGGCAATGAAATTCCACATTGTACATATTCTCCAAGGCTTGTGTTTTTTATGAAAATATATATAAAAAAAATCAAAAGTAGCAATAACAATAAAAACACATTAATGAGATACATTGGATTCAGATCCGTGAGGTATCAATAACTTGAAGTGCTATATGTAGCCACAAAGCTTCTTAATACAGTGGTGTTGGCTTACCTCCTAACTGAATGTGGAAGAATATAAATTTCCAAAGTGAACAATGAATGCATTAGGACCTATAGTGCTTTAGGGTGGAGTTGGATTTTAAATATTTTCATGTTATTCTTTTGATTCTTCAGGGGTTAATGATCATGTCCAAAGATCAATGTCTCCTGATTTTGCACAATTTCTGCTCATTAGGCTCTGCCTGCAGTAGCAAATAAACAACTTGAAATTTAGGAAAATAAATTAATCTGAAATGAAAAACACGGTCTACACCAGAGTGGATGAAACATAATTTTCTTGCGGCTAACTTCAATTCAAACCAAAAAAATATTAAGCTAAAAGATAACAATAACAACTTCAGTCAAATCGCCCATAAAGCAAAAAAAAAAAAAACCCCAAAAAAAACCATACAACACTAACAAAAACATAGGTACACATCTTCCTCTTTTTTTCCCAAAAACATTTTTTTGGACTATTAAAAAGTACTTATATTTTAACCCCCATTACTGAGAGTTATTTGTCAAATTGTCCGACCTCTCATACCATACCCCAAAGGATACCAATAGTTAAAAGGTTGCTATACTGTATATTATTACTTAACCCTTGACCCTTAAATGACCCAAAATGTTTATAAGATACACTGATGATAAGCAATTGAATTGAAATCAAATGGCAGACAGGAAACCCCATGAAAAATGCTGATAACCTAACTTTATTTAAGATAAACAATAAAATTATTTGGTAAGTTGATGGAGACAGTGTGTCTGTTATGAATAGTTTACTTCAAAAAGCCAGCATTTGTGTAATGAATGTATGTGCGTGTTTACGTGGGGCGGGGGTATATAAGGGTCAATGTGGAAAGATTAAAAATCAAAGATGTTTTAGAACAGATAATGCCAAAATAATAAAAAAGACACCAAAAAACAGAGCTGGGCTTTGCCTGTCCAAAGAGAACTTAATCTCCCTTCATGAGACCTACCGTACCAAATACAACTGTGTCTGTTATTATTTACAGCCATCTTCGTGGAAAAAAGAACATCGTTATTTCAAAGTGAAACAACACTTTAATAACCTTAACGTATAATATATAGATAGGTATAAAGGTTGTTTAGGCAATATGCCAAGTGATGAAACTTAAAAGCCAAGCGTATAATTGCGGTAACCATGAGAGGATGATGGGATAATGAAGAGTATGTAAAAATCAGGCTGTGAATAAACGGAAATGAGGAAAGTAAAAAAAAGACGAGAATCACTAGATGACAAGAAATAAGTAATATCTAACAGAGTGGTCAGTGCATAATTCTTCATTGGTATATGTAGACACTATAAAAACGTTATGGCCAACTAAGCATCATACGATGCAGGCATGTTATTTGTTGTCAGGTCTGGTGAGTTAAAGGTCTGCGTTGGAGGCAGATCATGTCGTGAATAATAAACATTATTCTAACGACAACCTTAAAACCATCCCTGACAATAAATTGTGTCGGGCTTGCGATTTTAAACATTTCAAATAAAGATATACCAGTACCCGTAGGCCTCAGTTATAAAACAATTAAATCTTCATTTTTCCTACCCATGTTTGTATTAAATCGAAATGATTTTTATAGCTTTGTGTACCCTATGCTTCAATTAACAAGCACTCTTATGTTAACAGTAGCCTATATATAGTAACTTATTGTATTTAATATAAAAAATGCAGAAAATGAGGCTTATCAACACTACACTAGTAGGCCTACAAAGTAAGGTGCTACACTTTTTCTGGGATAGGGTGGATAGAATGGATGGTCATGGCTTGACCAATAATTGTTTCATCATTCAAACCATACATTATCATACATTATCATACATAACCTAAATTTTCCATTAAATTTTAGTAATTAACAATATGTTAACGGTATCAGGTCAACCTAGGTTTATATAATATTAGTGAATATACTGTTAACCACTTATCGAGAAATAAAAACTGGGTACTGCTGGCGTACTTACCGCGGCGGTAGCCAATTCGATGATCACGGCAAAAATGAGAACGCTGATCGTCGCTACTTTCCTAATCTTCATGTCTATGGTGATCTGCCTGTCCTTTGCCTGGCAAAGAACAGCTCAGCTCAACAAATTATCAAGTATTTTAGGCGAAAACTCTCTTCTTCGTGTGGTTTAGTAAAACAATTTTATGTTCTTTCTAAATCACTCTACCACCATCTTTCGCCTAGAGTTGGGATCGCGGGGATAGCTTCGCTCAACCAAATTTCTGCAAGTGGGATAGCCCAAAATTGCGTGTATGAATTCGACCGGAACTACTTGCTCAGTTCCATAAAAATCCCAGTGAACGTCCTTACAGAGTAAATGAGTAAAGCAACTAATTGTGCAGTTCATCCACTTTTTATAAAAAGAATAATTTTAATGACTCTTTGTAATTATTTTATATTTCTGTCGTTACTTCGATACGGATATTTGGTACTATTTTGCAAGGCGACAGGACTGCGGTACTTGAAACACACAGTCAAACTTGAGTACAAAGCCTACGACGAGAAGGTCAAATCTTAGCGGGGAAACCAGAGCCAGTGATTTGAGCAAAGTTTCTTTAAAAGGTTAGGAGAATTGCAGGAAATCAGCGCTATGAACTGTCAAAACGACAAGGGCGTGACTGTAAAACAGCTGTCTGGCGGAATTCCTCGCCAATGAGCTATGGAAAGAAACTGAGACTAAACGAACGATGCAATAACCAATTTGATTATTTACTTGTTTTCTTTACCAGTTGTGACCCGACTATAAAACGAGTTATCTTGCACATTAATAAAAAAATACCCGTTGGGGTTATCTTAGTCATATCAAAACCCGGGTCACACCCATATTGAAAAGATGTATTAATCACAGTACTAGTTTTTACGATATTTGTAAATTGTTGTTGAATGATAAAATTAAATACTTAGTCTTTTTTGTAAACTAACTACACACACCGTCTTCCAAATCGGTTACGTTACCAAGAACGCACAAGAAACTATGGTGACTTAAGTTAGTAACATACAGCAAAAACATCACAGTACTCAATTGGTCACAAACAAAATTTTATTTACTATTGCATGGTATTTTTTATAATTAAATTTTGATATACTAGGCCTATATAAAATTATAAAACAATACCACCATGTTGTTATATTTTTGTTATCTTTTTTCTGTTTATTGGCTTTGTTTAACTCCATCCAATGAACCATGAACCACCAAACGCTATTCAAACTTCAAAAATTGGATTTCTCAGTATAAATTATTTACATTTAAATGTTTTGCTGCTCGGTTGAGCATGGATGTGCGGGTACCGTGTTTTGCGGCCTGTTCACGCACATTTCTGAGGTGCACACGTGCTCTATATGTTGTTTTCATTTTTGATGATCCAAAAATATTGGGGAAATTTTGTTAAGTGGATCCAGATTAATATTTTCAATGATCATATTAAAATGTTTTGTAGGCTTCGGTAGCAATAGAGTAGGCCTATTTTCGTACATAGGCTGCTGGGTTAGCCTGGCCTGAGGGCATGCGCAAAATTAAAGAAAGTATTTATGGGCAGATAAACTTATGTAAGCATATCGTAGTATTATATAGCTAGCACTACTATAACAAAATATCCGACTTGTTTTCGGAAAAGAATGCCTTTAACCTTGATAGAAGTCCATCCAGACCTACAACTAGGCCTGTATACAATGGGATATGAATACAATCGTTTATTTGGGCAAATCATAGCAATCGCTTCCTGACGTCTTTTCGGCTTCCCTTTACTTGTGAGAAAGTTTCCTCAGACGATCGAATTATAAACGTATAATTTATTCCGAATTTCTTAATAGTTAAATGGTTTTAATATTCTATTTGACCTGTCGTAACGATTGTGGCATCTTAATAGTGGCCTTATCGTAAAATTGACGCCATAATTCGAATCATGTTTGTTTGAAATGTAAACATCCTGATCTATTACATGATTGGCATTTTCATTTAATGCGCTAAAATGGTCATCTACAGTACACGCGCAAAATATGCATACGGACAACTTTAAAGGTGCTTTTCTCTGCGGTTTTTTAATGTTATTTACAGAGGCAGGAAGATCTTCTCGTCTTATTTTTATACAGCCACGAGCCGGTACAATTGCACCAGTAGATGGCTGACCTGTGCTATGTTAATAAACAGTCGACATCAAGACTGTGTTATTTTTGTCAGTGACATCAAAGAACCTTTGAATTGAAACCACCGAGTTCCCTGTGCCGTTGGGTCAATGAGGAATGAAAGTACCCTTTATATATAATTAGGTCATGTTTATCTTGATCCATCGAACAGCCACCCAAAATAATTTTTTTTTAAAATCCATGGAGAAAATACTAGCTTTCTGGTTTGAATGCTTGGATTAGCATTGAGGTATACAATTATACCTAATGGTTCTTGAGCACACCCCATCAAAAGTCATCAAGCACCAACCACACGCAACACCGGACACACGCCCACGTACTCACTCACACACATAGGCACATAAAGTACTCACTACTGTATTAGTACCGGTATTCAGACAGTCAACAAAAATGTTATTTATGTGGTATGAGATTTTTGTCATTGGAAATTGGTTCATATTCAATGCAATCTCAAATAGTTAAAAGAAATTTTTTAATGAAAAATTGTTTTTATAATTGTAACAGATGTTGCGAACTTAGACAAGGCGATAAAACAACTGTGAAATAATGATACCATGTTAATAGGTCCATGATGATACTGTACCAACAAATCGTGCTAACTTTATTAGGTCCCAATAAAGTATGCTACTACTCGCTGGGTGAATTGTGTTTTTTTTGTGTTTGAGGTTGACCACACGTCTGGTCTGGAAAATTCAATTCCAATTAAACAAAAAAAGAAAGGAATTAAGTGTTGACGAAATCTTACCATTTAGGTTCAAAACTGTAATTAATATAAATCGAGTAGTGCCAAAACAAAAGAAAGAAAAACATTTTGCTGATCGTTTTCCAAATCTCGTTACATGATATTTCGCTTGGCTCCACCTACTTGACTGGCAAGCTTCTCGATCCTCTCGCGAAACTTGGATCTTCGCTAGCGATTTTTCGACCTAGGCTTTGGTTATCTTCCACCCCTATTGCAGAAAATTTTAATAATTTTCTACTAAATCTAGGGGATTTCAGCCTGAAAATCAACAGCCTAGCCAATCTAGATACCTACTCCAGTTCAATTAAATTTACTTTGGACAATTTGTTTATAGAGTGGTGCAGTTTGAGTCGAGTAAATTTGGGTACATGTTCTGCCAGCCCTCGCGGTAACGGAAAAGCCGCTGAAATACGGGCAGAATGGAGCCCAACATAGCGACGAGAAATTTTGCTGCATTAGATAGATTTATTCGAATTTTAAAATTCTGGTAAGTGTTTTTCTTGAATTTAATATATAGGCAGATAAGGCTCAGTTAGTTGTTAAAATTGTACTTAACATTCATTTACATTATTAAAATACTGACTGTATATTTGAATAGAGGTTGGCTTTTTTTAAGTAAGGGCTTACTAACATTGTTTTTAGTTGTACGTTAAAAATCAGAGCGGGAAGTGATTGTGGAATCAACAATAAAAGACCTCGATAAGCTGACAACTGCCTTTTTACTAGGCCGTGTCAATTATTGTTAAAATGTCATAAATGAAACCCTGTCTGCAGTCTGGGTTGTAAGCTACATCACTATCCCTGCATAGGAGGAGTAGATGTAACAAGGTTGTGTTCCAACATGGTGAATTTGCCTCGTACATTTTATCAGTTCAGAATTACAATTTTATAGCATCAAGGAGATGTGTATTCATATAAAACAGCATAGCCCTAGGCACCTATGTTTTAAAGCGGCTCCGTCATTATCCTGTAAATGTCTTTAAATTTTAATTAATAAAGTTGTTACATGATAAATTAAAGTTATTTAATATTTAAATAATTATATTTATAAAAATATCTTTTTAAAGTATGGCTTTATAGAATCAAAATTTATGATTGAATCAGTGACGGCTCCAGAGGATGCCAAACAGGATGTTCCACCCCTTCCCTTGGTAACACCAAATAGAGATTCAAAATAATTAGATATATTTTAATTGAGTATAAATCATTTAGATTTTAAAAAATTGCAAAAACTCCAAAGCTTCCAAAAGGCATATAAACCGTGTGGTCCTCAGAAAAAAAGGTAGAAAATACCAAAACCCGCCCCACTTTGACCATAGCCCATGCCGCCTGTCAAACAATGGTCCCCGATTACCACTTGCCACCCCCTCCGGCAGAAATTCTTGGGTAGGAAACTGGATTTATATACTGGAATAGACAAATACATATTGTTTATGAATTACTTAGGATCTCATTTTTGTATAGAAATTTAGATTTCATGTTCACTATACATAAATGAAATGAAATATGATTTGTATCTTCGTCTAGGCTTATAATAGCAGTACTGCTAGTCGTGTCCCTAGAGCAGACATCAGCAGGGGTGAGTAACTTTTATTTATGTTGATTGATTGGATAATAATAATTATTGTCAAGGCATTTAGGAGATTATTGAAAATCATGCATCCTAGTTGACCTTTGCACTTTAGATAAAACTTGGGTATCCCTCGCTGGTCTAGAACTGTAATATTGGGAATAGGAGTTGATTTTCCTTTATAGTCTAACATCTCTATCTAAGAGTAAAACAGAATAAATAAATAATAAATACTACTGTAGACCTGTTTTTTATTATAATTTAAATTTTGTTCCAAATATTTAATGATCAATAAAATATAAATTCAATGGGTTCGCAATTAGGTTGCAAGCCATGGTGGTTCACTATTTTAAAATTTATTTGTTCAACTTCATTCCTGAAGGAAGGTCAATAACTTTGATGCAGCCTTGATTATTTAAGTTTTTATTTAACAATATTCATCACTTCATGGTATTTTGTATAACAAATAAGAAGGTGAAAGCCCATATTTTTGATTGGAAAAATACATAATTATACCTTTTTTATATACTATACTTTTTTGAAGCATCATTTATCTTTTTCATTTTCAATTTGTAATATATTCACCATCAGTTGACATTGTTCTTCTCAATATGTTACCTGTTGAGGAGTCCCCTGAATTTTGCAAGGGTAGTTTTAAAAGAAATTTAGACCACTTTGATATTATCAATTGTGTAGAATAAAACAAAACAATGAGAAAAATATATTGTAATGACAAATGCATATCTGGTTACTTAGCTGTGTCTGGGGCTGCTACTTATGCAGCTATGGTGAGGTACTTTCACCCATATTTTGATAACCCAGAGTAGAATGGGATGACCCTATAAACTTAGGGTCAGGTTTATTTATTATTGAAGGGAAAAAAAAATGATTGACCTATTGACTTCTGCCCTGATGATTCAAAGTCTTTATATTCTCATCACATCAGCTCCAAAGAGGAGATAGCATTCGCAATTCTATTTCACAAAATTTCCAACTCATGTCCAGGATTTTGGAAGGGTGGAGGACAGAAAGAGGAGGAAATTACTGAAGGAGGGATGAGAAAAGCATAAGAGACAGGCATAGTTCAAATATTATTTCTGTGACCACAAATTTCTTCCTCTGAAGAGTTGGTCCCTATAAGACCCCCCACGAAAGCAACAAACAACACACAGCAGCGCCATTGTCCAAGTTTATGCCTTCATTATACAACTGACAAGGTGTTAATGTCACCTGTCTATACCAGTATTTAATGATTGAGGAATTAAATGTCTGCCAGACAAAGGAGATTATTTACATTTGGTGGATTAATATTTATGGATTAAGAGGATTAATTACATTAGTGGATTTAAGTATTATTGAGTATCAGTGCAGTGTCTCCCTGGTTCTTATTATTTCTAGCATTACATCTTGTCTTAAAGTGGCTTAGAACTTCACAGTGCAAGGCTGTTGGTAATCAGTCAGGCTTTGTAGGCATACTAAGGCAATAAGGAGGCCTAGGAATACTTGCTGTTATTATTACAGTTACGTCTTCAAGATTGAATAACACAAACATCTTATGGTATATAGATGATAGTGTCTATAAAAAAATTGAAATTTAATAGTGCTAATGTGTATAATGGATGCAATAATGTCCAATTATGTAAAGCCATAAACTTTTACCACATTTTTCAATACTGAGGTTATAATTAAAAGTAAGTGTATTTTAGTCACTTGAACCTGATTTAATAGCACCCTAGGTGTTATGCAAATTTCTCCAAAATCTCTGTTTCTGGTAGTTTCCACAGCAGGAGAATGTAACTAAAAACAGCTGACTAAAAGTAAAATACTCAACATTTACCACAATTTGCCTGAAATCATAATTTTCTAGAAAAATCCCATACAAACTTAAGACAAAGAAATACTTTTTTCCCCAATTTTATCTATAATTATTAATTTTAAATATGAAATCAGTCACTTGAAGTATACTGTAAAAAAAGGAATATTATCACTAATTTGGGAATCTCAGATTCATCATAGGAAAATGAGTAACTAAATTTTATATTAGCATGGCCAAAAAGTTTATGCACTTAGTTAAGTATTCTGCGGGTATGTAAATTCTACAGACTAGTAATTTTCAATGGCCTTGTACACAATCGTTCTTTTCCTATGAATGTCAACGAAGTACTTTCCACATCATAAATAATTGCTTGTGGAACTTGTAAACAATTTAGTGGGTGTGGGAAGAAATTGAAGGTGCCAACAGAGATATTACAGATATATCTACAGCCCAATATGTGCTTTATAACTTCTGGTGATTTTTTTTTTTCATAATTTTCCTATATTGTTTTTTTATAGAATTGTTTAAATCAGCAAAGACTAAATTGTTTCAATCTACGTTTAATTGCAAGTTAATAATTTTGTACTTTGAGTTCAGATATTTGAAATAAATTCATTTAAATTTGAATGATATTTAGAATTATGTGTGTGGACCAAATAAAAAGTATTCTTTTATCTAATATTTATATAACATATAATGACAATAATTCTAATTCTTTTTAGATAGATCTCAATTTTATATTTAGTAAAAGTTATATGATAAAATGCCATTTCTTTATAAAGATACTTTATTTATTATGCTATACTGTAACTTTCTTTTTTCCCCCTGTATTCATTCGTTTAATGTTGACAATGATATGTAAACTAGCATAAAGTGCTCTATTCTAAGCAGAAGTTTGGAGAACTGTATAATTTGAGCAACACATTACTGTAGTGTTAAAAAATGATACTGTTTTTTACAGTACATGAATTATAGGGCCAACTACAGGTATGAATATTATGAAAATAAATGATAGTATAATCTGCTCATAATACAAATCTAGGTTTCATTTTGACCTTTTCAATCATAATCTAATGATAGAAACTCGTCATCAGTTTCGGTTGTGGTATCGGTAACGCCCTGGTGTTTCGGCCAAGTCACCAATGTGACCCAATACCCAGCAGGATAGATTAAAACTCAGCGGGTGTCTAAGGCCAAAAATGATTCACCTGCAGACCCCAACTGGATGGAGTGAATTTACTGTAGCACTATGGTAAGATGAGGTTTCAGTGAAAATGTGGAGGATTGATGAATGTACGGGATAATGTTGAATATAAATTTCAAGAAATGGATGAAATTTCAAGAATGAAATTTGAAAAATATGGAAAAAGGAAATTGAGTTTGAAAGTGTTTAGAAAGAAAAAGTATTGACTACAGTTTTCTATTTGTTTGACCACTAACTTAATTCTAAAAAGGCATTGTAAAAATGGGGGTTATGGTACTGTACTTAAGTAAAGAAGGATATCTTGTTTCAAAGATAGGAGAATTAAAAAGAAAATAAGATAGATTATACCACCACAATACAAAGAAATTTGGGATATTTAAGCGATAGAAAGACAATAAACAACAGAAGAAAATGAAAGTTAATGATATGTATAAAAGAGTGGTCGGAAAAAAAAAACTTGAAGAAAGTGTTAATGTGAAAAGTTAAATGAAGTGGGATGGATAAAGCCTGTCGCAAGTGACAATCTGTTTGATACAGTATCTGTCAGTGTCGTTGCCCAGCTCACACGGCTGCTTTGGTAGTATCACCGTGGTACACTCTGATGTTTAGTTTACAGTTGGCAATCAGAGAAGGAAAAACACTGACAAAACTTTGTGTTTATTCTAAAAACACTTGGCCATTTTTATCTCATTTATTCATTAAAAATGAAGTTAACCCTCGGTACCGGTGCGTTCAGGTGAATGGCTTGGGGCTGCAGATAATCTGGTTAAACATTCAAAGCAGTGTGAATCCTTCTTCAATGTCACGACAAGCTTCTGCTTTAGCCCCACAGTAACACTTAATACTTTACTAGCATTTTCAATGTCAGCATATTTCATGAAGGTATTTTTTTTATTTTGTTAAATAGTAATAGAGTAGCTATGCACTGTTGATGCCTGCTGGTTACAGTACTATGCATAAGTGTACTAGAGTTAATAATTCTACATTGCTTCAAAGTTTTATCACAACTACTGTATTATAGTAACTCCCCCTCTCCCAACTTCCAAAAAAAAAAGGAGAAAAGAAAAAGAAGAAAAAAAATGAATGGTAGAAAGACAGATGTAGTGGTATTCAAAAACAAGCAAATTTATGACTTAATTTCCATGTACGAGAGTCTTAAGGTCAAGAATTTCTAAAAAATCTAAAGCACTCCCTTAAGCACGGTGTTTTACACATAACATGGCTGCTACCCAAATTTTTATCTGGATTCCACCCCTGTTTGTGGTACTTTGTATTTGCTTTTGGAAAATCAGAGGCTTACTCCCATTCCTGCCCCAGTGGTATATACAGTGAGACTTTTGTCATTGTGACTGTGTTGCTTTTGGGGCCCAAGGCACTTGTCTGAACAGGGAGTTGGTCTGAATAAGTAAATGAAATGAAATGATCTACCATTAGACCGATGTGCAATTGGCATAGCAAAGGTTGGGCCACTTCCCAACTCCTGCTTCCATGCTGGTTCCTACTTACACTTCAGTGATAATTATATGTATCTGCGTGATACAGAAGTAGGTCTAATTTCATCAACCAGGACTCCTTTCGTGAACCATTAGTTATCTCATAACCTATGGTTATTGGTATGTGTCAGTTCTTAATAATGTATTTTATGACTAATAATATGTTGCCGCTGATAGACGATTATGTCCATCTGGCTTGCACTGATAACATTCAGATGTTCTGTGGCTTCAAAATCGGGTTTAATTGGTAATAGTTGATTTTTATCAGTAAATAATAATATAAAATTGTATATAGTTTATTGGTATTAAGGTTATCTTATCGTGACTTAAATGTAGTTTCTAATAAACAATGGTTTAAAGAGAGAGGGGTTGAGAGAGATATGGAAAAGAAAAGGGAAATAAACAGGCAATAAACATTAACTTGCAAGGAGAAAGATAGGGAAGAAAAGGCCATAGAGCAAAGGAAGTTTCTTAGCTCTAGGAAAAGGCAAAGAAAATATGGAAAACAAATAGATAGCATGCATAGGGAAGTAAAAGTAAAATGTAAATTTTCATTTGAAAATGAGATGAAAGAGAATAGAAAGGAGTAGAGAAGCAAAAAGTAATCAAGGGAGAATTAGAATAGTAAAATACTGCATAAACAAATTCAGAGGCAGGTCAAAAGTCAGGAGAGAGGAGTGATGCTACACATGGGGGTAGGATTCTTCCCTTCCCCCTCACGGCAGCAAATTAGTTCCACTAAGTATGTTAAAATACTAAAAATTACCTATAACTTTTCATTGGAATAGGGATTTAGTGTGACATTTTGGGTATTTAGTCTTGCATTGTCATGTTTCAGACCCCCTCCCCACCCTGTCCAAAAACCAGCCTACACCCCTGCTAAAAAGGTACAGTGTATATTTTATTGTAATTGATCTAATCTTTCTAAAATCAGGCCTTTACCCCAGAATATATTATAGTATTATGTAGTACATTATTCTTGGTGGATGTTTATGTCTCTGTTGTCCCACAATAGGAAATTATCAACAGAATCCCTTGAGATAAATTGAGTGGGCCTTCTATCGTTAAGTTAATGTTAAGGAAATATTAAACAAAAAACTTCCGCACAAAAAACGTTCAGTCCTAATTGGTCTGACAGTTTGACAGTGTGTTTCACTTTTAAGGCGGGATTGATTAATTAAAACTAGACTAGATGTCATGTTGCTCCCTTGATTTGTATAAGATTTCTCATAATATTTATTACTTAGATATCAATTTTTTTTTTCACTGTTTGCTTTCACTCCTTCCATGTTTACTTATTAATTTATTATTATCTGTTGTCTTTATAGTAGACTAAAATATCCAAATGTCTTCCTATAGGGGAAAAAGAAAAAAAAAAATGGTTGCCAAATATGTATTTTGAATGAGTCAGTTCGATTACAGTTTAATGTCTTGTGATTTTTTTTCCTAAAGTTTTAGGGGTGCTATAGAGGACAACATAAATGTGTCATGGTAAATTTGTGTCACTGTACCATGTGACATCGCTTAGTTGCTAAAAGAACTACCCATCAAGAGGTCATAATAACCGAGTTCCTCCATATCTTATTCACTGTATTCAAAGTTTATTCTAGTGATCTATGAAAACTAAATAACTGCTGATTAACGAATTAATCAATAATAACAAAAAAACATACCATATATTAATTATTATTAGTGAAACTGATGTTTATTCATTGTTTATACATTTTTGTGAAATATCAAATAAAAATAGCTGCTGCTTAGCTTAAGAGGCGCTCAGCCGTATCTATGATTTTGTTCTTGCAGATATTATTCTCCCGAAGATGATTGAAACAACTTAATCGAAATGTTGAGATATTCTCAACCATAACAACAGTTTTTTTTTCATAACAATCTATGTGGTGTACCGCAAGCATTAATATATGATTTTGTTAACATTTGCCCAGTCACATTATAATTAATAGGTCCATGGTCAAATGGTGTCGTAAAATCTGTGATAGTACTCTTTAGGGTGAAGCAAATGTAGTTTGAATTGAGATGTAGTGAGGGGGATGGTACTATGGTAGAGGGGGGAATTGATGATAAAGGGACTGGAATGCTAAAGGAGTCATTTTATATTTGAATGTGTAAAAAAAATATATTTTCTTTAGAATATTAAAAGGATGCTATGGCAAAATTTCTATGATTTTTCTAAATTAGAAGACTGAATTTGTAAAATTATTGAATGTTTCTTTATTGCAGGGAAAATCTCATGGGAAAGCTCTGGATGTTTTTCTTGGAATCTGCCCACCAGGAGTCATTGATGAGAGCCACTGTGGTGCATGTGGTTGCATAGGTCCTAAAGGAGATAGAGTAAGTTATAAACAAAAACATTAAAAAATAATAAACACATACCAGTGGCGGATCCAGAGGGGTTCAAGGGGTTCGGATGAACCCCCCTTTGTGAAGAAACATAACAAAATACAAACTGGGTCCTGGCTTACGAAAGGCATGCTAACCTACCTAGGCATAGGTTGGAAGATCAAACAAACTATTGTAGGCTTATTAGTTTTCAATTAAATAAATTATACACACAGTTTTTGGTTCGCCGTCGTAATAATGCATGTACGAAAGTGCGTTCTTCAGGCCTATCGGTTCATCGATCCATGGAAGAACAACTACATAGGCCTATCTAACTACTCAATGTTGTTGGAATATAATAATATATTGCCTGTCTTTGATTTTTTTTTCTCTATGATAGGCCTAAAGAATGAGATAAAATTACCTGACCTTTTCTCAAGAGGGGGAAAACCTTGAATTTTGAAGAACTTACAGGTCATTAAAAGACACCTCAGAAGTCGGGAAAGCTCATTTCTGGCCATGTAGGAATCACAATTTTCCCGGGGAGGACCCCCACACCCCCATTTCATTTTGGGGTTTTTTGGAAACATTTTGAACCCCCTCTTTTAAATTCTGGATCTTCCCCTGTATACTACTATGCATTTGTGTGGAAAAGTTACTTATGATTTTGAATTTTGTTATTATTTGTTACAGTTTAGTTTTAAAATTGTAAGATCATGATAAAGCTATTTAGAAATAAATTAACATAGCATTAAATGGATGGGTATTAAAGAAAGTGCACATATGAAATTAATAGTAATCACAATTTATGGTGCAACTTTTACTCTAGAGGGCGACATTTCAGTTTAGTCAGACTTCAGGAGTCCTCTTAAGTAGATGTACTCGTGACTGCTTCAAATACTGCTTAATTTTAGAGTATAAAATAATATCTTAGATTTAATTAACTGTTAGTTTACAAAGAATTTAAAATAAACACATTCAGATTTTATGACTTGTCGCTTCATTTCCCACCCATTTCTTCCGTTCCTGTCCTGACAACACCTGGAGGAACAATTTTTGCCCTTGACTGACCACTGGTAATGGATAATTGATGACCAGTGAGAACTACCATATAAGGATTCAAACTTGAGATATAATCATGGGATAAAAATTTATGACATTTTTATAGCACAATCATAAAATGTGATTTATTTTATAGGAATTGCAATGAAGTGAACTTAATTCAAAGTTCTTAAGGAGAGTTTGTGGTCAGAATACAAACTCTAGACTCGTTTATGTTATCTTCACAATGATAAAAAAAAAGTATATTTAGAGGGTTTTGGATGTTCAAGTCAAGATAATGAAGTATAAGAGATAGGCATTTATTTTCACAAGATCCGGTACCTTGGCCTTAAGAATCGGAAAGACCTCAGTATATATTACAGTAGCAAAGTTTTGATGATAACAAAGTTTGACTTCCTTCCCGATCAATCAAGTGAAGTGTAATACAGAATGATGACTTCCTGGCCAATCAAACAATCTGTAATTGGGCCTGGTAGTTCAGCTGGTGGTTTTGATTGGAGGAAGTTATTAACTTAGGGCTAAAGGTTCATTGTCTGGTATCACCTCTACCCATGCTCCATTGTTCTCCAAATAAAGCCACAAGTTACCCATCACCACTTTATCAGTTGTTTCTCTTTAGAATTTGTTAATCTCCAAATCTCAATTTTAAAGCCATAGGGGATTAAACAGAGCAAAAACGTCAATGTTCTTCTTTTAGTAATGTAAACCAAAAACTCAAATTGAAACTGTAGTGGCCATGTTACCATTGTAGACTGTTTTTGTTAGCTTTATGTTTAAAATGTGTGAAAAATGTGTTGCATTATATTCAATTGAAATAAATTATAAATAATTCTGTGTACTGTATAGGTGTGTCTCCCCTGGCTGTGTGACTATCAAAATATTTATTTTGAATAATAATTACAACTTTCATCACTTACTGGAATACGTACTGATCTATTTCAATTGTTTTTAAATAAACATTTTTCTCAATTGTTGTTATTTTCTTTTTCAGGGTCGGTCCGGATTTATAGGGCCACAAGGTGCACAGGGGTCAGTTGGACCACCAGGGCCATCGGGAGTACGCGGGCCAAAAGGTTATCCAGGACCCAATGGTGTTCCTGGATCCAGGGGTGAAAAGGGAGATGATGTAAGAATTTAGATTTAAAAGATAATAAAATTACTTCACAAAATAAGTAATACATTGCATTCTTTAAATCTAAGGCCCCCTTTGAATTTGTGTCTTTTGCCCCAGGAGGGCAGTAGACAATTTGTTATCATATAATCAGAAAAATTTGCCTATTTAGGTGTGAAGAGTGTCACACCGTGTGTGTGGTATGAATCTAAGTAGTAATAAAATGTCAATCAAAGCTACTGTTGAACCTCGCTTTATTTTATTATTTAACTGTAATTTAACTATTTTATGCACGGTATATGTGATTTTAATATTTGTCTTGTAATTTGTATGTATATTCTGTGTACAGTATTCCTAGCTCAGCATAACAAATTCCATGTACATGACAATTAATGGAATCTTCATAGGAACATTGTTTTGCTTTACCAGACTTGTTTTTTTCACAAGCATTTGGGAACGTACTGAGTTTTCTGTACGACATCACATCAGGTTGGGTGAAGCATCACTCCTATGCTATTTTCCTGACGCAAACTCTCATCGAAAAAAAAATAGAATCTTGAAAATTGAATCATAGAGATGGAAGAAAGAATTGTTGGTATAGCATGATTCATTATGAAAGTATTTATTACAATATTTACAATTTTTATTTTTATAACTTTATTTCATAGGGAGCCAGTGGAGAATCAGGTTTCCCTGGTTACAAAGGACACAGTGGTAGGGATGGTTACGCTGGTCGGCCAGGTGTGCCTGGCACCCCAGGTTGCAATGGATCAATAGTAAGAATATTTTTTAATTGTTAGAACAACCCTTTGCTATGAAATGGACTTGTCTTCTCAGTGAAATAACCATTGATTGAATTTGACTTTTTTTTTGCTATGCCATTTTCTTTAATACTACTTGTAAGTGCAGTGGAAACTCTAAATAGGACTAACTTTATCCAGAGACCACCTCTTTTAAGGGACCACCATTTATGGTGTCCCAGTGGAGACAATCCTATCCTATAACATTGCACTAACATTCTATTTAGGACCATTAGGGTTTTGCTCAATTATTAGAATTTACACTGTACCGACTTACCAAAATTTTAAGTCTATTATCTCATTAAAATAGTTTTTAAACAGAAAAGAAGTTTATTGTATGACCATTGCATCTGAAATAACCATGTATGTATAATTCATCATGTGTATAATAGTGAAGGGTTGTAGTTACGAGGTGAATGGGGCCACCCAGCTTGTAAGTTTGCCACCCACTGTGAATTTAATGTCGTGGCCCTCCACTCACCTTTTTTAACTCTCTTGCCCATCCTTAAAATCCACTCTTATTATATAGTGTTTACCAATGTTATCACATAACCACCATTAAAATGTCTACCACCTACTCTTAGTTTTCTACAGCTACAACCCTGTAATGTTGTTATCCAAAGTGTTCTTGAAACAAAGAAATTCTGGCATTTATACTAATGTATGTAACAAATAACATACTATGTACCGTTTACATATACTATTACATTTATCATCTCCTCATTCGCAGGGAGATCCCGGAGTACCTGGTCGCCCCAGCCCCCCAGGACAAAAAGGACGTAGGGTAAGCATACTTTATTTTTGTTACTTATCTTGAATTCAGAAGCCAAGTTGCCACTTGCAGAATAGAAAGAACATTAAAATAATAATACAGTATATATAGTAATTAACATAATAATTATAATAAATTAACATTAACCCTTATCATGCTGAAAATCGCTGGTGCGTGACATTCTGGCATGCCAATTTACTTTTACGAAACTACATAATTACACAACAGAAATTAGCATCTCTCTTTAAATGAAATTTTCACATATTTCTTGAACCCTAAACAAAAAACTATTTATAAAAAAAATAATCCTCATAGCACATATATTCTATATGTGATACTGGTTTGTAAAAAAAATAGTTTTACAATCATTGAAATGTTCCGTTTCCGCCATCCAATTTGGCCTATTTCTTTGTATAGGCTAGGCCTAACTTCGTCTAGGCCTAGGCTAGTCCCTAGTCCTACCTCGTCCCCGCTGCACCACCGGCGATATTAGCTTCTTCCCCATCATAACCATTACTCTCATCACTCTCACTAGTGATCATCAAAAACATCGTGATGGCTCGTTCCACAGTATATCGCTGCTGCGCGGCCATACTGAAACTTTCAAAAATAAGTTGACATTTTTGTTTGATTTATAAAATATTTTTCAATAAAAGTTGTCAAGATTTTTGTTTATTCGAGAAGTTCAAAGTGTAAGTAACCCGGATGCAAAAACAAATGAGCATCAGAATGATATATAGACAGTATACAGGGCGAAATCCATGTATACTTGGATGTGTCGTACTAGGCGCGCCTAGGGCATTCAACGGTAAATTTTTCGCTGTTGCACTATTGTGCCTATGGGTTAATAATATAAATTAAAAATTGAACAAGCATGAGAATTCTTGTACTATAGGTTAAATTGTTATCCTTTAGCAGACAACCTAAATTTGTCATAATTATGTGAACCTCTACTTCTAAAAGTACATCAATAGATATTTATCCTGTCAGTCTGTGCCTGTATTTGTATTTTTTATCTATCATGATATTAAGTAATCTTTTTCTTCATTATTCCAATAGGGACCAGACGGACCAAAGGGCCCCAGGGGTGATCCAGCACCGATTGTGTTGGTACCCAAGGGTGATGGAGGTGACCAAGGTATGCGTGGAAGTCAAGGGCCATCTGTGAGTTGTGTGTTTATGATTAGAAAATGATAAACATAATAATAAGAAAAATAGCAGATTAAGAATTGATAACAAACATTTTATAAATACTATTATAACACACACATAATATTGTTTATTTACCCCATTTTCTCACTCTTCATGGGAATTTAGTTCCACTATGCATTTTTAGTTCCATTCGTGCATTTTTTTTACATCTGTTTTTGCCCTTGGCATGGTGCCTATTATACTATATGACAGTCAACCTATTACAATCTTTTGATTGGTTAAAGAGACGCTAGACTTATATTTAGGAAAAGGGCAGATTTTTTTCAAAAAATATCAATTAACAAGAATCTCAATTCAAAAGAAAAAAGGATTGATTTTTTTTATAAAAATATCAAATGACAAGAATCTATTTTTGGTGTGTTACAAAACAAATAATGAATGTATTTTATTCGAGCAATGGAAAGAATATTTTCATTCATTAAAAAATTGACTGTTCCATTCAACTCGGCTCTACCTCTATGAATGGAAAAGTCAATAAATATTCTTCTCATTGCGCTCATAAACATTTATTATTTGTATAATAGTATTGTTCTTGTAGTGTGTTTTGAGAATTTGGTATATAAATGTTTTTTTAAATATTAAACAAAAGAACTGATTGAAATTTTTTTTTTTTTACTTTTTTAAAAATGGTTGTAATTAAAGCTTTAATTAATAATCCTCTTGTGCATATTTTGGTTAACATTTTTTACCTTCGCTTGTGCTATTGGAAAGGAAAAAAACCTTATAAGACTTTCTTTTTAGAATTTGCTTCTTAAGCCTACAAGCAATGACCAAATTTTTTATTTCACAGTTTCTAAAATAATTTCTTATTTTTGTTTTAGGGAAGACAAGGAGAAAATGGACGAATAGGATTTAGAGGGGAGACTGGCGATACTGGTGAAAAGGTAGCAACGAATTCATTAATAAAAGTTTTGCCCTTTTGTTTGTCTTTAATTTGATTTGCAATAAAAAAAAATTATTGAAACCTTTTTGTGCATCTGTTGTTCATGAATCAGCATAAAAAAATCTTGAAGATTTATGTCATCAATATTTAACAGTGGGTCACGGAAGAAAAAAGAAAGTAATATTCAACTCTGAGGGTGCCATAAAGTGACATAACCTCAGCCCCACCATGGTTGAACTCTCTACATCTGAATGTTTCTGTCTGGGCTCTCCACATTTCAATTCCTGAAACCACCACTAATAGTAATTTGTAGGAAGGGTTTGCAGTTCTGCTTCTGAATGTTAAGGTTGGAGGTTCAGCCCTCTCTGTGCGCGTTTCAAGTGCCTGGACAAGGAACTTTACCCAGGGTTGTCTCTATGGGTACGTGGCTGATTACAGATTATAGAATGTACCTACAGAGAACTGGATATCTGTTCCACGTGTGCTTGTTCCAGTGACCACGGAAATAATGTGAACAACTTTTTGATTATGTCTGGGTGGCTGTATTCTGAACGAACGAATAAATGATAAAAAAATGTCATAAATGAGTTATGAGTAAACATATTGGACAAGCAATTCTGGGCCTAGCCATTGTTTATTATTATTTAACAAGCCCAGTCAAGAAAGAATGTGAGTGAGGTGAGGGGTGGTGCCAGCGGGGTTGGTCGGGGGGGTGGGGTTGCAGGGCCTCCATCAGGGAGAGCTGTTGGGCGCAGTGAATGTCAGACTGATTGCCAAGGTGGGTCCCGGAAAATAAGAACTGATATATTACATATTGAATTGTGTTAAAAATTGGAAAAATGTTAAGTTTAAAAATTCAGAGAACTTGATTGATCTTGAAGTTTAGCAACACTTCTCAAGGAAATGTTGAATTTGTTTTTAGGGTGAAAGAGGACCAATTGGACGAAAGGGCGAGAGAGGAGGAAAACCAGGACCAAATATCAACCTCAAAGGCGAGCAAGGACCTAAGGTGTGTTATACCTTTATAAATTTTTCCAATTCTTAAAATATAGTGAGTGCATCTGTAGGTTAATGGTAAAGTTGTTTACTTTCCAATCTCAGAATCCTGGCGAAAAAAATCCTGAAAATAGCAGGGGTTTTTTTCACACAAAAAAGTCCTTAAGTGTCACGGTATGTGACCTATCAGATTCGTATCCAGGAAGTGTGCATATGCATCATCTGAAATCGAAAAAGGTCCACATTTTTAAGACAAGTGAATATGTACTGACTATAACATTTTTAAATTTCTGTAATAATACTTAAAAGCGAATCTTAAATCTTTAATAACCAGTAATGAGGTAAGACCAAACTAACAAAATTTATATTTTATAGATATGAAATAAAAACCTTTATATGTATTTTACTCATTCTGTTTTTAATTTTATTTCTTTATCGCCATTGTTGTACTTTGTTATGTGGTTCATGTTTTAATAATATTTTGTTTTCATATAGGGAGAACCAGGCGAGCCTGGTCTACTCAGAGGGGATGGCATGAAATCTGATAACATTAGAGGCCCAAGGGGCATAAAGGTTTGTACAGTAGTTAAGAGTTATTAATACTGTAGAAACACTCAATTACAACCCCTTAAATTTATGAGTTTTTGGTTTTACGATGACAAAATATTGACAATGATGTTATAAATACAGTCCCTATTTTTTAAACATTATTTGTTATGAACATGATTATATAAACGCTCAACTCTAATGTATTTATTTTTTCTGAATCCCAAATTTACGAGTTCTTGGTTTTACGAGGACATATTAATCTTGACAGTGATGTTATAAATATAGTCTCTATTTTGTGAACATTTGTTTTATGAACACTATTTTACAAGCTTTCAACTTTAATGCATTTCTTCTCCTCTAAATCCATGGAATAGGCCCGAATCTGGCTTTTCGCATGCTGTCCTTTACCGGCATTACGCCATATATCCAACAAGCCATCCCACTATGAAATCACCAATTCATTCATTTTTTTGTCTTTACTTTTCAAGGGTATAAAAGGCATGCTTGGCATGAAAGGAGTAAGAGGACCGACTGGAGAAATGGTAGGTACCAACCACTGAACATTCTAAGTTACTCTTCATTCTTTAGGTTTTTGACCCTTTCATGTATTTTGTATTTGGTTTAAAACACTTTAGGGACCTTTGTGGATAGCAGTGATGTCACTGATTCAGGCTATTTAAATAGAATATTTTTTCTTTAATTCTTAAGGTACCGTATGTTTCCTCAGCTCCTGTTACCTGATAAGTTATCAAAAAGCTGAAATTTTTTTGTTATTCTATAAAGACTCAAAGTTTCCAATAAATCATTCCATTAGAATTAGGATTTTTGTTAAATACCGTAAAACCTCGAATAGAAGCCCAACGGGGCTTAATCTGGAGAAGAAGCCCATCTAGAATTGAAGGCCCCTCTTTAGTTTGCAAAAGTAGCCTTGAAAAGAAGCCAATCTTTTCATGAAAGCATTGGCTTTTTTCGAGATAGTACAAATACATTGTACATGATTCTTCAAAGAAACAAAAACATATTAAAAACATGCTTGGTTTATACAGTAGGTGAGTTTAGGTGATCTAATGCTGGTTAATAGACTCCATGGCACAGATTAATGTTACAGTTTTTAGTAGTAATTCCCAAAATTTACAGCATAAATTTTGAATAGAATCCTCCTTTTTACTTTGCAAAAGTAGCCTTGAAAAGTAGCCCATCCAAAGTTCACAAAATAAAAGAAGCCCAGGGCTTCATTTTGAGGTTTTAATATGGTAGCTTCGAATGCGGGAAAACTTACTTCGACCGATATCAAATCGTTGCACCTCTGCTGTCAATTTTACAAACGACCACCATGGTTGTTTGCTAGGCTTTAGATATTACGCAGGTGGTTGTTCTTCCAGATTATCACATTTTCTTTGACTAAAAACTGTTGTATGCCCATGTATAGTCATGATATGCCCATATTATGGTCATGATGTCTAAGTTTTTTGTTATTCTGGAGAGGGTTTTAGGAACATTATGTGTTGTTTGTCATTATGGATTATGTTAACTGTCTTTTCTTTTTCCGTAGGGTGGAAATGGTAGTGTTGGTATGGTTGGTGAAAAGGGGCTTCCTGGATTTGCTGGACCAAGGGTAGGCCAATGTTTCTTACAAATATTATTGTTATTCTTAATAGTATTATTAATTTTAGCAGCTTCAAAACTATGTTAATATGCAAAAACACATCTGTTTACTACTCTTGATTATCAACTTAAAATACAAGAAGCGCTTTACATGGGGAAATCTGTCACTTAACAAACAACTCACTACAATATCACTCCAATATTTGTTTATTTATTAACCATATTTTGGGTGGGGACCCTTACAGAACATGTCTGATGTTCAGGAGCCCACTTAAATACAAAACTATATAATGTATATAAATATATAGCCTATCTATCAATTAATCATTACATACAGCGAACACTTAAATACAAAAATATAAAATTTGTATAAAAATAAGGCAATAATTAAAAAAGCAGACATACAAACTGACTTACAAATCACTCTTTCTTCAGTTTCATATGTTTTATTAGATGCATTACTGCATTGGTATTATTTAATGTTTATGCAAAGTTTAGTTTTTTTATAGTTTACATGAAACTGTACATGATTGTGAATTTTTACCTGTGCACTATTATTTATATTACAGGGTCCACAAGGTGACCCGGGCAAAAAAGGAGTGAAAGGATTCCGTGGAGTTCCTGGAGACAATGGACCACAAGGATTAAGAGGAAGAGACAGCCCTCCTGTAAGATCTCATTTCAATAATTAAAGCTGGTTCTCCACTAGACAAATTTATTCGCATGTAGTCGGTTCACCTCCTGAGCTCTGATTGGTTTCGCATTTTTTTCGCCTCGCAAAAAGTAGAAAGAGTTCCAACTGCTGATTTTGCTGAAGTGAAAAACTCCGATAGAAATGTGAATGCGAATGCACGTGAATTAACGCTTTCAATTCACAAGAATAAATTTGTCTAATGAAAAACAGGATTTAAAATATATGATTTTACTCAAAGCCTCTTTTTAAAGGAAACAATGTTGAATTAAGCAACTCAATTTATATCTATGAAATTTGATTTGAAATGAGCATATGGAGAGGAACAGGAGTGTATAAAATGATACTTTGGTATATGAAATAATAATAATAGTATTTATTGGGGGTGAAGGAATATGAGTACATAAAGAGAAACATGGGTACATGTAAATCTCCAATTTTCTTTAATGAAAATCATAAAAGAAATGCATACTTTAACTTCAGGCATGCCCCCCCAAAAAAGGTTTACTCCATTAATATTCCAAAATTTACCTTTGTTCCTCCTTATCAGCCACCCCCTCCCACCCTCACATCAGTACTCCTAGATACGTCACTGATTATATTACAATGATATAGACTAAACCATTTCTCTTTTTTAAGGGTGCTCGGGGAGATTATGGAGAAGATGGAGACCCAGGACCCAAGGGAGAGTCGGCAGTGGTAAGTTTAGCATCATTGAACAATTTTGTGGCAATGTGTACCTGGTTACTAATGGAACTTTCTCGAGTGTCAATCACAATTAACTGACCAATCAGTGTCCACCAAACACGTGTTGTCCCAGAAAACGCACATGATTTTGTGCATTACGCTGTTGTTTTGTCAGACTTTAGCAACAATATCCAATGGTCTGGGATTATCGTAAAGATTCATTCTATGTACTTGATTCAATATTTGTGTTTCTCGAGACTTTTTCTCCTGAAAGCCACACATTAAACCTATAATTATCACATAATCTTTATCTGTATTCTCATCTGTTACTAGTTCAAGGGATTTGCCAGAGGAAGACCAGGCTCACCAGGTATTAAGGGTAATAGGGGTCCCACGGGCTCCAAAGGCCAGCAAGGTGATCAAGGACCCTTCGGCCGTCCTGGATTACGTGGTGGTCGTGGTGATCCAGGGTTCAAGGGCCGTAGAGGTACCACAGGAAGGAGTATAGACGGAGAACCTGGAGACCCTGGATCCGAAGGTAATGATATATATATATTCTATCAAAGCAAATTATAGTAAGGTTTTGAGTACACAATATTAAATAGAAGCCAAAGGAGCCATTATTTCCTGAAAAAATTGCCTTTGGCCCCTACAGAATATCTATAACTTTAATATCAATATTAAACATAGAAAACTTATAACTATCACATAAACGTTTAAATAAATCTTTTCATATAACATCAGCATGACTAAGAAATGGATTTAAAAGACCTCTATTTTGGGTACACCAGGAGGCACATGCAAATTGACTAAAGAAACTAAGTCAAAAACATAATTAGGATTCATTATCTTAAAAAGAAAGAACCATGTCAGAGAGCATTCTACTATTACTAAGCAAATAAATAATAATAACATAGGACAAGTCAAGTTTTTAAAATAGGTCTAATAAATGTTCTCTGAACATGTTCAATCCGCTAAGCCTGATTTGGAGAAATAGAATTAAAATTTACTGTAAAGAACTACAAGTTGGGCCTAATAATGGTTTTATATAAGGACATCAGAACTTTCCATCCCTTAAGAGTCTGCAGTTTCTCCAAATCAAGCCAGGCATTTTATTAGCTTTAGCAACAATATGATTAACATGGCAACAAAAATACCAAGCTCTATAATGTGCTGAAACAGATTCAAGGACCTGGTCACCAATGTAATATTAAACTTAATGTTTCTTTTTCAAGGTAATAGATAAGTGTTTGCCTTTGTCAATATTAAGACAGAGTTCCCAATCCCTAGCCCATGTCACCAACCTACACAGTTCCTCCTGAAGAAGAACGTGATGCTATATAACTCTGAATAATTTAACATCATCAGCCAATAAAAGTGACTGAGCAGAAATGAAATGTAAAGGTAGACATTGATAGATAGATAAATAAATTAAATAATAATGGCCCTCAGGATTAAGTACTGAGGTACTCCAGATATGAATGGTAACCAGTCTGATGATTGTCCGTCAGTAACAACCAGTTAAATAAAGATCAAGAAAGTCCAAAATAAAACATTTTTGAAAGAAGTAATTCATGATTAATAGGATGAAATGCCTTAGAGAAGTCTGTAAATCACGTCACACTGCTTCTTGCTGTCAATAGCTTTGTATGCTGTAGCAAGAAGCAGTGCAAGGTTAGTTTGACAGGACCTTCTCGGAACAAAAGCCATGTGGAAAAGAACTTAAAACAGATGAAACATAAGTATGCACTACGTCATGCACAATTCTCTTAAAGATTTTTGAGAGAGTTGGCAGGAGGGAAACTGGGAGGTAATTGCAAATATGTTTTTTAGAACCACTATGGCCCTTTAGTCAAACTGCAGATTGTAGAGCGGTTTTCTATTCATAAATCAAACTGCTGGTTGGCGTAATAGGTTGCTCAGTGATCACTGTGAGTAGGCATTAGCTGCACATATTAGAATGATTTGTTAAAGTAGTATGTGCACTGACACTCTTCGTATAGCTCTTCGTGATGGGAAGAAGATGAATAGATTGATTGTGCAGGCCTCGAATTTTACCGCGGCCATTGCCGACTGTGCCCTCCCATTTGGCCTTGGTACCCCTGAAAATGAAGCACGACGACGGCCACTACTTGCCTGCCCTTTTGCAGCCTTGAATTCGGTGCCCTCAGGATGCTTAATATAGATCGATTGACACGTAAAATAAATCTAAATAAGAACATCGAAATCTTGAAAGAAAACACAAAAGCCGAAAAAGTAGGTCGCCTAGGTCTAGATAAGGTTGCAGTGACAGAACAAGAGAATTTCCATGTGTGTTGATACAAACTGTTTTTGCAATTACTGTTGTGTGCACATGCATCTGACTCGAGTGGTAATTGCAGTAAACATGTACTGTAGTTGTAAACATGTGCATGCTGTACAGCTAGCTTTGGGCGATCTGACGTCATCGCAGCTCAAGCGTGTGAAATTAACCTAATTGGTTGACACTCGGCTAATACTAGTTGGATGAAGGCCAGTTTAGAGGTGTGGCCTCCTCTCCGATGACGATGCACTATGCAACAACATCAGATATTGAACTTCTTGAACTTTGACTGTTTTGTTTACGATTGGCGACCACCGCAAAAAACTAAAAGTATTGAATCGATAATTAATAGTTAATACTCTAAACAAAGTCATTTTACCATTGACAGTGATGGTTTGGCTTGGCCTAGGCCTAGCTTGCCTAGGCCTACCTTGCCTAGGCCTAGCCTGGCTAAGAATCAAGGCACTCGCGAGAGATTATAGTACTGAGGCTAAATCAAATTTTGCCTTGGGTGTCCTTTTATATTTGAAATTTTGGCCTTGGTGCCTTTCCATTTGGCTTTAGTGCCTTTCAAAATCATGTTATACTGGAGGCTATTTGAGGCACGTTGTTGCAATGGCTATAGAGTTGTAGCCAAAATTGAAATTCAAGTTATTGGTATTTTCAGATACCTGAGTATGTGATCTTTAAAATGAGGAGACATTCATTGAAATTGGACATTTCAAGCCTCAATTGTTGGAAAGTTAAAGCACAGTTAAAGCATTTAGAATCAAGATAAACATGATTTTGAGTAATTGCCTTTCAAATTTATTTGTACATATATTGTTTAATAGAATGAACTATCAAAATAACATTAAATAAAGAACTTGTTGACCACTTCCAGAACTAATACTTTGGTAATGATCTATAGTGAAAAACAAATTTAGATTTTTAGGCAATTTATTGAGCTCCATATTTTATAGGTCATTTACTCAATACTGGCCTGTGCGACAACTTACCATTTCACTACGACATTGCTCATCTGGCCTTGCCATAAAATCCCCAAATTCGAGGCCTGATTGTGGTTACTGAAGTTTATTAGTGGTTATTAGTGGTTATTAGGTAGGCCTGACCTAGACATTTTTTTAATAGATTAAAATGTACTGTAAACATTATGAATTATTTCAGCATTGCCTTATTGTTTTATAAGTCAATCACCTTGTTCTCTCAAAACCATTATACCTTTGTAGGCCTTGCCCATGACAGTCTAGTCATGTCAACCAGCACTTTGTTAGGTTCGCTGTGTGTGCTCATAGCTTGGCCTAGCAACAAATTATTATTCCATCGCGATATACTATAGTAAAATCACCCAAGCTTTTGAGCTTTTTGCACATAAGACGCAAAAAATCGGAGGCACTATATCAATATAGTAATCAGTCGGGTATAGGAAAACTCAGTGCAAATGAAAGTGATGATGTCACCACTGACTTATAATGCGTATTAATACTCATTAAGTATTATTAGTTATTTCTTAGGCTAATTAATACTAATTACAATTTTGTATTATTATGAAATGAATGAAAAAAAATGTATGCTACTAATAACCACTGTGCCTCCACAGGTATTCCTGGTATTAAGTTTGGAAGTAAAGGAAGTCGTGGTGAAAAAGGTGAAAAGGGAGAGATAGGGTATACTGGCTTCATCGGATTTAGTATCCCAGGTGTTCGTGGAATGGACGGTGGAAGAGGACAAGATGGACCAGAAGGACCCGAGGGACCGAAAGGCTATAAAGGACTTCAAGGTACAAACTTTATGTGATTATTTTAAATGAACAATTCAAATTTTTACTTAAACTAAAGTTTTTCCTTACCTTTTGGGTCGCATTACTTTATATCTTTAATATGTACCACAATATTGGAAGACAAAATGGTGGGGGGGGGGGTGAAATAGGAAAAAGCTGCCCACACCCTCCCCACTCTCTCTATGGATCTATCTACAAATGCTGAACAAAAATCACAAAAAAATCATGGACCCCATTGGAATTAAGTTTCTTAACTTTATAAGTTATCCATGGCATCTTTTTTCATATTTCTTGTTATTCATGTAGTTTTTTTAATTAATTTTTTATTGCATCATTTTTATGCTGTTGTAATTTGAAATTTTTTATGTGTGATGCTGAACAAAAAAGAAATAAAACATATACTTCTAGAATTTTTAATTAATTAGGGGAGTGGGAGTCTACACCCCATCTCTCCCCATTGAAAAAATTCATCTGTATGACCAAGAAAATGGGTAGGGGTTGACAATAGTGTTGAAAGGCATATTTCCCTTGTTTTGTTACTGAAAATGTGTCCCCTTAATATGGGTGTCCCTTTAATAAATAAATTGTCCATTTTATAGGGTTGTCGAAAATAAGCTTTCTGTTCCCATAGCAGTGTCTGATAAGTTGTTTCACTACTTGTTGCAAAGTGATGTCTAATGGTTTATCTGTAAATTTTCAGGGCAAAGAGGTGACGGTCCAGATGGTCCAATTGCAGGAGATAGAGGAGATATTGGGCCAAAGGGACAGAAGGGTGACAGGGGACAAAATGGGCGAAATGGCACCCCAGGACAACCTGGCAGTAAAGGTAAAATCTTAATTGACAGTTCATTCTAGGCTTGATTTATTTGTGGATGACGACTCTCATACCAGTTCCCCTTCACCAGATTTTGCTTCTTCAACATAATTGCTTCTCTCCAAAAAATGATTTTCATGATGTCACCTCTAATTTCATTATTGTGGTTTCATCGTTCCTCCACTCTTTTTACTCAGAACTATACTCATTAACATTTTTCCTTATTGCTTTGCTCCATATTGCACCTCTCATTCCTATCAATTTTTTTTCATCTCGCTTTCTCATTGCCATTGTGTTCTTCATTTCATCTTCCTCCTCTCATTCTTTTATTCTTTTACTTGGTGTTTTATTTTATTCGTCCTCCCTTCATTGCTTTTATTTCAATGTTTTTCAGGCGAGCTGGGAGGGGTCTGTGAAGGGTGTCAGGATGGGCCTAAAGGCATAAAAGGAGATGGTGGCCCACAGGGCTTCGATGGACCAGATGGTCTGAGGGGAGATAAAGGCATCATTGGCCCAAAAGGTTTCATGGGTGATGAGGGAGCTTCTGGTTCAAAGGGTTCTACTGGACTTCAAGTAAGTTTCTGTTGGTATTTAAAGCCCTGTCAAGATTAACAAATTTTGTTTGACAAAAAACAAGTGATGTACATAAATATGGTCATGATCACATCACATCATGAACATATATATGCATATCATGACCATATATAGGCACATCATGACCATATATAGGCATATCATGACCATATATAGCTTATATATATAGCATATATAGTTTCTATCATCAACCAATCACACATGCGCATTTACAATTTCCAGTTTCTTATTGCCCAGTGATTCGATCATCATATTGTTGGTATCCGGATCGGGATTTTCTCGCATGGACGGACAGCAGCTAACAGTTAGCAGGATCCGGATCCTGCTAACCGTTAGCTGCCGTGTGAGAACATAACCTTAACATATCGTAATTTATCTTATCTTATCTTTTTAACACTCAGTGATACCCAGTACCCAGTTAGTATAGTCTCCAGTTATGTGGTTCTGATCAACAAGAGAAATGATTTAAACACGATTGTATTTTTATTCTCTGTTGAAGCATCTGGAAACCAAATTTCATGTGAACCAAGTTGGGCATATTGACCAATAAATATATCTTTTTATTTATTCTTTTGTATTTTATTTATTTACTAATTGACTGGATGCAAAGGGAAGAATATTTGCATTGAAAAATGGACGGTTCCATTCAACTATAAAAGAATAGAACAGTCCATCTTTCAACTCGGGGGGTTTTCGCCGGAATGCGGGCCGCTTCGGCGGTGCCGGATCCTCTGGTTCCCCCTGTCCCTCCTGTCCCTGGGGATGGGTTCCATGTGGCCGGCGAGACGCCTTTGGACGACTCGTCCAAGCATCTTGAGTCGGAGTCTGAGGACTCTGTCCTCGGCTCCGATCTCTCAGCTCGTGGCCCAGGTGATGCCGCCCATCCTTGACCATTTGGGGGTCTCTTTTGAGACTCCATGCCGGGGTGGTGTTGGGGGCGGGCCTGTGGGGCCGCCGGCTCCTGCGCGTCCCGCCCACCCTGTCCCGGTTGTGGTACTCCACCCGGACCTCATCCTTCGCCTGAATTCGCAAGCAAAATCCAAGCCGGTCCCCGAGGACCATATCAAGCTGTTCATTCAGGCGCCGCCCATTCCTCGCGCTGCCAAGGGCAGACTGCGGGAGGATCAGAAGCTCTCTTCTACAAGGTATGTTCAATAGTCGACCCCCTTGGCTCGGGTTCCTTGCTTAATCTGTCTTTTAAAACGGCCTTTTTTGTGGCCGTAGCGTCGTGGTGAGATTCACGCTCTTTCCTTGGAACCGGGCCATATTCGATTCGAGCGGGGCGGTGTTCGTCTCATTTTCAGAGCTGATTTCCTAGCGAAGACACAGACTTTGGCGTATTCCCCTCGGTCTGTCTTCATTCCCACCATTTCCTCGCACTCTTCAGTGCGGGAGGACAGGGTTTGTTGCCCTGTGCGAGCTCTGCGGTTTTACATTCATTGCACGCGTCCGTTGCGCTGCACGGATTCGCATTTGTTTGTCTCTTCAGTTCGGCCCCATGGGCCTGCTTCTGTTGATACCATTGCTCGCTGGGTGGTTTCGGCCATCCAAGCCGCTTATGCGTCGGCTCGCAAGCCTCCGCCTGCCCACATGCACGAGGTTCGCGGCACGGTGGCTTCTTGTGCACTCTTTCGCGGGGTCCCCCTTGCCGACATTCTGGCAGCGGCATAGTGGAGATCGGAGACTTCGCTTTCATCTTGCTACTTGCGGGATGTCCTGTCGACCCAGGCGTCGGTAGCGGCTGCTGTGTTGAAGCCATCTATGTAGGTAAGTCTTCTGGTTTCTGATCACGCCCTCCTCTTTACGCTGCTAATCTGGCATTTAGTCGGTTATTCAGGTAAGTATTCACGAAATAGACTACACAAATCAATCATGCTGTTGGTACCCTCACCGTGATCGTGTCAATCTTTAGGGAATGAGGACGTTTGTTAGGGAGACGGTTCGCATTTGTTTTTTTCGAAGGGGTGTTCCGTATTGGGAACAATGGCAATTAGTTCGTTATCCAGGTAAGTATCTCACTCATAGACTGCCAACATCACGATTGATTTGTGTATATTGTCTTAGGCAGCATTCAACAAATTATGTTCACAAATTTGTCGGCCGACAGAGTAGGTCCTAAGATTAAAGTTTTGTTTTACCTTTTAACTAGGGAGAACCGGGCCCACCTGGTCTTGCAGGGTTACCAGGCCTTGAAGGTTTACCAGGTGAAAGGGGTAAGTGAATTTATTATTATTCATTAATTCTGAACCTGTCCTTGCATACCCCATTCCGATTACGTTTTTGACAACCCTATACATTTTACTCATAGTCTTCAGTACTATGAAAAACATGAAATTAAAATGTTTCAGTTCCTGGAAGCCACGCAGAAAAACCAAAATTTGTAGACTATTTATAGAATATGTGTCGAAGAAACTAAACTAAAGTGTTTAAAAACATGGCATAAATGAATAAGTAATTATAATTTCTTTATAATATTTCATATATTACTAAATATAGTATTTTTGACAGAAAAAGTTGGGAAAATTAATCATAGAACTTCTAAAGAAATGTTTAATATTTTGAATAATATGGTTGATAATTTATTTATATATTTTTAAGGTGCTGATGGAATTTCTGGTAGTGATGGACCAGAAGGATTAGAAGGAAATCCGGGGCAAAACGGTGAACGGGGAGATGCTTTTGGAATGCCAGTAGAATTACAAGTGAGTAATAACACTTACCTCTCTTGGGCAGATATTCCAGTGGGATAGGGGGTTTGCCAAAATATGAGATGGTGATTTCAGATTTCAGTGAGAAAATTCAAATAAACACAATCACACACATTGAAATGTTGGTGATTATTTTTTCCATTTTCAGTTGGTCAAAAGTAAAGAATAACAATCTACATATTAGTCAAACTTAGGCATCAATAAGTAGAAATTGTTTGGTCCTAAGTTGGCAATATATTGGAAATATAGTTTCCGGTGGACCCCACCATGGACCCCAGCCATCCCCCAGCTTTAGCAGGTCAATTCAAGCTATTCCCCCCTCCCCTCACAAAAATATGGAATTTCCACCATTGCAACCCTCCACACTTTTATAATAAGCAAGAATGTACTGAATATAAAATGTGTTATTTTCTATAATAAAATTAAAAGAGAATTTTGAATCCATTAATATTTTGACCAGCAATTTAACATTGAACCAATATCTGGACGTTAAAGTTGTTGGAGTAATGTAAAATCCAAGTTCCGATCTAATCAGCACAGAACAGAAACAGAACAAGAACAATAGCTTTCTCTGCTAATGCAGGAAATGCTAATTAAGTACAATACTGGAGTGCAATAAAAGTGGAATAAACCACTGTCTGTTGTTTAAAAAAAGGATAATAATAAAAATAATAATTATAATAAAACTAACGAAAACTTGTGTGAGGGCTCAAAGTCCACTTAAACTTTAAACATGATTTTTGGACCCTACTTAACCATTTTACCAGACGGAATACATGGGGTGAGTGATATTTGCAGTGGCTTTAAAAAAAAGGGTGTCCGGTACCTATGGCTTTTGCATGCCTTACTACTCTTGGGAAAAACCCTGCTCGATTTTTTTGTTCCTATGCTGTAAAGTATGCTGTGCGTCTGTGATGCTGGCATCAAATTCATTGAAATTTCCAAACACCTGTTGGTTATGGTTTTTTTTTTTGCATACATTTAGTGTTGGTAATGTAATTGTGCCCTATTGCTTGAAAACAGTATTGGATAAATATAAAGCAATACACAAGGACTTTATTACCCTCCCCCCTTCCATCCAATACTCAAAATAACCTATTATTGCCTATTTTGATGAAATCCAGAAGGAAGAAATTGGTTGACAGTTGACTTCTCAAAATGATAATCAGACTATACCAAATATGCAATGACTGGTTTAAAATTAGAGCACATATAAAGTCTCTAACATTTTTACCTGAATTAAGAATTTTTTTGCATACATTTAGTGTTGGTAATGTAATTGTGCCCTATTGCTTGAAAACAGTATTGGATAAATATAAAGCAATACACAAGAACTTTATTACCCCCCCCCCCCACCCATCCAATACTCAAAATAACCTATTATTGCCTATTTTGATGAAATCCAGAAGGAAGAAATTGGTTGACGGTTGACTTCTCAAAATGATAATCAGACTATACCAAATATGCAATGACTATGGTTTAAAATTAGAGCACATATAAAGTCTCTAACATTTTTACCTGAATTGAGAATTTTTTTGCATACATTTAGTGTTGGTAATGTAATTGTGCCCTATTGCTTGAAAACAGTATTGGATAAATATAAAGCAATACACAAGGACTTTATTACCCCACCTTCCATCCAATACTCAAAATAACCTATTATTGCCTATTTTGATGAAATCCAGAAGGAAGAAATTGGTTGACGGTTGACTTCTCAAAATGATAATCAGACTATACCAAATATGCAATGACTATGGTTTAAAATTAGAGCACATATAAATTCTCTAACATTTTTACCTGAATTAAGAATTTAAAAATATATACATATATATTGAGCTCTTTTTAAAGAAAAGTCTTTGGTCCATTTCCTGTGTTTCCTTATTTCTGTCATTACAAATAATGTAATGTTTTACCAAAATGGCTGCATAGGAACATTGGCCTTGCAGCTGGTCTGGTTTAAGTTAAGTTATTAATGCAAATTATTAATGCTTCTTGAAAAGGCCCCATTCAGCCAATGTACGTGGCAGAAATGTTGATGAATGTCCCAGGGTCACTCAAGGTCTGGGACCTTTAGCTAGTGAAAGATCATAGATTTTTTTAAGCCAGTTTTACACTAGGCAAATTTATTTGTGCGAATCAAAAACATCGGTTCTCTTCGATTGGATGTGCATTTTTCGCTTCTCAAAAAGTAGAAAAGTTCAAACTGCTGATTGTGAAAAACTCCAATAGAAATGTGAATAATTCACTTGGTGTAAAACTGGCTTTACGCCATTGGATTGTTGGCAATAAACCGAATACATCATTATAAAAATTACTTTTATCGGACATGGTGCTATCAGCCGTCGGTGAACTGTCAATATTCTGCATTTGGTGTGCCTATCAAATGAAATGAACTGAATATTTCACTTACACAGCATAGAGTAGGTCTGCGGAAGTGTAGTATACTGAAAAATTGCTGACTGATTTTAAAAAGTCACTGCACTTGGGCAGCACAACCTTTTTTTTTTCTTTTGGCCTAATGATAATAATACCATTTTTCTATGCATAAATTAAAATAAATTGCTTCATTTAACAAAAAAAAACGGATCTTTTTGTTAAAAAGTTGAATTTCTGTATAGTGTTGCTTTATATAAGAACTCGCAAATCAAGAGAGTTTTGATGAACCTAGAATCTTATCGAAATTTTTTTTTTAGGGTGATAAAGGCGTAACAGGCGATAAAGGAGCTATCGGTCTACCAGGTGTTGAAGGAAGTGAGGGTCCACGGGGACCAAAAGGTGTCAAGGGAATTGGTTTTCAGGGCGCAAAAGGGGAAAAAGGGGAGGATGGACCAAGGGGGCTCAAAGGCGCTTTAGGACAGAAAGGACAAAAAGGTAAGGAACATTCTTCCAACAAATATTGCGCTTAATAATCCTGAATCTACAGTTGTGTTACTACAGGCTAATAAAAATAGTTTTCAACAAATTCATTGTGACAGTAAAAATGTGACCAATAAGAAAAAGGAAATTCTGTCATTGTGCCAAAGAACAGTTGGGACATGGGTGTAAGCAGGGGGGGGTGGTATGAAGACGTGCCTCCTTCATTCACTGGAATAAGGATCTAGTTGCATTCTCAATCTCCGCACCTCCTCCTCCCTCCAGGATGAAACAAGCCTATGCCTGCCCCTGAGAGATATTTAGAATGCGTACCATGTAAAATCTTGGCTTGGATTAATTTAGTATAAACCATGGTGTTCATATTATGCCTTATGAAATGAAAACATACCAAGTTACCTATTGTGGATTGTATGTACTGTACTTACATAATGTAATAATAATAATTATATAATACAAATTATACTTTATTATACATATTATATTATATAAATACTATATTTTTTTTTATAACCAAGTGCAATTTTTAAAATACTATATCCATAGTTACATTGTTACATTATCTTTACACTATTACATTATTATTACACTTTCTTTCAAAACTTACATTTAATACTTACTTTATATTTGGGCCTTTTATATTTTGATTTGAGCATTAAATTATTGTCAGTAAGTATTTGTATTTACTATGTATTTTCTATGTCAACTGGAATTATACAATTAAATAATTTTTTCCCTGAGAATTTCAGACTAAAATTAATTACCAGTTAAAAATATAAATATTCATGGCAAAACCGTATTTATGGATCCCTTACAGGTGATGATCGAATGGATGTTGCTGTACCTGGACAGAGAGGTGCACCTGGTCTTCCAGGTGATCCAGGAGTTCCTGGGCTTGATGGATTATATGGAGACCCAGGGATCAAAGGTGTACGGGGAACCTATGGTCAGGAAGGTGATGTAGGCCCTCAAGGATCTAAAGGCCTTCCTGGAATTCCTGGAATCCCAGGTTAGATCATTGATAAATAATTGTTACAGCTCAACAAGTTTGCACAAAGAACACAATATGCAGCCTCCACTATTCTTAAAGAGAATATGTTACATTCTTACAGTGGAAGTATAGTTAGACGTCTGTGTAATCTCGCAGTATAGATGGACAATGATAATGATCAATTTATAGAGTGAATATATTATGGAGACCTCCATGCACTTAACATACACATGAAAAAAAAGGGGGGGAAATACCCCGGAATAAGAGAATAATATTTAAATTTAACCCTAAATACATGCTAAACTACTCCTTAAACTAAGCATGGTTGGCCATTGATTCCAAGGGGCTCATCTGCTCATTAAAATCCACATATTAGACCAAGTTACAAGTGAGCAGGTAACACACATCTCCATTTTATACCTTGTAATATATCAGCTACTTATAATTATTAGATACTGTTACCAGGTGTTCATATGATTTAACCATGTAGATTTTCACCTTACTAACATAATGGACCAGGTGGTCATACTAGGTATGCTAAACAAGCTAAAAAAAAATAATAAAATTACAGGTGTAGTCTGACAACCAGGAAATCTGCAAACCAGGTGTAATTTCCTAACCCATATCATGGGTTAGTTTCTGTCATTGTTATATGCTCAGTAGGTCCATGATTAAATTCACTATTGCTCCACAAGCCAAAATAACGAATTAAAAAAAATAAGTCCCTCGCTCTTTTTTCTGGAAGTTGTGCAGTGTTCGGAACCCACACACATGCCGTACTGTACATAGAACCAGTGGTTTAAATGTCTTATTTGTAAGATTGCTTTTGATTAAAAATTTAATTTGATCGCAATCTGCTACTTTTTAGAATGGAGCCTATTTTAGGTTATTGGTTCCAGGCCTGATAAAATTGCATTTGTGCAAAAACCTTTAACATTTCTGTAGTAACTTTCCTCCTAATAACTGTTCTGAAGAACTAGCCATTAATAAAACATATTTATACTCAGGAAGAGATTTTCGATACTTCCTCAATTTCAATGAAATTCCAAGAAAAAAAAAATCAAAACAATTAAATTTACATATTTTGTCATAAAAATTATTTAAATGGCTTCAACAACATGAAACTTGGTACTGTCAATAGATCCACTGTATGACATCATCTGACTATTCTAGCGTTTGTCCTAACAATTTGGTGGCAGTAGAACAGTGTGGGGGCCCGCCATTTTAGACAGTTTCCCCTATTGAACTGGATCAAGGTTAGGTAAAGAGCTTCATGGTTCTACTATTCAAACTCAGTGGTAATTCCACCACCAGTTTAACTAATTAATCTAAGCTGCTCTTCATTTTACTTCAAAATGTGATATGCCCATATTTGGGTGTAGTATGACATCATTCCCATATATGGCCACATCACACAGGTTTGTCACATAGAATTTGATAGTGTGAGCTGAGTCTTTAGCCCTGTCCAGACTATCAAACTTTATTTGACAAAAACATGTGACATGCCTAAATATGGTCATGATGACATCACATCATGACCATATATAGACACATCATGACTATATATTGGCATACAACAGTTGTTTTGTGAATAGGGCTTTAGATTTTGACGAATGCTTTTGACAATCATTCCCACTTGTTGTGCCCTATTTTCCTAATCCTGAATCATGTCACTTATTATAATATCATATTTCTTTCAATCATCTTGTAGGTCTTGCTGGGCCTAGAGGTGATGTTGGTATAAAAGGCGAAAAAGGTTCCCCTGGTCTAGAAGGACTAGACGGATTTAATGGTTTTGATGGGTTCCCTGGTGGTGTTGGACAGGTTGGTGATTTCGGGGAGCCTGGAGCTCCTGGGTTTCTTGGACCATCTGGAGAAGCAGGCTTGAAGGGCGAGAAGGGCGACAGAGGACCGTCAGGTTTATCTGGCCTATCAGGTAAGATGTGGAACTAACAATTAAAACTGGGATTATAACCTCAAATCAAAACTTTTTCTTTGTTTCCTGGTTGAATGACTTGTGGTTTGTTTGTTTGTTTGTTTGTTTATTGCAATTTTTCCACACATAAATAATACATTGACAAAATGAATTTCATTTATAAACTGAACAGATAATAATATAACAGTATTTAAGACTAAAAATTAAGGATGACAATTCATATTTCATCAATAATTATAATTAAATGTAGAACTGAAAATATGATATGTGTGGATGGAGTTCAATATAGGTTCAATGAACTTTAAGCAATGAACACCAGTAAAATATATTAACAATAAAAAATTCGGAGTACAACGTAAATGAAATATAGTAATAAAAATCATGAAAATGGTTGTTTGGCTGTTATGATGCCTTCCAAATCTAAAGAAAGTATATCTTATCTGTAAACATTATAATGGCCAACTCTAATTCAGGGGACACCCTATTTTAAGGGGACACCCCTATTTTAAGTGGACATTTGATTTGGTCCTAAGGGAAAAAGAACTGGAACTCATCTTATCATTCATATTATAACTTTATTTAGTAAGTGCTATATAATTATTTATTTTACGCAGATCTGTTCAATGTACCACCCGCTATACTTATATCTTTGCCTTTTTTGGTCAAATAAATTTTAACAATATACTTAAATATTTAAATCGCTTTGTATATTTAAATATGTTATTAGCATTTGATTTCAAATTAGAAAATGTCATCTTTGCTTGTATTTTGAATGTTATCACCTGACCATCCCTAACATTTATTTCTTGCACCTCAACGATCTTCCTCCATCACGTTACATGATTCTCGACACCCTGCTTTCCTGTCTTTCCATGCTTGAACTTCTCAATTTTTCACTTCCTTTTTTCACTTTGTTCTTTGCCTTTCATACAACCTCGCTCTCAGTTCCGCCACATCCTCTCTTTCTTTCTAACATTATGACCGGTCTTATGTAGGCCCTATTATAGTTAAGCTTAAATTTACCCCTTGTGTATATTTATTGTAGTAGTATTGTATTTATTTGGTGGCTGATATTGTAACAAACTTGAATTAAATTTAATTTAATTGTCATATTGTTTTTTTCACTGACAGGTCAATCTGGTTTACCCGGTATAAATGCAATTTCAGCCGAGAAAGGTGAAAGTGGCCTCGGATTAGATGGCAGAAAAGGTGTGGCGGTGAAGGGTAATACTGGGCCACCTGGTTTCCGAGGACCAAAAGGGTTTCGGGGTACTCGAGGTAAATAAACAATGATAATCATTTATTTTGTGTGAACAGCAAGGATAACTCACGAAAGTCCAAAGAAGAGTTCCGGTGGGGTCCTTGTGGTGGTGATTTAGTACACTGTCTCTTTTCAGAAGAGTGTACCGCGTTCTCTAGCATGCATATGGGTCATAATGCACACAGGATCGACAGCTTCAACATCTCATCTGAAAGACGGTACACTTTTTAACACCTGCACGTTAGCCCTACAGCTAAAGCGCAAAGAGAGACTTAAAAGGGGATAAAAAAAAAACCACAGTTCAGTGTACACACAGTGGCTACCACCAGTTTAGCCAACTGCACTCTTGCTAAAAAGAATTGGTTATGAGTGTTAACAAAATGAAGAGGATGATGATGGTTATAATGGTTTATAAAAGTAAATAATTCACCTACCAATATGCCTATTTTAATTTTGTAATCAGTGCAGTTGTATATTTTGTAATTTTGTTTTGCTAGGTCTAAATGGTTTCCGAGGAGGATTTGGAGACATAGGTGCTAATGGTGTGGCTGGTGCTGTAGGAGAGCCAGGACAAAAAGGATATGTTGGTATTAGAGGGGATAAAGGTCAACTAGGCAGACCAGGCTTAGTAGGAGACTTGGGGGAAAAGGGTGTCAGAGGTAAGAAAAGGGACTGCTGGCAAACCATTTTTCATAGGATAGTAAAAGGGTGGTAAAAGTGGGAGGAGCATGCAAAAAAAGGGGGGGGAATTTGGCAAAGAGTGAAGCTCTGGCATTATAGAAAGGTGCTTGCCTTCCAATTTCAAAGTCTGGGGTTCACATCACATAAAGAAACTTTATACAATGGTTCCAAGTTACAAAAATTCATTTTTCGGAAATCTTGTTAAATAAGCTTTCTTTTGCATTTTATTTTGCTGCTGTCTTAATTTCAGGGAGATTTCATTAGACGTTTCAACCCATTACTTAACAATGGACTGAAAGCATCCAAAGAACTATCATTGTTTACCTAGTTCTCACTTTCAGTTGTTTGTTCATCACATCATTTAGCTTGCTTATTGATACTTTATTGACACTTTATTACTTAATCACCAACCCTATTGGCTATAATATTGACTTTTTTTCATTGGTTAATTCTGTAACGCTTCTGGAATATCTGTTTGTAATGTTGAAATATTTTTCATTCCTGATGATGTTCTAATAAAGAAAATATCGTTTGAGGGGTTCTGGGCTATAATTTTTTTCTTTTTTCCCCTTTTTCCCCCTTTTTTTTACCTCCCAAAAAGGTGGGGGTGGGGCAGCCTCCCCCCCCCAAATCCACCCCTGAAGGTGAAGGTAGTCCCATATTCATTATTGAACGTAGGGGAATGAGCTGTAAGCCCATCGTACTAAGCCTCTGTATTGTGTGGTAGGGTTCCAGTTTCTTTCCATGCTGCTTTTCTTCTTCCACCAGTAGTGAACCGCCGTGTACCCATTTATACTCCTGGGTAAAGAGAAACAAACGTAGATAAAGTTGCCTTGCCCAAGGACATAAGCAAATTGCACAGCGAGAGTTCCGAACTCCTGGCCTCAAGGTTGGGAGTCCAAGCCACAACCAATACGCCAACCGCTTGTACATGATATCCGCATGGTTTACAGGTTCTTACTATTGTATTATAATATTGTCAGTGTGAATGGGTGTTTGTATTCTTTCAACTCGGTACCCCTGGTCACATAAAGCCTGATAGTATGAACGGAGCTCTAAGCCTTTTGAATTAAGAAGAAGATTGTGTTGATGTCGAAAGTAGGTAAGCAAAGTCTGGTATCAGACTTGTGTGACACAACTTCACATTTCCTGTCTTATAAATTATACTTTATCATCCTCATTTTTTTAACGGTCTTATTTTTAGGCGATATTGGAGATCGTGGACCACAAGGGGCAGAAGGGCCAGATGGCTTCGACGGATTTGCTGGACGAAAGGGTAGTGTAGGATTTAGAGGAGAAACGGGAATAAAAGGATTGGTTGGTTTTAATGGACCACCAGGAATAAATGGTAAGAATGGGATATTTATATCGTTGACTTGTGAGGTCGCTACTCCCTTCCATATATACCATCACAAACAGAAGCCAAAAATACATAAATAATAACAATTATGTTTAGGAGAATTATTTTCTTCCAGAGTTCTGTTTTGTTGGTCTTTAGTTATGTATGTATGTGCGCATGCTCCTCTTCTTAACTTCCCTCTACAGTAGCCTAATGTGGTTCGGGACCTCCACTGCCAATCGGGTAATTCGTATTGCCAGATCAGACATTTTATAATCTCAATGATTATAGTTAAAATAAATTTGCATACATACGACGGATATAAAAGAAACTTGTATTATTTAAATTGTAATTTGTTAAACGTACAGGAAAAATAATTCTTTTGAATGAAGACGAAACTAAAATCATGCCGGTATAAAACAAAACATAGATTTGTATTTTAACTATAGAATGCAGTCTCTGATTGCTTTGTAGGCTAACAAAGTTTTTCGATTAGCAGGCCGTAGCATACCCTGTAGTTCATCCTAGTAACTGTCCGCCACTGGTTAGGAAATATAAAGTAATCAAGGGCACTCTTATTAAGCACTCGTTAAAGATCTCATCTTTTGTCATGATAAGAATGCAACGTATCAATTAACAGTTACTGTAAGTAATTGGACTACTAATTGATTTATTATTTAATTCTGAGGAAAAAAATAATATTTTTGTCATGACATTTTAAAAATGAAATATGCTAATGCTCACTAAGGCAGATGCAATAACAAGCCAAAAACACGATTTTATTTTTATTTGAAATAATCTACATGAGGTAGGTTTGCTAGTCTGTAAAACAGTGTCAAACATGTTTTTATTTACTGCTTTTGTGATTATTTTCATGTGTAGGTGATAAGGGAGTTAGGGGAGATCCAGGGCCGTCGGCACAAGATGGTGCCAAAGGTCAGCCTGGCCTTGGAGGTGATACTGGGATACCAGGGTTACCGGGCCAACGTGGTGGGAATGGCAGACCAGGTCCCAAAGGTAAGATTAAACTAGTAACATCGTTGATGAACAGCAGTTCTGTATTATGGATATAAGTGAGACTATAGTCCGACGGTGGTCGTCCAAGGAGATTCCATGGAGAACGCAAAGCCACATAGAGCAGAGTTTGTTCTTACGACCATTGTACGATGCATTGACTGCCCAGCATAAAATTTGCTAAAATTTATCTGTATTCATATTATTTTATATGTTGTACACATACTGGGAGCTGCTTTTTCCTTTTTCTATAATTAGTATTAATTTGCAAAATAAAAATGTTATTGATAATAATAAATAATTATTGCAATGATAACGTTAATAATAATAATAACGGGTCCAAGGTTTTTAAGGCAAGAAAACAATCAGCAGATACTTTTGGAACATCCTCTAGTCACCTGTAAATTTTTTTTTAAGCTATAAAAGATAATTGATAGAAATATGTTGTTATTGTCTGCTTTAGGTTTGGTAGGATTTATTGGTCAAACAGGAAGCAATGGTGAGAAAGGTCAACGCGGTGTCAAAGGGCGAAAGGGCCCCGATGGAGCAGATGGAGAAAGGGCAGGAATTGGCCCTAGAGGATACGTAGGAATTAAGGGATACACTGGGATAAGAGGTCTGCGGGGAGAAATGGTAAATAAAGCGCTTGAGTGCAAGAACTAAAGCGATAGAATAGAGTTAATATAAAAATACAAGCGGTAAACAAAGCAAGATTCTTTTAAGAATTTGTATATTTTTAGGCTGTTAGTTTACTTAGTTTACAATGTATATGATGTGTTGGCTGTGTTTTGTAAGATAATCTATTTAGACTGTCTTTAATAACCTGCAACACCAACATTTGCTCCAGAATTCTAGCTAAAAAATCAGAAGTAAAATTGTTTATTTAAAATACAGCAATCATATAAGTTCACTTCCAACTATTCACAAATTTAACAGTTCTAATGATGCAATGTAGATATTTTACTAAAGTTAAGCACCCGTACAGTATTTAAAACTGAAAACTATTCCCCCATAGGCTTATATTACTATTACTAGTTTAATGTCAGCGTTAATATAGCGAGCGCCGTTCATGTAAACACTTTAGATTAGCTTACGCAGGCATAAGCTACACCAGCCTTACTTTGTGTGTGTGAACATACCCTTAACCATGGACTTATTATAAATAGGTTTATAGGTCCATGACTTAACAACTAAACGGATTCCATCAAAGCAAAATTGTTTATTTAATCAAATTACTCTAGCATGGAGATAATCACTTTTCAACTCCATGATACTGTACTATTGTTAACATATTATTAGGTGTTAATCGTGTGACTTCCTGCCACCTACATTGGGTTTTCTATGTTAATTTTTATTGTTTACTTGATCTTGAAAATGTATCTATGATGAACCCGAAACATTGGTCTGTTTTTGTCAATAAATTTTGTGTTAAAAATAAGTTAATTCATCCTAAAAAAATTGATTTTGGACATCTGTAAAATAGACATTCTGGGCCCCTTCTACTTTGAAATCCTGGATCAATCACTGCAACTAATACTGGAAAAAAAAAACTAAATTCATTTTCTTGTATTTATTTAGGGTGAAGCTGGAGTGCCTGGTAATAATGGTAATACTGGTTTAGATGGTGTTAATGGAGAGAAAGGTAAGCAAATTAGCAAATTTGGGAGATGATAGATTATAAATAATATTTATCTTTATGCTGTTACATATATTATTCTTAGATCTAAAGCAAATTTATTACACAGAATCACTTTTTAATTTGCGTGATGACATTTTTTATCTCCAACCATCGTTGTTGGCAATGGCTACAATGCTAGCAGTAGTGCCGCTGGCGTCGGCATTGGGTTGTTGGCCATCAGCATCATCATCATCCCCAATTTGAATGGTTGATTTGCTTTCTTTTTAATCATCTAATTAAATATATTTTACATTTTAGGTGAAATTGGTTCACCTGGATTTCCTGGCTTCAGAGGTCAGCCAGGTCAACCTGGTAGTAATGGTTTGGAGGGATTTAAAGGGGTGAAAGGTCTACCAGGTGAAGTATTAGGTGGATCTTCTGGTGCACAAGGTGAACCCGGATTTGTCGGCCTACAAGGAAATAGTGGTAAGTCTTCATTAGATTAAAAGTTTTTAGACTATTTTTAAGTTAAATTTTATAATTTAGGTGATGAACCTTTGACTCCTCACCGGACACCAAATCTTGCATATTGCTGGAACAAAATGGACCTTGTCAATTAAACTACACTGACGAATCAGGACAGGGCTATGAATATTTGTTGTCCCACAAACACGCAGTTGTTTTGTAGGACAACAATATCCAAGAGAAGATAACTTAGCGGATAGATCCATTCGCTAATGAACTTGTTTTCTTGCATTTAATGCTGATCTTTAAGATTTGCTGAAAGAAAGATTCTCAGCTGCAAAAATGACTGGCTGTCTGGTGCCGTCCCTCCAGAGTAGGCAGATATATATATATCTGTCTCTTATACACATCTAGATGTGTATAAGAGACAGGTTCTAATGATGCAATGTACAACATTAAGTGACAACAGCACTTTTTAAGACTATGTATTATGTAATTGTTTTTCTTTCTGAATCAGCCAGATATCAGCTGTGAGGTGCGGTATTTGTAATTATTACAGCCCCTGTATGGTGGAGTGGTGATACAGCTGTACATTTTTTTATTAACTATTCATTTTTTTTATTAACTATAAATTTTTTTGGCTCTATTCTTTTTACAGGATTTACAGGAGTACCAGGAATTAATGGCGATAATGGACTAGAAGGCCGCCCAGGATTTGATGGACGAAGAGGTGATATTGGACCAACCGGCTTACCAGGTGTGTGGTTCATATCTTTATTAAAACATAATCTTCTTTCAGAGCTGTAGTTCAGTGCAGTGTTAATAGGTGGTGACCACTTTTGGTGTGGGTGTGTGCTAAACCATGGAGGTCCATGGGTGCACCTAGGAAAATTCCATTACTGTACTTTAAATATGAAAATGAATTTAATTAACCCTTACGCTGCCAACTCTTATTCAGTCAACCAGAGCGCCAGCTGATAATATTACCTCTAATCCCCTGTGCCAGCTAATTATTAACAAGGTCACCGTAATGCTTATTTTTGATAGTGTATATTATTTATTCATAAACTATTGAGATTATGGAAATATAAATCTAAAAACAATTGCTCAGCATTGGTTGTTTTGTACATATATGCTTTTATTATTGCATTTTATTTATCATTTAGTGAATAAATGATAGGAATATTTTGTCAATAATGACAAATAGTATATTAGGCCTAGGCCTATTAGCAGAGTATGTGTTTTCACAGTCAAATTACTTGCCGATGAAAATCAAAATAACGAATCCTAGGCCTACGTACATTTACTAACATTATCATCACAGTCTAGGCCTAGCTAGGTCTACCCAGCAGAACAACGTTTTTTATGTCAGTTTCTAAGTCTTATCCAACACAGATGTAACAACTACAGAAGAATATAGTTTCTCAGCATTTCAAATCATCACATCATATTTTCAACTTGCAAAAACTCAGACTTCTAACAAAACAACCTCCGGCAAGTTTCAAAACAAAATGTGCAAAAATTCATTGGCTTTCATATCCAGTAAACACTATTTGTGTTAGTGTTAAAACAGCCACTCTTTGGTCGTTTTTTTGGAAGACCTTCACCAATTCGCATGCAAAGGTAGCATTAGCTGACAGTGAGCCTATTCGCATTTATGCGAAACTGGCATGTACACCAATTGTGCAGTGTTCGCATTTATGCGAAGATGGCAGCGTAAGGGTTAAAGTGCAGTTCTATTACAACCTTTTATTTATTGTTTTTATACTTTTTAAAAATAAACAATTAGATGGAGTTATTGTTGAAATTTGTATATGTGGTAAAGACAAGGGTTAAACAGTAAAATGAGTGCTGTAAATGGTAAAAGAATCATTTAAATCCAATATTTCGTTATGAAGTTACAGGTGTTTTAACACACAGCTGCTTAAAGAACAATATTTGAGAAATCAGCCTTCAAAGTTTATTATTTCAGACATTTCTCAGGCAGAAACCATCTCCAAATCATTAAAAATTATTGTTTTAACATTGAAAACAGGGAAAGTAACAACATAGCATGTTGTATAGATATATAAAGTTTAGTTTAGTGCAATAAACTAGATTTTAAAAATGTTGACATTTCACCATGTTTTAGCCATTATATCTGAAACGCAATTTGCGACGAGTGACTGGTTTGGCTTGTCTCTGCCACATGTAGGCTTTTGTGATTGTTATATAGAGCTTTCAAACTGAAATTTAAGGCTATTTAAGGCTTTTTTTTAGTAGTAATAACCTTGGAAAGCAACAAAAACATGTATCTGGTAACTATTTATTCAATGTTTTAATCAGTTAGTCATTTGCATGAAGATAACTACTGTTATTCTGGAAATTTTGGAATTATACGATTCAGAAAAGGAAGTAAAAGGATAATTACCACAGCAGTTGGGCAAGAAGAAGAATAATTCATTGGTATTTCTTCATTTATATCTGTATATGGAAAAGATTTATAATGTCCAATGTTTTATATTTGTCTTAGGTCCATTTGGAGATCCTGGATTCACAGGAAATACTGGTTTGAAAGGAGCCAAAGGCGACACTGGTAATCCAGGTAAGTTACATCAAAACAATATTTACCTCAATGTTAATGTTACCTGCTACATTAAAAAAAAATCAGCCTGATCGGGTGCTACATTTTGTATTACCACTTTTTTAATGTGTAGATGCCACTTTTTTCCAACAATGTTTACTTGCCACTTTTTCTCTTTTTCAACATGTGTACAGTACTTGCTACTTTTTCAACATGCATACTTGCCACTTTTTCCAACATGTGTAGATGCTACCTTTATCAAAATGTGTTCGTTCTGCTTTTTTCAAGATATATACTTGCTAATTTTTCCCAAAGATTATATAAGCTACTATTCTCGAAAATGTCTACTTGCTACTTTTTTGTAACATGTATGCATGCTCCCTTTTCCTCAACAATTGTACAAGCTCTATTTTCCAAAACATGTTCTTGTTACCTCTCTTACTCATACTTTTTAGCTTCGATGAGGAGCTCTAGAAGTACCCTACTGATTGATTAATTAATTAATAGATCTTTTTTGTATGGCTGGCTGTTAGGGGCCAATATACTCCACTGCTGCAATTAATTAATAGATCTTTTTTTTCGTGAAGTGCGCCACAAATATTAAGGACCGTGCATATTGCCATTACCGCTAATAGGACACGTCGTATAGATGGCGCGGTCGGTTAACGAGGTGTTGTATAGAACCAAAGGACGTGAGTTTGAATCGTGTCTTGGTATACAATTTTATTTATTTTTTTTCAATTTTAAGACTTTTTTTTCAGTTTAAAGCATTTTAATTTTGTACAAGTGAACATTCTAATTATTTAAAAGTTTCTATCTTATTAGTTCTTCCAATTTTTTTTGTCGTCAAAACAGCTCTCAAATATCTTAAAATGTTCATTTATATATAATAATAAAAAAATGAACACTGAGGCATGATTCAAACTCAAGGCCTTCAGTTTGTTACAACACAGCAACTGAGCGCGCCATTTATACGATGTGTCCTGTTAGTGGTAGTAATTAGTGGCAATTATGAACCCGTGCCGAAAACACAATATAACAACTTATGCCACTTTGTACCGTAAAGTATTTAAGCATGGAAGATGTTTCCTCCATGATTTAAGCATGTTTTGATAGTGTCCAGAAAAATCCTTGTCTAAAAGGTGCATACTTGAAATGTTAAACGCTAAATAGAAGTAGCCTCAGTTTAACGTGCGCACCGGTGAGTTGTCGCACTTGTTTTTTCTATTAACTGCCCTCACAGAAGCTTTCGAGATTACAAGAAGTTGTTTTGTTTAGTAGGTGAATATACTAGAATAGTTGTGTAAATGTTTATACAGTAATTCCAACCTTTGATCAATGGTTAAAAAAAGAACATATTAACATCATGACTTTTTTACTACAAAGTATGTACTATGACTTTTTACTACATAGTATTTTCCGCATGTTTACTTTATAATTCAACATGTTTGATTGCTAATTCCAGCTGGTGTTGCTACTACAGTACATCCCAGTTTGAAATACTTACTGCATTAACTTAAGAAAACTGAAATTTATAGATAATGAATTAGCACTTATATTTTATTGATAGGTCCCAATGGACAGCCTGGTCAAATTGGCGACATAGGTGAAAATGGCGAAGACGGTGAAGACGGAGAAGTTGGTCCACAAGGAATTGCTGGAAATAATGGACAACCCGGCAGCATAGGGATTTTAGGTAAATTATGTAATAGTATTAGATTCATTATATTTACACAATAAGAATACAGAATGCTCTCATTTTTTCTGTAGAAATATTTTTGTGAATAATGTAGTAAATATATGGTGTATTCTTAGGAACTTGCACTTGGGAATGAAATTCACAATTATGGCAGACTTTCAATTCTTTTCAATCAATCAATCAATCATTAATCAGTCTCACCAATCAACTTTAAAACTTCAGTCAGTTAATTTTATCAATCAATCAATCACTCTTGTTTATTAAGTCATTCCTATTAATCACTTTTCTTCAATCGTTCAATCTTTGTCAATCACTCGGTCCTTAATAATTCTGTAGCTATCAATTAATTAGGTCGCTTCAGTACATCATTTTCAATAAGTAATTTTCTGATTGTACATTTTCCTGTTTTTATTTAATTTGTTTATGTTAAAGATCTAGTTTGAATTTCATCTTATTTTTTTTTGTTTGTTTGTGATGGTCCCAACTGATCAGCTCTGACTGGATGGACCACCCTCTCAAAATATTGTTGAAGTAAATAAATTAATAAAATAAATAATATTCAAGCAATCAATTGAAAATAGATCAATATTTTCAATCAATTAATCTATCAGTAAATTATCTTACAATAATTAATTCATAATTTTTAAAACCCTGCCCTCGCTGTGCCAAACGGTCGTTGACTGACACGATTCTTTAGGGAGTACAATGCCATGATGTGCACGCAACGGATCGCTTTTAATGACGATCTGTTCAGACTGGCAAGCAGCAGACAGTGTCTCGTCGTTGAGTGCTCAAAGCGTGCGGAGTTGGATTTCTTGTGCGTCGGTCATGCAACCGTCGTATTAATAAATCCTTTTCAATAAGACAATCAATAAATCATTTTAGTTCATCAGTCAGTCATCTTCAATCACTCAGTCAATTTAGTAAATCCTTTGTAATCATCTGTCAATTTATTCTATTAATCTTCTTCAATCAATCTTTATTCATTGATTCAATCAATCAATCAATAAGTAAAGGAATCAATCAAAGGCAGGTACTTCAACAACATTATAATACAGGAAATCTTTTCGAGACAACCGTTTTCTTAAGAATTGATACACTGTGTTAAAGTTTTAATCTGCGTAGGAAAACAGTTCATGAAGTAGGCCAACATTGTGTAGATCCTTGATGGCACAACCTGAATTCCTCTGTCCTGCGGCATCATTTCGTCTTCTGTTGCTGGTCCTAACCAGTACAATTAATGTTTTGTTTTTGTTCTTTCAACAAACAGCTTTAAATGTATAACATATTTATTTTGTTGCTTGAATGTTTTACTGTTGAGTCTGGACCTTCTTATGTATTGAAAGATTATTTCCAGAATAAAAAAAACAGATTTTAATTTGAGCATCTGGCTGAGAGGTAATGTACGTGCCTACTGTGCTGAAGAATAAACCTTGCATGAGAGTAAAGCGAGACAGAGGACATACCGTAAATGCTTGAATGAGCGCCACGGTGCTTATAACATTTTTGAAGGCTTCAGTGCAGCGCTTATTCGAAAGCGGGGCTTAGCTAAAAAAATCAGGTTTGGTATGGCGCTTATTAGAGAGTGGCAAATTACGGTATTGATAATTGCAGCAGTTTATGGCTGCCACATGTGTCAGGGTCCCAACCTCAATATTTAATTCCAATTTCCAAAATTGGGATAATGACAAAAATAACATTAAAAATATAAAAAATATAAAAAAACTATGACATTCAAATTCACAGCCTTCAAGAAAGAAAGTATTATGCCCAAATATGTTCAGTAAATGTTTGTTGATGCTGATTGTTTTCAAAATCGTTTTCAGGTATACGTGGTGAAAAGGGTTTCCCCGGTATCTCAGGAGACCCAGGCAGAGCTGCACCCGTTGGTGTCAAGGGAGAGAAGGGAGACAGGGGTATTCCAGGCTTCTTCGGTTTTGATGGTGAGATTTCAGTATTAATAAATATCTAGCAGCTACATTTTCTGTATTATAATTATTGTTTTAAATAATTGTTATTAAAGTACCTGCCTATTAAGTTATTATTACAATTTATATTGTTTGTTTGTAGGACGAAATGGTCCCACTGGTGACCGTGGAAATAAAGGTTTTAAAGGTTTTATAGGAAACAGGGGAGATGAAGGCCGACCATCGGTCAAAGGGATACGTGGAGATATTGGTCCACCAGGAAACCCTGGATTCGCAGGATTCAAAGGTAGGTTTAGTTCCTGTAAAGTGAAGCAAAGGTTTAATCACAATTATTATGATAAAAGCTTTCCTACAGATAAGAATAATAGTTATAGTAATGGTAGACACATAATAATAATAGTATTAATAATTATAAGTGCAAATATGCATAGTCTCTAATCATCATCATTATTTTGCTTACCTATATGTTTATTGTTCAGTTTCTTTTGTAAACCTGCTATTGATGATGAAAAATAGGGGTGTTTCCTAAGATATTTGAAGTATGTATTTGAAAAATTTGAAAATATCCCATATATAAATGTAGAAATAAAATACTTTATTATTTTACATTTTATTATTTTATTTTTCACTTTTTTGTAATCAGTTTCAATGGTGGATTCAGGGAGGAAAAATGAAATAGAGAAAAGAAAGAAAATTATTTTCAAATTTAAGCCTTTTTTTTAGCTATCTAAAGGTGCAATAATCATTAATTTCTAGGGCTGAGGCAGTGTACACCCTGCATCTATTTTGAATTCCTGGATCTGCCACTGAATTTCATAGAACATACAGTATTAATATTCATATTTGTTCTTCACCACAAAGTTTAGAAAACTTTTTCATACCTTGTTTAGCGAACCCACTGCCCGCCAATAATGATGATTTCAAATAAAAATAAAATTTAATTTCTGGCCAATTAGCATACCCACCGCCATGAAAAAATGGAAATTTTAGAAAACTATCAAAAAATTTTTTTACACCCACCTCTGACTTTCTTTTAAAAAGTAAATTTGCGAAACAAGGTATTAAAAGAGTCCCGCCTTACCTATAAAGTTGTTATTTATCGTACTGTATCCAGATCTTGAAATCAGATGCTGCTCATCACTGAAACCCCCATGGCCCAAAATAGCATTCATGCACAATATATATTCACAATATGTTCAGAAAAAGCACTTAATTATATATGATTATATACAGTGCATTTTCCAATTTGAGAATTATTTAATTCCAAAACCCTACAAATTCAAGACCACTTTAAAAAAAAAAAAAAAAAGAAGCAAATTCTCAATCTTTTTAAGCTAAACCCAAAAATAGACCGCTCTAGATTTTAGATGGGTTCTAAGGGCGGTTTTGAATTGGAAGGCAAACTTTATCTATTAAACACATCTAATAGATGACTTGCGACTAAAACCAATAAATAATAATGTTCAATGAAGATCCTCACTGTGTAATTAATAAAATGTGAAAAGGTTTGAGTTAATAAACAATGAACATGATAAATAATCTTTTTTAATTAGTAAGAAAATAAAATATATCTCAAAGAATATCATTACTAATGATATTGCAGTTATGTTTACATCTCTGAAGTAATGATTTTTTGTTACCTCTATAGGTCCTATTGGTGATGTTGGTAGTAAGGGGCAACCAGGAGATAATGCACAACCAGGAGAGAAGGGTAATGCAGGCTTCCCTGGGCTACAGGGAGCCCCAGGACTAGATGGTATGTTCTGTGCTGTTTTTATGTTTTTAATTTCTTTTTTTGTTTTGTTTTATAATGTAGAAATTTAATCATATCAAAAACAATAACAATCACAAAAAATATTATTATAGTTATTGATACTATTTCATTTATATTCTGTCTCTTATACACATCTAGATGTGTATAAGAGACAGCCATTCATCAACTTTAATAGCTATGCATTCGATCTCCCATCACCAGAAAACACAGATTACTATTTACGCAGGAGGATGGGGAGCCGTCGACAACGGCAATTCGGGTTAAGCGCCCACGTGTTTACTGTGGTCTTCAAGTGCTCTGGTGAGCACAGAACCACCGTCTTCCCGTCTTGTTGCGTAAATTGTCTAATAACTAAATATCATAATGAGACTTAGGGAGTGGGGTTGTTCCTGCTTTCACAGGAATTGAAAGCAAGTAACCACCAAGATCTCTGTATAATTGTGTTGGTTTTGTTGCTATTAAGTTATAAGTGTAGTAGTTGATTTAGAAAATTCCATTCATTTATAATCTTTTGTTGCATCATTACAGGACCAGATGGATTTGATGGTGGCATTGGAATCACGGGTCAACGAGGGCAAAAAGGAGAGCGAGGGAATGATGGTTTCACAGGCTTACGTGGAGATAAAGGAATAGATGGTCCTCGTGGTAGAATTGGACAACCAGGTATGTTACACTAACAATAATAATGGCAGTGAATGATCGTATTAATAATAAATAATAATAATGCCCATTTATGTAGTGCATGTTGCTGGGTTTGATGAAATGTAGTTGTGGGAAGATCAGGAATAAAAGGCATTATTTAAATTATAGTTTTCATTAATTAGACCACATCCTGAAATGGTTAACATTATTAGGCGTAGATTCTTAAGGTTTGCATACAAAGTATGTGATGTTCCCAATTATAGTTTAAGTCTCTTTACATTAGAAGATAGGCGTCTGTACCTTGACTGTGTATTTTTATACAAGTGTGTTAACAATTGGTATGGTCACGTTTTACTTTTGGACTATGTCAAATCTAGTCGATGTTGTAAGACCGTTTCTTCTCTTTTTCATATTCTTTTTGCTAGTGTTAATGTCTCCAAACATGGTTTTAACATCAGGCTTCCTACCACATTCAATTGAATTTCGCTTTTTGATAGAACTATTGATATTTCTCTTGATTTGTTAGAGTTATTTAAAACTAAAGTTAAGAGTTGTTTTATTTTAGGCTTTTACTGAGTTTTTAAATCCGTGTAAATTGTTTTCAATTTCATTGTTTTTTCCATTGTTCCATGTATTCCATTCTCTTAAAGGCAGACTGCCTGTAACAGTATGATCATAAAAAAAAAGAACATTAGGTTAATGTCAATTTTGCTTCTAGTGCCTGTTGTCATTTAGGTGCAGTGTCCATTTTAACATCCAGTAGAATCAGAATGTATTATCATCAATAATTTAACAAGTGGTAACAAAATTAGTTTTCCTAGATGATTACATAATATTAATTATTGCATTATATAAAAATAGCAAATAAAGTTGTGCATGTTGGAAAGATGAGGTAAACCATTTTTGGTAAAAAATAAAAATTATGCTTATATTTGACAATTATCTCTTGCATGTGCATGGTTTATATTAAGGTGAACCTGGACAAAGTGGGGAATTTGGTAGAAATGGTGATCCTGGTGCCCCAGGGCAGAGGGGACCGCCTGGCGATATAGGTGCACGTGGAAGTGTTGGAGATCGTGGCCCAAAAGGTAAAAATGTTGTAAAGAGTATCAGACACCAAATAAATCACCAACATCATCATATTCTTCGTCCTCATATCTCTTTCATCATGAGTAGTATTTTATTTGATAAAAATATGTGGCATGCCTATATATGGTCATGATAACATCATATCATGACCATATATAGGCACATTCTGATTATATATGGTCACTCTGAGCAAAAAAAAATTTCAGTTTAAACAATCTGTATAAAATTCTCTTTGATTAAATTACCTCCTGGCCCCGCTGGCACCATCCCTGGAAAAGCGTGACTCAGTTAAATACATATTAGCCTGGTTCTCACGAGAACCCTAGTATCCGGATCGGGACCTAAACGTTAGTGCTGACTGTTAGCACCTGCGTGAGAACGCCTGATCGGTTAATGCTAACGGTTAGTGGTATCCAGATCCGCTAACAGTATCGGTTAGCAAGTTGAGGGCGTTTCTATCATCAACCAATCACACATTCACGTTTACAATTTCCAGTTTCTTATTGGCCAGTGATTCGATCATCATATTGTTGATATCCGGATCGTTTTCTCGCATGGACGCACGGCAGCTAACGGTTAGCAGGATCCGGATCCTGCTAACCGTTAGCAGCCGTGTGAGAACATAGCAATCAATACCGTGAGCATATTGTATGTTTTGCAGAATGTATCTCAAGTAACCATGTATATGCAAAATCAGTGGCGGATTTAATCAGGGGGAATTTTTACCCCTGCCATCATTTACTTTGTTACAGAAAAAAATACAAAATGGCATAGAAAATACTAAATGTTACAATATTTCATAACAGTATATACTAAACACAAATCATACCATTATTGGATACATGTATAATTACATTGCATCTAGGCCAATGCAATGGGTACTGCCTTTTTTTAAATATTGTTAAGATCTGCCCCTGCGCAAAATCGTACTACAGTATCTTAACACCTACTGCGTATTTTAATATCAATGTGAACAATGGTATGATTTGACTAATACACCATTCAGACTAGCATCGCATTGCGATCGGTTGTAGCAATTGCGAAACCCAATCGCAAAGTAAAATCGTGTGTGAAAGCTCACCAATAGTAGTCGATATGTAATCGATATCGCAATTGTTGCCCGTTGCGATTGGGTTACACAATCTTTTTTACTCCCGATTACCACAGAATCTGATCGCAACGAATCACAACAAATTCCACAGGCACTGTTTGGCTGAGGTCAGGCAACATAGGCCTAGACACCGGAGGCCTAGGCCCTAGAATGTAAAGTTTGTTTGTGTTGGTCTGAATGCGTTCGTTGATTGCGATCGGGAGTAATCAGTTTTGGATTACCACCGATTACATCGCAACCGATCGCAAGAGCATGTAGCCTGAATAGGGTATTAGGTAAAGTTGCTCTTCCTCTTGGTCAAAATTATTCCAATGTGAAGGGGGCTTTATTCTGTCATTTAGGTCATGAACATGACAAGTAGTGCATTATACTTTTAACATAATGACTGATTAATGTCCAACAGGTTTTAATGGAATACCAGGAGATAATGGTAACCCAGGATTCCAACCCCTACGATCCAAGAATGGGCTTCTCATTGTTAGACACAGCCAGGCTACCGGTATTCCAACGTGTCCAGGTGGCGCCACAATGCTTTGGTCCGGCTACAGTCTGCTGTATGTCGAGGGCAATGACAAAGCTCATCACCAAGATCTTGGTAAGTGCCACAAAGAAATTGGAATAATTGTATTGTTTTAATTTAATTTAACTTCTTTTAATATTTCGTACATATTTGAATAGTGGAAGCAGTTCGGCGCAGTGGAAATGGTTTGGTTTCCCAACCTCGATGTCAGGGTTTCAATCGTTCTCTGTACATTTCACTTGTGTCCTTGAGCAAGGCACTTTATCTACATTGCTTCAGTGTACCCAGCTATATCAAGGGTACCAGAAAATTGCTAGGAGTTCCTTGTGGTGGACTAGCATCCCACCCAGGGGGAACATCACACTCATCTGCTTCACGCTACCTCAAACTGGAGATTGTAAGCTCCATCTCTATGAGCCCTGTGGCTTGGCAAGGACTTGCTTTTTACTTTAAAAATTTGAATACTTTTTTTTTTTATAATACCGATTAATGCTGATTATTATAGTTATACTATTTTTTTTAAAATTTATTTATTAACACTCAAAACGTCTCGCAATTTAGAATTTTTTCATGCACCTTAGTAAGTTTATATTTACGTACATTACAATTTAAAAATTTGAAACCTAAACAAAGTAATAGGCAAATTATTGAACCTTAAATTCATAGTTATTAAACCAAAAGGATGAAATTTATTAAAAAATGCCACTAATATATTTTAAAAGACTTAATAATCAATGAAGTTGAAAAAAATTATTTGAGTGTAGAAAATCGTTTTTACACTATTATTATTATTATAATTATTATTATTAGAAAAACAATTTGTTTTAATTTTATTATTTTTGTATATTATTATTATTATTATTATTATAATTATTATGGTATTGTTTTTATTACTATTGTTATTAAAACCTGTAAATAAAATAGCAGCCCAACCCTAGATTTGTGTTTATAAAATTACTTTCATTATTAACATTTGAGCCCTCTTAAATCTTTTGAGGACATGAAACCCTGACCTGGTAACTCAAATCAATGAAAAATGTTTGTTAATTAAAATTAATTAATGGTGGCAATTAACAACAAAACTATATTAAATAAAATAACAAAGCTTGGAATATATTAAATGCTTGTGGTACACCACATAGACTTCTAAAGGCGATTGAAGCAAATCAGTCAAAACGTTGAGACATCCTAAAAAACAACAGTTTTTTCAGCTACTGTCTGTATCTTTGGGGTGTACCGCAAGCATTTATTATATTGTTACTTCGCCATGCAAACCTTTAAACAATACTTTAAATGTTTTCATTATCAATATTTTTTTTTAATACCTTAGGTATGGCTGGCTCATGTCTACCTCGTTTTAACACCATGCCATTCATCTTCTGCAATTTTGGCGGTACCTGTAACTATGCGAATCGCAACGATAAATCTTATTGGCTAGCAACCAGTGAATCAATCCCGATGATGCCAGTTGAAGACACCGCGATTGAACCTTACATCAGTAGATGCGCAGTTTGTGAGGCTGCTTCATCTGTCATGGCAGTTCATAGTCAATCGAGTAACCTCCCCTCGTGCCCAACTGGGTGGAGATCAATTTGGGCTGGATTTAGTTTCCTAATGGTAAGTGGTATTTTGTACATACAAGGAATTGTGCTATTTAAATGCCTAAAGCAGGTTTTCCACTAGGCTAATTTATTTGTGCGAATCAAAATTGTTGGTTCACTTCCTAAGCTCTGATTGATTGCGCATTTTTTCGTTTAGCAAAAAATGGAGACATATCAATCTACTGATTTTGTTGAAGTGAAAAACTCTGATAGATATATGTAATGCGCATGAACCAATGCTTTCGATTCGTGCGAATAAATTCACTTAGTTCAAAGCAGCTTAATATTTTAAAATCTCTTAATTTAACTTAAATTTTATGCATAGAACAGGGCTCAAATATTTATAATTATGTAGAGGGTGGCATAGCCTAATATCAAAGATCCTATAAACACAAAATAGCGTTCTCCGCGATTTACGCATGACAAGATAGAAGCGTCGATTTGGCAGAAAAGTAATTACTTTTGAGAGAGGGCGCTCTAGTTGTTGCCATGGAAGGTGTTCGCGTCATGCAAAGCTCATTACCAAGAATGTTTTTGTTCATTGTTTTAAAGAGAGTGGCATAGTAAATCAATGCTAATTGTTGCATGTAAAGGTAAAGTCGTGTGGTGTACGCTGTCAAAGTTGAGAAGTAATCACTTTCGAAAGAGGTTGGCATACTGCGTTATTACAGAATTTGCACACAGAAATCAGGGAGAACGCTATCTTGTGTTTATAAGATCTTTACCTAATATTTATTTATAGAGGGCAGAAGTGCTCAATAGTTACAAATATGTAGAGGGCAGCATTGATTAGTACTTAGGGCAGCAGATTTCAGAGATGTACATAGAATTAGAAGGAAGAATTCAAGTATTTTTTGCTACAGAATGGCTGACCCCTGTGCTAATTTTCAGCCAATCTAAACACATTGCATCATGAATTAGAATAGATTACTTGGATCACTGATACTAACATTTAAATTTGAAAGTGTAACACCATAAAAAATGGTATCAATGACATAAGTGAAATTTCTGTCAACTATAAAAAAGATTACTAGTATCCAGCAATACTCCATTCATTATGAATTGAATTGCAGTATTAGTTTCTGTTGTCAAATATTCCTTCCATTTATGAGATTTTCACTTTGTGTATTGCTCTTATAGGACCATTTTATAGGGGAAAAAATTCATGTGTAGCAAAGAACAGTATTTATTTATATATAGAGGGGGGTTTTCATGGTTAACCATGTGCATGTGTAGTAATTTCTTCACATTTTTATAATAATTTATTGGTTTTCCTCTGCAAATTTCAGATCATATATTAAAATTTCCAATCTGTTCTTCTCCCACAGCATACTGCGTCCGGACCTGAGGGCGGTGGTCAATCGCTCTCAAGTCCTGGTTCCTGCTTAGAATCCTTCCGTGCATCACCCTTCATCGAGTGTAATGGCCGCGGACGCTGTCACTTTTTCAATAATGCCTACAGCTACTGGCTAAAAGCTATGGCCCTTAATAGTATCGACTTTGATGAGCCGGAGAGTGAGTTGATCAAGTCGGCCACAGGAACAAGTAACGTGATAAGTCGATGCCGCGTCTGCCAAAAACAATGAACATCTACAGGAATGTGAAAATCGTTGTATATGAACTGTCATATATGTGTTTACTGAGTTAACTTTGTGTTAACTGTATATGAGACACTACTATGCTAAAATCATGGTCGATAAACAAAATTTAGAATTTTACTATGTGTAGTACTTTACAAAAAAATATAACTACAATTTCATATTTTTAGTAGAAAATAAATCACAAAATGAGTACTTAGATACTAGCAGTTTTTTAAAACATTTTTAAAAATCAATGTTTAAATTTTAAATGTAGCAATTTAAGTTACAATTGTAATTGTTACTCATTTGCAGAAGTAAAAATTAGGTCAAATTAATAGACTGAATTTAATTTTAATCTTCAAAGGTGTTAACAACACCTTTTCATTTTAATTTCCATTGACAAGTTGTTTCAGGTTTTTTAAATACTGTATACATAATCACCACCACATTAATTATTTTATAGATAGAAACCAGTAGCATTGGTTTAGTGTCTAAAATGTATTACTGTATTCTCGTAAGTAATCTAAATTATGTCATTCTCCTGGTGTTTAATTTGAATTTAACATTTGTACCAATTTGGTTGCAATTATCTGTTGCTGGAAATATAGAGATTTAATCTAGCAGTAGAAATTTGATTTAGTTTACAGTACATTTTAACATATATCAGCATAATCATCTTTCTTATTTTATATTTCTACCCTGTTATAACATTTTAAGGAACAACTATAATTACACATCATTAAAGATTGTGTCAATACTTACTGTATTAAACGATTTTAATATTATTACAGTATCTATTATGTAAATATGTATTTTCTTGCTGTTTCATTTCGACAGCCATTTACTATACTATTTATCTCTTGTAGCAGCCATACGACAGTGTCTCGCCATATTACTTGTGTGCAGTAAGCCATCTTTTAGTTCAAGTCGCATGCATGTCAAAGTTTAACAAACAATTAGTGTGTATTAACTGTATTTTATCATCAATCGACAGTCATTGAAGATTGGTTGCTGTATTCAGCTGAAGATCAACATTTGTAACACTATAAATGATATTTTATATAAACCATGTAATTGTTTATGATGCCTCGACCTTTGACATAACCTTAAGTTTTGACATACATACTGTACATGCACTTGAAACTACAAGATGGCTTATTATAGACATTTTCATTATTGAAAAATTGTATAAATAATTTCAAATTCTTGCTTTTATGAAGTCAGCAAGATAGTAACAAATAGATGTAGATTTACTATGGTGCTATTTTATAAGTGTGAACTCATTTTTGAATTATTACTGTGTTTGAATATATTTACCTTTAAAATAAATGATAATACAGTACAATACTACATTTGTATGTTCTTCAAAATACAAAATATGCTGCAATCGTTATGAAAATATCATGTAAAGTGGTTGTGTTGGTTGTAACAAGAATCTTCACAAAAAATATTTACGATTTCAATAAAATAATACCATGTCATTTGTGTGTTTTTTTTTTTATAGGCGAGTCTTTTTTTATACCTTGTTTTAGCGACTGGTATAGGCCCTAAATCTGCGTAAGCCCTCACTGTTCCCCCATTATGAATTCTCGAATCCATCGCTGCAGATGTCCTGTTGGGAGAAAGTGGGCGTATTCGGGAGTTGCTCAAAATATATATCGGAAGTGGTCCAGGGGGCAGATCCCCTCAAAGTTTCACAAGTTTCTATTAAAATGTAGAAAATACAGTACATGCAATTTATTTCTCCCCCACGAATAGTGGTTTTTCTCCCCGACAGGGTAAAGGGGGGGCAGCTTCCCCACCCCCTGCTTCCGGAATTGACTTCTTCCAACTTGGGATCCCTGGCATCTAATCAGACTACCTACCCTGAAGTGTGTTAGATGAATAAAATCAGAATGAACATATGAAATTGAATAAAACAATCATAAGAATTTTACTCATTTGGCTTTCTATTAAATCTTTTATTTACAATCTTCAATTCACTCAAGAGTTAATTAATTTGTGAAAAATGTGGATATGACAAGTGAAATATCCAGTTACATTTGTACTGATGGTTACAGTATATGAATACTGTACATACTGTATTTAGTTTTAGGCGATTTAAGATTTAGATTTAAGAAATCGCCAAGTTGGACACAAAATAGCTGACATCGTTGCTTAGTCAGATGTGTCATCTTGTATTCTCAAGCAAACACGAACGAAATTCTTTGTTGACGTATACTAACATTGATCGGATTATCCTCTTCAACTTTAACATTGCAAGTGAACTTGTCTGCTGTCCTCTATAAGCCAGCAAAATCAGCGAAGAAATAAACCACTTTATTAGAAGGCCATTCATGCTCTCTTTGAACTAAAAAATGTCTATTTGCACGATGATAGTAGTGACTTTATTTTCATGCTTGGTGACAAAGTTATTTTACTTTAGGTAGGGCTTCCAATCCCTATGAAAAATAAAATGACAACATTTATCAATCATAATCATCATAAAAATTAACTTTTAAAATAATTTTACCAATGCATATTTTACAAAATAAATATTTTAAGCCACTACAATAGCTGTTCCTTGAATTTAACAGGCACACATTTTCTTAATTAACTCCGCTATGCAACACCCCACTCCCCCCACCCCCAACTATAGTAATTTCACTAATACAGTAATCCTCTTTCTGGCAACTCTAAATTTTCAATATGATATCTAAATTCCTTTAAATATTTTCCTTCATGGCTGCAAAAGAATACATTCTTAAAATAAAAAAACAGTTTTTACTAACCTTTGTTTTCCAATCCATTCCAGCTAACTTAATGTCTCTCCTAAGTAGTGCATACTCAAATCTGCTATTCACAACTCTTCGAAGCTGAAAATAGTGAAATTAAATTATAATAATATTAATTTAGGGCCTAACTATTAATTTACACGAATCTAAACTTTAGAGTTGCACCATATAGATAGGCTAGTCCTAGAGGCTACTGTACCATAAAACAGAGTTACTTCATGAAAATGATTTAGGCTAGGCTAGCCTACCTACCTAGACCTAGGCCTACTTTTTTTTACTACAAAATTACTATTTCAATAAATTGAATGTCATTCAATAAAGGCAGTTGGTTGAATTACACAACTGTAACACAAATAGCACAGACAAGTAGGAATAAGGATAACTACTAATCTACAGGTCAAATGGTCTCCTCAGCCGAGTAAGCAACATCTAGGCCCTGCGGCCTGCTCAGAGTAGAGAAAGTGACAGGCAGCCTGTCATACAAAGCTCCAGGAAGGAAGGCCAAGTCTCCCCTCTTACGCTACCAGCAACAGAGGGATACTTACTTTGCCTCCATTTGCGGCTCTCTGCCAAAGCACATTACCCAAACCTATGGAAGTTACACAACCACATATAATAAAAAATCCTGGTAAAATTTCATACCACATTTTGTTTTTATTTGTTGACCTAATATGGCCAAAACTTAAAACGTATCCTCCTATCAAATCGTCCTTCGCAACTTCTCTTTTATTTTGCTTTTTCAGGCCACTCTCTCAACAATTTTTTATGTAAAAACTCAAGGTGCTCAGTTTTAGGGCTAGGTAAAATGTATGTAAACTTTTAAAATATAAAAATAATATTTATATATATAGCTTACTAAATAACATCGTATTTTGAATTTAAAAATGTTTACCAAATATACATTATTTATTGAAGAAAATTATCTGTAGGCCTATGTGTCAAAGGTTGAAGGTTATATAAATGTTAAACTCTCGAGTGTTGTTTTTTGGGGGTTGTGCTTTTCGAGGGCAGCAAGGAAAGAATTGCTATTTTCATGCAAAATGGTATGATGTATACATGTTATTATAATAATATGTAGAATGAGATAATGTCTTAGTTGTTGATATGTTAGTTATAATTATTAATAATTATGTGATATCCACACAGCACAAGTTGAAATCGTCACAGCGAGACAAGGTGAGGCAATTTATTCAGTTCACGAACACTGGAGAAAAGACTGCGATTTACTGTCTCTCTCAGCACGATTGGAGGCTAGATGTATCTTCAGATAATTACTTTCAAAATCCAGATAGATACTGCAGGGAACCAAAACCGGTTGTAGATAGAAAACAGATCGAAAAATTATACAATCGATACAAAGGTTCGTAAGGTCGGAAGATGGTACCTCCTAGTCCTACAGCCAGGAACCATCATCATTCCTTGTTTGTTATGTTATTATAAATAATAATATTAAATAATAGTATTAGTAATACTTACTACAAACAAGTACAATGGTGTGATGATTTAAAAGGCAGTACTGACACTGTACTTATATTAATATTATTGTTGCTGTACCTTTTAAATTTATACATTTTTAAATTTTTCCAGAAGTTTGAAGTTTATCATAAATATTTTCATACTTTTTAGATTTTTCTATTTTATAAACTTTTAATTATATATCAATGGCCGTATTCGACTGGTCGTTCTCCGTTAAACTATGCATAAAATCCTATTTAAACAAAGATGACCAGCCTAATAGTAAACTGGCAAGGTGAGATTTTTTATGCCTTGTCAGAGGAGGGTGGAAAAAAAAATTACAATAAAGTTTTGTTTTCTCATTTAGCACATGATGATTTTGCCAAAACCATCTAGGCAGGCAGAGGAGAAAATAAAAATAAAATTTTATTAATGAATTAGACAACATGTAAATGAGTATAATTAAGGAAGAAATATATATATCTTATTTTTGGAGATTTCAGGGGAGCGGAGGGTGTAATAAACATAAATATGAATTTTATTTTTTTATGAAATTTCCTTTTTTTTTTTGTAGCTGAAGGTGCGCTAACTAGCCAAAAATAAAATTTTGTTTTTATTCAAAATCACCATTATTGGCGGTTGGCGGGTTTGCTAAACAAGGTATAGAAAATTCTTGAATACTCTTGAAGTCTCTAAATACTCAACAAAACAAAATGACTTCGTAGCTACCACGATGCATGTCACCTTAATCAATGTTTCTTCGGCTTATAAGTATGAGTTTTATAGTAAAAAAATGTTTTCATGTAGTGTTTGAATTCTCTTAGCCTACAATTATTACTTTTAACCTCTCACATGCCATTATAAACCACTTAAAATTAAAATTATTTCTTATTTCTTTTTTAGATCAAGTTGAAGATGATAAAATCTTGGCTGAGGGAATTGCAAGGTTTTGTGATGACCTAAATTTAGATCCGACAAGTAAAATAGTTTTGATTGTTGCATGGAAATTCAAAGCTGCAACACAATGTGAATTTAGCAGAAAAGAGTTTATAGATGGCATGATGGAAATTGGGTTGGTGCCTTTGCATTTTATATATTGACGTCATGATTATTTTTTGGAACACGATGAAAAAAATATTTTCTATTTCAGTACTGTACTTTATTGTGTTTTTTCCATGAATTTTATTTTTGTATTCAGAATAAAGAAATAATTTTTAAAAATATTAATTATTTATTGTCATCAGCATCGGTTGGTTTATATGACAAAAAATATTTGTGACCAAAGTTATTGTGGTTGTACTTCTTGCTAATATGATCTAAAAGCATAATTTTACCCTCCTAAACCATAAAATTGCTCTCCTTGGGATCCCCAGGCGAGAGTTTAATCGGGGACCTGCCTATTTCATGAATACTTACCTGGATAAACCAATAAATGCTTTCCTTCGAAACTTACCTCTTGAGCTGAAAGAAAATAACTGAATAACTAGCTTGCATATACGGTACACCTGCGTGGATATACAGTTTCATCATTTCCTTCTCGCTGTAGAGCGATATACTGTAGATGAATTGAAAGCTTACTCTTTCAATAATTAGAATTGTCTACAGCTATTCTGTATGCTTCATGGTTTCTGCAGACAGAGCCGCATACAAGATCTTAGGTGTCTATCGCTTTATCCAGGTAAGTAACAACATCACTGCTGATTTGTTCAATTTCCAGTCCATTTATGTGGCTAATTTGTCCCTTTCTGGAATTCCTTGCCATATATATTGGTTTTTTTTAACTTTGTATCAACCAGCTAAGTTCAAAGTTCATTCTAACACTTTTTACTTATATTTCAGTTGCGATTCAATAGAAAAGTTAAAATGTAAATTAGGATCATTAGAAAATGAGTTAAAAGACTCCAATAAATTCAAGAATTTTTATCAGTTTACCTTCAACTTTGCTAAAACTCCTGGGCAGAAGAGTCTAGGTGAGTAATAATATTAATTTTAATTTTTTTAAACTTTTAATTATAAATTTAAAACTTTTAAATACTTGAATTAAACTCTTTTTTTTTAGGTCGGGCCATCCGTTTGTTCACAGTTTTGTCACTAGATATTAAATGAGGCTGCCATCCCAAAACCAACGTACAGTCGCTATGTGTTAGACTAAATAATGTGGCAGTATTGTATACTTTAGTACAAAAAAGATTTAATTTTACTCATAGCTTTGGCAATTTAGTAAGTTGATTCCATGACCTATCATTTTTAAAGCTTATAATGTTGAGAATATTAAATATATTGAAAAGTCAGTTTTCTTTATTTGTTTACTGATGCTGGTTTTGGCATACCACCCCCTCTTCTCCCCCTCCCCCCAAGCCAATATGCAGGAAGGAGAATGCTTTTAAATGTGAAGGATAATTGGAATGTTAGTGAAAAGATTCATCTGGATCTCTAAATTGTATATGTTAGAATTTATTTTTGATGATCCACAAATATTTAAATAAAAACGTTCAACAGAGCTTAATCATGAGTGAGTGAGCATGAGAATGAACGTAAGTAATCATTTTTATTCAAAAATATTTAGGTCATCAGAAAGAAATTCTGGCAGATAAATGGAATGTTTCTAGTTGGTATGTAATTTTGCTTAATTCCTTGATAGATCTCGATATGGCGCAAGCATATTGGCGAATAGTTTTGGCAGGCAGATTTGAGTTTCTAGATTTGTGGTGCAAATTTCTTGAGGTATGTTTGGTCATTCTGTTTGTATTTTGTAAGCATATATTATATTTTGTATAATGCTATAGTGGATATTGACAATATTTAAATAATTTGGATCATGAAAGATATATCTTTTAATACTGAATATTACAAATAATATAGTATTATTATTATTATTATTATTATTAATATTATTATTATTATTATTTATATTATTAATATTTTGTTAAATATTATTTTTTATGTTATCATTATTATTATTATATTGTTGTTATTATTATAACATATTGACCCCTATATATTTTGTAGATTTACTAAAAATTGTGTTTACCTTTTAATGGTTTAAAAAATTGAATATTTTGTTTTTGAACATTACAGTATTATTATTATTATTATTATTTATATTATTAATATTTTGTTAAATATTATTTTTTATGTTATCATTATTTTTTTTATATTGTTATTGTTATAACATATTGACCCCTATATATTTTGTAGATTCACTGAAAAGTGTGTGTACCTTTTAATTGTTTAAAAAATTGAATATTTTGTGTTTTACAAACAGGAAAATCATAAAAAATCAATCCCACGGGACACTTGGAATTTACTACTTGACTTCAGTAACATGATAACCGGTGATATGACAAACTACGATGAAGAAGGTAAGACTTTTACTCAGTGACTATAGTACCTAATACTAATATCTGGTCCTTCATATGAATGTTTGAATTTGGTACCTAATAATAATATCTGGTTCTTTACACTGACATGTGATTGCTTTCTACCCAGGAGTATAAATGGGTACCTGGTAGGATATTGTGGCATTAAATGTTCATAGTTTCGTGCGCTAAAGAAGTAGCGAACGACTAGGGATACTCCCCAGGGAGCAGAGGAAGTTGCACTTTGTGCTGGTTTGCCATTGTACGTTATCCAGTGACCAGGGGTAATAAAGCTCGCGCCTTTGATCATTCTTGGAATTGGCACCTTATAAATGTTTGAGTATTATTATTATTATTAATGTTTAATTTGGTTCCCTCATACTAATAGGTGATTGGTCCTTCACTGACATGTCGTTGGTGTTTCATATTAATGTTTAATTTGGTACCAAATACTGTAAAAATATCTGATTGGTTCTTTACACTGACATTTGATTGGTTCTTCATATTAATGTTTAATTTGGTACCTCATACTAATGTTTGATTGGTCCTTCACATTTACAAGTTGATTGGTTCTTCATGGTAGTAATGCTAACTTCTGATTGGCCTAATCAATTTCAATAAAATAAACAGACAACATTCTACAAGGTACCTTAGGCAAGACTTTTTTCATTCCTTGTTTCGTTTACTTATTTTTTTTAAGATCATCGGAGGAGGGCAGAATGAAAATAAAAATAAAATTTTGTTTTCTTTATTTAGCAAATGGTTTTGCCAACAACATCCGGATGGAGGAGAAAATAAAAATAAAATTTTATTGGTGAATGTAAAATGGGATGGATAAATGCTTCAAATTTATATAATTAGGAAGCTAATATACATATGGCAAAGATAAGCCAAACAAGTCACTGGTCGTTATTAATACATGGTTAAAGAGTAAAATAAGAATTATAAAAATGGTAAAAAAATCATTAAAATCTGACATTTCCTTATGAAGTTACAAGCATTTAAACATAGAGCTGTTTAAAGAACAATATATGAGAAATCAGCCTTTAAAGTTTATGATTTCGGGCATTTCTCATACAGAAACTATCATGAAATCTTTAAAAAATTTCGTTTTAACATTAAAAATGGGGAAAATAACAGCATAGCATGATGTATAGGTATATAAAAGGTTAGTTTAGTGCAATAAAATAGATTTTTTTTAAATTTGACATTCAAGCATGTTTTTGCCATTTTCTCTGAAACACGATTTGTGACGAGTAACTGGTTTGGCTTGTCTTTGCCATATATCTTACCTTTGGAGATTACAAGGCAGCGGAGGGCATAATAAAAATAAAGAAAAGTTTTATTTTTTTCTAAAATTTCCTTTTCTCATGACAGCGGGTGCGCTAATTGGCCAAAAATAAAATTTTATTTTTATTCGAAATAATCAGTATTTGCGTTTGACAGGTTCGCTAAACAAGGTATAAAAAAGTCTTGCCATACATCTCAATGGAGAGAGAAGAATAATTAAGGTGCATTACGCATGGTCACACACATAATGTAAAGAGTAGGATTGGAACTTACAGCAGGGGCCAGTCATTCTCACAGATTATTCCGCTTTTGTTTCACTAGGACCCAGTCTTCTTGATTTATTTAATGTCTTGACAAAGTCACTCTAATGCATAGCTCCGAATTAACTATCTCATAATGGCATTGGCTTGATTTTGCTTGCGGTGTGGAGGGGCTTTAAGTCCAGGGGTCCCAAGTCTTCCACAAGTCACAGGAATCTTGAGAATTGGGAAGATCTTCCACACTCCCGCAAGCAAAAAAGAATCTTCCGGAAAATAACCCATCCCCCGCAAATTAACAATATTTTCATGTTTTTACTATACTCTATTATCAATTTTTTTCAAAAGTCGGTGCTTTTGGATGTCACCAAGCACAGCAAAACAAAATTAGCTGTGTTTAAAAAAGCTCATTTAAACAGGTCTCCTGGAAATGACTTTTTTCAACTTTGAACCCCTTTAAGATTTTGTTGTATTAATTTGTATTGCTCTAAATTTTCCTATCATGTTTCCCTGCTAGGTGCTTGGCCTGTGCTGATTGATGATTTTGTGGAATATGCCAAACCAATTGTACAGAAAAGGAGTACAACAGTCTGAAACTAGTACCTCGAGAGAAACACTGACATTTCAAATATGAATTCTTTGGTATCGTGTGACCTCATCTAATAAAATCTGCAATTTGGTACCTGTGATTTGATTGTATCCTTCTCCAATGATAATACAGTTGTTGGAATCGCTGAAGCGTGAATGATTGACATCAAGGCATGGCTGATTGACATCAAGCATGTGCTAATGACATTGGCAGCTTGTGAGCTACATTCTTCACATATTATATACCAAGCTACATTACTTCCAGATATTAATTTTTATATCCGATCATTATGTTTGTGTAATCTAGATATGACTAATAGCATTGATATTTAAGTACGTCATCGGTTGTTTAATACAAAGCATGCTAGAGAAATCGTCCGTCACAGGTTTTGTATATTCTACTTTGTTATTTTTTTATAATATTTTATGATTTATGTTCATGTTTTATTGAACATTTTTGAAAGAATTGGATTATTTTGAAAGAATTGGAGTAATTGAGGCACTAATAGACATTTCAAGTTGTCGTCATAGAGGAAGGCTTAAACTAGTAAAAAAATCTTTTAAATACCGAACAGATATTGAATGTAAAAAATAGTATTTATCTGCTAGTAAACTGACCATTAGTAAGTAGATGATTGACAACAATTATGTTTCAAGTAGATTCAGTCAACGCTCTCCATTTTTATGTGATGAATATCTTTGATTTGCCCATATATACGCATGGTGATGTCATATGATACCATAGGTATTTGTCATAAATTTGGGATTCAACTGGAACCCTCCCATTGAAAATCGGGCACTAACCATAAAGCTACATTTTCCTGGAAACACTTGTCAATCACATGCCATTTTCCAAGTCTCATAATTGTGATGATAATTAGGGAGTATGAAAGGCTTTGTACCCAGTATTGTGGTATTGATTGGCAAACCTTATCGTTGTCAAGATATACTCTTCAGAAATCCATTGTTGACATACAGTATTTAGGTCTTCATCTTTTCATGTACCACATTGACTGTTTAATTAGAATTATCGTTGATATAACATTATTACCCCCGTCAAGGAGCTTATGTATTCTCTGCTGTCTGTTGGTTAGCAAGATTAGGCATAAAATTTAGTGGAATGGTACATAATCTAAGAAAGAGATGATTAAATTTTAGGAAGATAAAATCACAGGTTACAGACAGTTTTACACTCGCATAAATGAAAATAGTGGAATTTCCCATACACAGCCTGTGTATTGTTCGGTATCAAGGCATGGAATGGAGGTATGCACTCTATGGATTGAGTGCTCTAGTTCATTATTGCATTCGTAATTAAATGCTGTTTTATTATTTAAAAATATGTAGGGTTAATTTTTTTTCATTGAAATTGATTAATGAAGATCAAATATTGCGTATCAACAATGGATTAAGAAATAATTTAGTACATTTTTTGTTTGCAATTTCATATTTGATAATACTAGTAATAGTAGTTGATGCAGTTGATTATTTATAGAAAGATGTAGTGTATTCCATAGCTGGCTGGCATATTTCGTATGACCATTGTGTTTTAGACTGACTTTAGTTATTGTATCTGGCTTGATACTTAGGTTACAGGAGGTAAAATCTTGCGCCACACATTATTTGCTATAAACATGCAGTCTCAAGAAACGTGATGCTTGTTCCGTCTGGTCTCAAAACCATATGCTTTTATAAATGTGAACAAGCCAACTTGTTCCTAAAATCCTCTTTATTGCTATATATTGCTAACATAGTGGAAATTACTATAACATATATGTGACAGACAAGATAATCAATTTCTTCCTTGAGTTCTACAATAATAAGGACATGTAGCACACAAGGATGTTGCACACGAGGGGCCAATATAACTCAATCAATTGAAATGAGTGTAGATTATTATTTTTATTTATTTATTTAGTTAGTTTTAGCCCATAAACAACTACAAGATGAAACAGAATGCTGTTTAAACTATGAAGCTTCCTGTGACATATTCATCATTATGGGTATGATGATGCCATACTATGTACATGTGTGGGCAAAGGTGTTTCTCTTATAAAACTTGATACAGGGGGGTGGAGATGGTGCAATGACATTCCCCTAAATTGTATTAAGAAAAATAATTGTATTGTTGATAGGATATGAATTAACGGAAAGATTTTTAAGGTATGATAGTGCAATTTCCGGGCACCGAGAGGTCCATATCCTCAAAATTCTCTCACTCTAGCCCCAACCATGGTGTGGGGCTAAGGCAAGGGTAGCGCCAGGATTTGCCCGACTGGGGCCGATGTCCCAGACGATAAAAATGTGGGCTGGCGTCGCTCAAAATCCAGTTCCAGTGGGTGGATCCCCATAAAAATACAACAAATTAGAGGTTACTTTATAAGTAGAAAATCCATATACATTTTTTTCTCCCTCACAAAATTTGGTTTTCTTAAAGTGGCAGGGGGAGGGGGCAGCTTTCCATGACGGCACGACCACTGGGAAAAGGTGGTGTGGATTCTCACGGACCCCCTACCAACAAATCCTGCATCCTCCTTAGAGTAGTGTGGATAGTGCTTAAAATCAAGCGAAAAAAGAGTTGCAAATGCACAGGGTTATCAAAAACGAACTCAGAAAAGCGCCAGCACCAACACACAGTCTTGTATAGTGTTATTAACATTAGTCGAGGCTGCAAATATTGATGATTTAAAATAAAAATAAAGTTTTATTTTTTCCAATGAGCGCACCCGCTGCCACGAAGAAGTGGAAATTTCAGAGAAAAATGAAATTGTTTCTTTATTTTTATTACTCCCTCTGCTGCCTTGAAGTCTCCAAAGATAAGATATGTATATTTCTTCCTAATTATATAAATTTGAAGCATTTAACCATCCTATTTTACATTCGCCAATAACATTTTATTTTTATTTTCTCCTCCGTCTGGATGTTTTTGGCAAAACTATTTGCTAAATAAGAAAACAAAATTTTATTTTTATTCAGCCCTCCTCCGATGATCTTTAAAAAAATAAGTATGCGATGCAAGGAATAATAAAAGTCTCGCCTTACTGTACAGTATACGAATTGTATGAATATTTGAAGAGGAATCTTTCATTTATAATTAATATATTATAATAATTTATTTGCGAAATCTTTCTAACAATAAAATAATTATTAATAACATATTACTAAGGGCTCTACTGTATGTGCTCCCCATATTAACCTCCTAATTGAATCAAAAATTTATTGTATGAAACGACAATTCCAGATGTTGCAGTTTGTCATCAACTCGTTGGTATTTTGTAACCACCAGGCACTTAACATTCCTGTGTGGAGAGAACGTGGGAAAAAGAACACAAAAATAGTGTAAATGTCGATTTAGATGGGGATAATGATGCTTTAGGCCCACCCCCTCCTAAAGTATCGGCCATTATTTTTTATTAGGTCTGGCATGTAGTACCGTAAATTATCTGTGTACCCTTGCCAGCCAACATACCTTGTTTCTGGATCAACCTCTAGTTCGCCAGCACCAACACAATCTTTATTGTCACATGTTTCTACCAATACCGTACATTTACATATCTTGTATAGGGTCTACTATCAGTATCTTCGTTTAAGCACTGTTGAAGGCCTATTCAATTTGTGGGTGCAAACCACATCCCCTCTCAATAAGCTTCTTTTACAGAATAATCAAAGCCAAGTTTTTAATTTTGAATAATGCTACATATTGCGTTCATTTGTGGTTTCTACATTGAAGTAGTTACTATTTCAATACTACCTCTATATGAAATTAATTGATAATAAATTTTATGTATGTGTATTTGACTTTAACCTTGAGTTAGACCTCACGATGTTAGACAATACGCCTCGAACACCCTTTTGTAGGAATGAGTGCATTATAGGCCTAAATCTCATATTTTTTAGTTCTGTTATTAAAATATGAATCAAATTATAGATAAATAAATAAGCAGCAGTGGCAGTCGAAACTACTAAATTTGCTCATGGCTCCATGTGTCTATGTTGCGCTACGTTTCTCATTGGCCATTATGTGCACTTGGACGTAAATCTGCGTTGTGCGTATTTTCACGTGCGCTTTATTCATTCCAGCAAACCATGTGACGACTCCTAGTAGAAATCTACAACACTGCAAATCCCGCTAATGTTCTCGCGTGTCCATAGTGCCATGTATACTGCTGAATCATTCTTTTACGATGATTAAATACATACTGTGTGTATTAAGCCAACATTAGTCCTATAGTTCCTATTTTGATTACTAACTTTTGATATTGAAGTAAGTTGTTTTCTTTCAAGTTATGATTAGAAACAAATATGCAGAATTAAATTTAATCATTGCTGTATTATTTGCATAGACATTATATAGGTTAATAATCAATGTGAAGATTGTTTTTATTAAATGAGAATGATTTGTGCCTCATTGAGAATTGATAATTTATTTAATATTTTTAAATTAGCAATTCAATATTGTAAATTTATCCCCTTCCCCTAGATTTTGCGACAGACAGTTTATCTTCAAAAAATGCAGTACAATATTGCCGATATGATTAATACTGTATATATATTTGTATTCGACTGTTTATCATCCAAGACTGTATCATTTCAAGGCCTAGTTTACACTCAATAATTTTATAGAAAACTTTACGTACACTAGTATATGACTACATCCTTAAATAGTGTGTATTTCTTTGTGAAATATTAAATCGTGGCGGTCGATTAATAAGGATGGTATTTGTGTGATAAAATTCAAACCTATTGATATTATTTCTGTATTTAATTTATTCATTTAGATGTTGAATTGATGAAAAGTACTTATTGTTTATCATAAGTAAAAGCATCAATATAATGTGTGATAGCGATATCATTTTTTTTCGTTATATAACTCCATGCTGTATTGTAGTATAATCAACGAAATTAAGTATGCTTTATATAGGTTTTGCTAATAATACACCAAGCATTCATTTTATATGACGTCACGATACGCTTTTCAATCTTCAGGTGGGAATGTTCATTATTACGTAATAATGTACGTGATTCATTCTAATAAACTGTACAGACGATACCTCTACATTGGTCATGTGTTTGATATTGTGTGCGACGATATTACTATCACAAAAAAACCAAGTACTGTATGTAGGCCTATATATTATTTATAAAATATTAATGTAGCCTTGTGAAAATCCGTGCTTTGCCCGTATATGGACATTTTATTTTATTTTATTTTATTTTATTCGTACTAACCAACAGCGATAAAAAACGCCACTAACAGGTTAAAATACATACAGTATAAAATATTTATGTAAATAGATATAAAAGTACATTAAAAAGTACTAACAACTTTTGATTTAAAAACATTTAAACTGTCAAAAAATCAATATCAGACATACGAAACTTCACATAAACGTTTAAATAAACCTCTACATGTCACAAAAAAACGTAAGATGGATAGGGGAAATTTTCTACAGCTTTATCGGTATGATTCGTATTACAGTTGAGTTGCTCTATAGAGCATAATATAACTGGAGTAATAATAATGTCGGATATCGAAATTTACGTAAAAGCTTTTATAAAGGTAATATATTATTTTTTATACAATTCAGCAGTAACCATACTTTTACCTGTAAAAACCAAAATATGTAGGAATTTCGATTCTAAACTATAAACCTATGATATAGTTGCCGAATCTAAGGCGTTTGATATGTAAACAAGTTTGCATTTTTATCAGCACAACGTTCACCAAAACTACGTTCAATTGTCCTTAACTGGTAGGTCTTCTGGCGCCCGAAACTTTAGTTTTTCGGGGAGAAATCCTTTTTGTATAAGCGAATATGCCATGTCAATGATAGTCTTGTCAACAGATATTGGTGTGATTTTCAGTACCTCACGCATCTAAAAAATTAGAAGATAATTATACTGCCACGTAAAATAACTAAATAATAGAATAGAACATTAATAAAATTCCTACTGTTAATTAGTTTAACAATAGTAACATTCTCACATGTAACTGATATAAGCCTATTAATATTTGTAAAGTAAATATTTCAATAATAAGACAAACAAAACGCAATTAATTTCCTGATTATCGATGTTAAATAGGCCTACATCGTGGTCGAACTAGTTCGCACCTGAAACGCATGTTATTCGTAATGTTGAGACTTTAATAATATATATTAATGCTTCGGTACACCACGTAGATAGTTCTGAAAAGAACTGTTGTTGGTTGAGAATATATCGACGTTTCGATTGCATTGCTTCCTCCATGCAAACCTTCAAAAAAGGTCAAGTGATTGATAAGCTGTTGTTTCCATAATTAATGGGGGCCTATACCTAACGTTTCAGTACATACCCTTGTTGTGTCCACATTAGGTTTAATCCCCCAACTTGCAGTCGTGTTTCTGAGTGATGAATCGAAAAAAGACAAAAACTTGAGAAAAGGGCGTGACGCAACAGCTGTAGTTGGATTGTAACCTAGATAAGTAGAGAGAAAAGTAATTCAATGTTCATCAGCTTTACAAATTTAAAATTAAATTGGTTTGTTTGTATACGTATCGGCCTGCTTTTACTATCCTGCGCCGTTAATTTAGACATTTGCCGAAACTTCACATCCATTGAGTTGGTAATGCGCAGATTTTAGCTATAATCAGCAACAACGAGCTCAAAATATTTCTGAATCTAGACCTGGATTTGTTATACTCCGGGGGGAAAAAAAACCGGATACCCACATCACATCAGAGTTAACTATTTGAGCCTATCTGATAGGTCTAAAGAGTATAACCACATTTTAAACGTCGGTCAATTGTGTCATTGTTTACAGTATACTGCCCTAAAACACTCGCTATACCATAACCAATATCAGTTTGGAAACTCCTGTAATGTAAGTGATTACACACATACCTTGCGACTTGAACTCGCTTGCCAGTATTTTTCCAATTTTATCACAGAATACGAAATCCGAGACGATTATATGACGATTGTCTGAAGAGGATATTAAAAAATGTGAAATAACTGAGTAAATAATATCTTATGGGTGACGTCATTGACTCAAACATACAGGTAATAGAGACTTATCCATTAGCCAAGTGATCGTAACCAATATAGTTAAAGTCGAGGAATTGTATTCTAACGGCAACTGAGTGTGTTAAGTACCTCACATCCAGTCGGACTCAAGGACAGCCCCAACTCCCCCACCAAGTTCAGAATGTTCAGATTTTCAACATTAAGGATGGGTTTCATCACTAGTTTAACGTTGTCCCATAGCAAAGAGTTCCTAAATTACTTACAATGGATGAGGTCTTTAAGCAGTAAAACATCCTGGATTGATTGACTAATTGATACCGGTATTTGTTTAATTGATTGTAACTTACGTGCAGCTTCTGGACATGACAATGCATTCACATGAGCTTTTGCTACATCTCTGACGTCACAGACTGGTAGTGCAATATGTGGCACGCGGCTATTCTTATTCATAAGAACATCCGCTATAACTGCAACACTACAACCAGGGGAATTTGTAAAATACGGTCCTAGAACAAATCCAGGATTTATGGAGACCAACTCGAAAATTTCATCACCTGAAATACCAGATTACTAAAAGTCATGTAGGAAGTTATACATGGTCAGTTTCTGCTAGCAATTAAAACGGACTTACGTGTCACTTATTCATTCTCTACGACAGGGACGTAGCCAGGATTTTGAAAGGGGGGAGCCGTTATGCAAGGTACGTAGGACCCCGGCGGGTTCCAGGGGGACGAACCCCCTGCGAAGTAGCGCACTCTGAACGTTTTAAGGACTGTTTTGGGAGGATAAAGTGAACATTGCATTAGACACATCATAAATAATATTAGTAGGCCCAACAATAATTACAATAAATCAACAGTGGCGGATCCAGGAAGTCGAAAGAGATGTGACCCAAGGAGGGACTTTTCACAGACTGAGGAACCACCCACCTCAGCCCCACCATGGTTGGGGCTGAGGTTTGAAATTTATGATTAGGGCACCAGTGGCGGATCTAGGGGGATGAATAGGGTGGCTAGCCCTAATAATGGTCATCCGTCTTGTTTATGTGATTCTCGTGTACTCTGGTAGAACAACTCTTTCTATTTTAAGCTTACTTCTTTTCAGATGCCACCTAAGATCGTCTAGCAGTCTACTAATTCCAAACAAAATCTTAAATGTGAGGGAATGCCCCTCCCAAAACCACCCCTCCCCCGCATGTGCCTTCTCACCTCCCATTATCCCCCCCCCCCCCCCCCCCCCCCCCACCCCCCCCCCCCCACTGGGCACCTCTAGATGGCCGGAAATTACACTTTCATACGTAAATTTGAATATATTTTCCTTCTTTTCCTTAAAAAAAAACCAAATTCTTATCCAAAATAGTCATGGGCCTAAACACGAAAAATAGGCATGAAAAACCAGATCACATCCTAAAAACAAATTTATGCACCCTCTCCTCAACAGTCACAAGGTATACTCGGAGTCAGGTGCCGACTAAATGGAGTTTAATGTCAAACCCAGGGAAGGGCGCTAATCTGTTTTGAAGGGTGGAGGGGGAGGACATTTTGTGAGTCGACAGCCACCTCAGACTCACCATGGTTGAGCTGAGGTGCAAAAAAGTGAGGAAATAGTACCTCTAGATGGCCAGGAACGACACTTTTAGTAAAATTAATTATCATCACATCACCATTAGTCCAAATGAAGAGCTCAAAAAAATCCTCATGGTCTTTTATCAGGGATTTTCGGCAACCATAGAGATCTTATTAATGTGTGTGATATACCATAGAAAACAAAGCTTAAAATCATTGCCTTTGAGTGTTCTTTAGATATTTCAAAACCGTGGCTCACAACCACCTCAGCCCCACCATGGTTGGGGCTAAGGTGAGAAAATTTGAGGAAATAGTACCTCTAGATGGCCGGAAAAAAATTCATCATCATCACATCACCATTACAATAGTCAAAATGAAACGCCAACAAATTTCTCATGTCAGGGATCTACTTAATATCTAGGACAATTTGGCCTAACTATAATCTACTAAGCTTTAACTATTATCATCAACAAATCACAACTTTATTTTTCGCTTATAGCATAATTTTCTTCACATTTTAATATTATTAATATTACTATCAATTATCACTATCATCATCATCATCATCATCATACTGTAATTATTATTATTATTATTATTATTATTATTATTATTATTATTATTATTATTATTACTATTATTATAATTATTATTATTATTATCATTATTATTATTATTATTATTATTATTATTATTATTATTATTATTAATATTAATAGTAAAGTATTATTAAACAAAACTTTAAAGAAGCTTGCAAGAGGATAAAAACCAAACTGAACCATACAGAATCACATTTCTTTATCTTAAAAGACTTGGACTGGGATTTATGGATTTTTGAAAAATCACGTTTAGGCATGTATTATAATTATAGTAGGCCTAGGCCTATGTATATTTACGTATTTTAGAAGTATTAATTTTGAGTTATCCCAGGAAATAATTTGTATTGGCTCAAAAACAAGCCTTAACATTTTAACACTGTGTACAAGGGGGGGGGGGGAACCGCTGCTCCCACGACTCCCCCCCCCTTCCCCGGGATACGTCCCTGTTGTACGGTACAAACTTTTTAGGACACATTGGCACAGTTTTTTTTTTAAAAAAAGGTAACGGAACATTTGAAACAGTTTTGCTACACCTTACTTTCGACATCTTTGAGGAACTGCCAAGCTGCCTTTTCTGCCTGAATCTTACTTTTAGAATAAGCCGTCCCTTCATTGATATCGGTCCAGTCTTTTTCTGAGTATGTTGAAGATTTTTTAAAACTGGCTGAAAAAGTAAATAAAATGTTCATGTCAGGAATGAAATGGATTGAACATCGAAGTGTCTAGTTGGCCATTGGTCAAACAACTAAACTTGGGGACAAATTAAGGAGTATAGAAGTATAATTGTATTTCATACACTAGATGGAGATTAGTACGCGAAGGTTCGATTAATAGGCCTACATGGCAAAACTATAGCACGAGGGCTCAACTTTCCCCGGCACTATCAATCCTTCATGTACGAACCTTTTAGAAAGTCTATTTATATACCGTAAAACCAAGAAGCCCATCTCAAACTGAAACCCACCTCTTGAGTTTGCAAAATTAGCCTCGAAAAGAAGCCCATCACGAATTTCAAGATAACATAAAACTTTTTTTTGGTGGGGGGGAGTAATTTTTGGGGGCGTGCGCCCCCGTAGATACGCCACTGTGTACATGAATTTCTAAGAAACAAATTAAATTAAAAACACGCTGGTTTATACAGTAGTTTAGGTGATTTAATGCTGGTTAATGCACTCCATGATAAAGGTTGATGCTAAGCAGTATCCATATTTATTGTTTTATAAGGCCTACTAATTCTCAAATTGTATATCATTCATTGTGAGAAGAAGACCCCCTTTTTAAATTGCAAAAGTGGCCTCGAAAAGAAGCCCAGACACAAGTTCGCAAAATAAAAAAGAATTCGAGGTTTTACGGTATATGCCTATAGGGAATAGACCTATGCGTATTTTCTAAAGTCAGTTTACTTTTGATTTATCTAAAGTTTATTATAGTTTTATTTATTTATAGGCTGGTATTGAAGTTTGGTTGCAGTATTCGGTTATGAGTAAATCTTAATAAACACGATTTATAAACTACAGGCGAATACGGTACCTTGCTTATAGGCCGTTTGAATATTTGTGTCTATGACTTTACTTTCAAAATAATAATGCGAAGGCTTATGAAGATGGACGGATTTGTAGAATTGGAACCTATGGCGAAATAACTAAAAGGCAGACACCATAACCACAGACCTTAACAATCTCCACTCATAAACACAATGAATTTATGTTGAATATCCCACAGAGAATAAAATAATAAAGCGCTGTCACATTGTAATAAACTGCCTTCACGTACTTTATTATTAGCCCCGGTCATGGATAACATATTTTCAATTTACTAAATGTCTACATGTGTCAAAAAAGAATGCTCAATCAATATGAATTAACGATGTCTGTGTCGAGGTTGATAAACTTTAAGATAAAATAATATATATAAATTTCTTTGTTTACTTTATAGACAATCAGTCAAATTAAGACAAGTACAAATAGTAAAGCAGGCCTAAATTAAACAAAAAACGACGAGGAATATAGAAACGACGAGACAAGCTTATTCTTATCATCGTTGACAATTACAATTCAGTACTAGTACTTTCTCGAAACATATCTAGAGTTACAAGAATAAAGGTGCAGTGGACCGTTTGGTAGCGTTTATCATGCATTCCTCCATGGTTATATAAAGTATAACATGCTATATCCATGGAGGAAGAAAATATTCTTCCTCCATGCTATGACCATTAAATTGGCTATAATGTTATCAATTTTGGTAGTAGGTCTTATAAAAGTATGTGGCGAACAGCGAAACTGATAAATGTGATGTTTTAAATATTGTGACTTTTGCGTTTTTCCACAGACAGATATTAGCCTAAAATGTATACCAAACTCACAGACTGCTAAAACTGAACTGGTCAGGATGACACGTTTTACACCTGCAGTACTGCACGCCTTCAGGATGTTAATAGTTCCCTGTACAGCTTGTTCTGTCATCTCGCCTTCCTCTTCTTTCCAAAAACCATCTGTAGGACTTGCTAAGTGTATAACATGAGAACAGCCCTCTACAGCACTGACAAGAAACATGAGAACAAAAAAAAAGATATATATTAAAAGAGACTTAATTTGTTAGCTCTGTAATGACGTCAACGCACCGACGTATAATCTAGGATAACTCAGAATCATTACATTTTCAGAACGGATGAATGCATGTGAGCAACGTCACAGTCAGACTTATCAATCAATCAATCAATCAATCAATCATTCGGTCAACCGATTAATAAAAAAACGACAACCAACTATTAATCGATCAATCGCGATCGACCGATCGACTGATGAATCCGATCCACCGACCGAACGGTCAAAAGTGCCACACTCGTGTAAAGATTCAAATCCATATTAGGCCTATGTATTACCTCCTTGTTCAAATCTCCTATTTGTATACTAATAAACAGTCTATAGTCTATTCTTGTTCTGTCTACCGAGGGCTTACCTTTCCCAATCGTCTGTGTTCAATACATCAGCCTCAACAAGCTCAAACGGTTTAGAAGGATCAATACACAATTTCTCTAGAAGATCTCTTTCCTTGGCATCATTGTTTGATCGTATTGTTCCACGTACATTGATGCAATTCTGTTGCAATTGCCGTATAACATGTCCCGCAATAAATCCTGTTGCACCAGTGACCAGTACCTCTGTAAAATAAGTATATCACGATGAGAGACTATCTTTTTCATTGACAATACAGTACCATTCTGAGTACCATTGGTAGGCATATTAGTAAAATCAGACTTAATCTTGATAGACTCAATCAATCCAACAATCAATCAACTAAACAGTCTGTAAGTCAGACAATTCGGCTAATTAATCATCGAATCAACTAATCACTTAATAGATTAACCGAATCAACTAATTCAAACCAACTTGTCAGTTAGTCAACCAACCAAACAACTAACCCACCAACCAACCAACCAACCAGCCAACCAACCAACCAACCAACCAACCAACCAACCAACCAACCAACCAACCAACCAACCAACCAACCAACCAACCAACCAACCAACCAACCAACCAACCAACCAACCAACCAACCAACCAACCAACCAACCAACCAACCAACCAACCAACCAACCAACCAACCAACCAACCAACCAACCAACCAACCAACCAACCAACCAACCAACCAACCAACCAACCAACCAACCAACCAACCAACCAACCAACCAACCAACCAACCAACCAACCAACCAACCAACCAACCAACCAACCAACCAACCAACCAACCAACCAACCAACCAACCAACCAACCAACCAACCAACCAACCAACCAACCAACCAACCAACCAACCAACCAACCAACCAACCAACCAACCAACCAGCCAGCCAACCAGCCAACCAACCAACCAGCCAACCAACCAACCAACCAACCAACCAACCAACCAACCAACCAACCAACCTACCAACCAACCAACCAACCAACCAACCAACCAACCAACCAACCAACCAACCAACCAACCAACCAACCAACCAACCTACCTACCAACCAACCTACCTACCAACCAACCATTCAACCAACCAACCAACCAACCAACCACCCAACCACCCAACCAACCAACAAACCAAACAACCAACCAATCAACCAATCAACCAACCAACTAACCACCCAACCAACAAACAAACAAACAAACCAACCAGCCAACCAACAACCAATCAGTGGCGTCGCCAAGGGTGTGGGGGAACAGAGGGGGGGCAAGGTCCCCCAAATTTTGGCCTCCCCCACCCACTGGCTCCCTCTGAGGTGGCTAATGAGGTTCATTGACATTTCTACATATCGATAATTGCTCGAATAATTCAGCGCCGTCAGTCAGCCACTTTCAAAACATAACTAACAAGATGCCAAATCTGTTGATATATTTTTCATTCGGAATAATTTCATTATGCAACTGAATTTGTTTAATTGATACACAATACCATCATTTAAGTTATTACTATATTTAATTATAGGAATATAATACACTGATGTAATACGTCGCTTAATATCATATTATGGCTGTTAGTTAATACTTACTCGTTATTTCGACCTTCTCTGCCATTGTCTATAAACACAGTGGTTGAAGGTTTCAGTGAAGGTGTGTTTTTCTTTCAAACCTCACGCATGTGCGATTTTTGTGAATATGATCCATTAAGCCACCAACCTTCAAATTCCGAATTCCTTGGATGTAGAATGTCTTCAGAGTTGTCCTGTACGGTTTTATGTGCAAAAGTAAGTAATAGCCTTCATTATGAAAAGAAGCACCACTTTTTAGTTAGTTTTTTGCAAAAGTAATCTCGAAAAGAAGCAATTTCTCGAAAAAGACTCATGTGTCCTAACAAAAGATAAGCCAAGGGCATTTATTTGAGGTTTTAATAATAATAATAATAATATAATAATAATAATAATAATAATAATAATAATAATAATAATAATAATAATAATAACTATTATTATTATTATTATTATTATTATTATTATTATTATTTAATTTTAAGCTTTCTGGGTGAATTTGTTTAATTGATACACAATACTGTTATCATGTTATTACTATATTTAATTATAGGCCTATAATACATTGATTTAACGTCGCTTAATATCATATTATAGCTTTTAGTGTACTTACTCGTTATTTCGACCTTCTCTGCCATTGTCTATAAACACAGTGGTTGAAGATTTCAGTAAAGGTGTGTTTTTCTTTCAAACCTCACGCATGTGCGATTTTTGTGAATCATCCATTAGTTCGTAAGATTTGAGGTATTGTCGTAACTACAAAATGAGAGAAAATACTCCCATGTATTGTTGACAAAGGCTTCAAAATTCTGAAAGTTTGTGAACCATGACAATTCCGTGTCATTAACGTGACGTGTATTAACCGTCAGCCGCATTAACCCTAAATGTCTAATAATTAACACGATATGGTTGACCTCAAAACTAGTTAGGCCTACAGTAGAACCCCTATAAGAGACAAAAAAGCATTGGCATATTCAGGAGCCTTGAAGTGGGTTTGCTGATAATGGGACGCGAAGGCCAAGGGGAGCGGGTGGGGCGGACTCGATGCTCAGTTGAGGTGGAGCTAACTCACAAAATAAGGTGATTTATAGTGATTTTTTAACTACTTGACCCTGATTTTTTTTGGGGTGGGGGAGACGGGGGAGCGAATAATTTTTTTGAAGGGGAGTGCGCCCACCGCCCCCTAAATGCGCCACTGACAAAAAGGTGTCTGGGGTGTCCCCGAACAGGGGTACTCCTATTTAAGAAAATTGTCCCCTTAATATAGAGTTGTCATACAACGTTGACGTACCGTAAAACCTTGAAGCCCATTTCGAAATGAGGAGCCCCTCTTTATTTCACAAAAGTAATCTCGAAAATAAGTCCAGGGCTTCTAATCAACATATATGGGCTTCTTTTCGTTGTCTTTGATGATTATGATATAGAGTATTATTTTATCGTAGCATGGTTAAAATAAATCCCGCAAAAATATATATAACGAAACGATTTGGTCAACAGGATTTCGTGCAAGCATTCAATTTGTAGAAGCCTTACATGGAAACATTGTAACTTTTTAACAGGACTAGTTGAACTCCGGCTATTAGAAGACAGGAAATTTTATAATTAATATAGGCCTAAGTTACACATGTGCACACGTTTAATAAATAATACATAGGCCAGGCTTATTATTTGTTGTTTTATGGTAATAAAAATACTGTATATCAAAACTTGATTTTTATATAGAATTCTAATTGTCCAAAAGATTGTCGTCTACATGTTTTGATCATCACAGGCCTAATTAAAAAAAAAAAAAAAAAAAAAAAAAGAAAATTACCTAATGTTTGTTAGTTTTGAAAACATAATAAACAGAATTCCGAATTCCTTGCATGTGAAAATGTCTTCAGAGTTGTCCTGTACGGTTTTATGTGCAATTCCAAGTATTAAGAACATTCATTATGAAAAGAAGCACCACTTTTTAGTTAGTTTTTTGCAAAAGTAATCTCGAAAAGAAGCCTTTCTCGAAAAAGACTCATGTATCCTAACAAAAGATAAGCAAAGGGCTTTTATTTGAGGTTTTAATAATAATAATAATAATAACAATCATAATAATAATAATAATAATAATAATAATAATAATAATAATAATAATAAGAATAATAATAATTTTATTTAAAAAAAAAATATTAAGCTTTCTGGGTGCGCAACGAATAGTGTATTGTATTGACCTAGAAATCGGGGTGCAAGTTATACGGGTATGGAATGAAATCTATGAAAGGGAAAATGCTATGTAAGAATCAAAATCAAAATTTAAAAAAAATGTTTATACAAAGTAACGCACGTTCAGTGGGCTTAATTCAAAAGTTGTCAATTTCAATGAAATAATATTCTTTTGTAGTTAGCGATACCATAATAAAATTAGTTTCCTCCTTGTGTGTTTATTTCAATTTGGAACACTCTATCAGAAGTCGGCGCCCCCATCTAGGGGTGTCCATATAATAAGGGTTGGGAATATACATAATGAAAACTTTACCCCTAATTTCAGTAAAAGCTTAGTCAGGTAAATTTGATGACTTACATCGTAGGCATAAACGCACTCACCAAAGAAAACACAAAATGCGTAGCTGCTATTTGCTTATGAGTGCGCCGTGACGTCATTCGAAAACAAGATAAAAACGGTTCTAAATACAACACTTTAAAACGTATTGTCCCTTGCTAAATACCAAAAAAATCATAAAAATATTTTTTTAAATTAACTTTTTGAAGTAACATACGGTAAATGTTATCAACTTGAACATAGAAATTAGTGCGGTGTATTTAAAAAATGTCTACCCATCAGTTTACAGCGAAAAATTATAGAAACACTTCCATTCACTGAAGTGTTTTATTATTTTTATTAATATAATTTTTTGGTTTAAAAATCTGGGTACACATTTTTTAAATTAAATTTTTATGCGCAAGCAAATAGGTAATATGGAACGCCATTGGTGCCAAAATCGGTTTTTCCAGCTTTTTTTACTGATTAAGACAAAGTTTAGGGACTGGAACCCAGTCTAGTTGTCCCCTTAATGGGGTGTTCCAAAAGGATAAGCACTGCTGTAGGCCTATCACTATGTTAAATCCAAGATTCAAAAGGAAGAGTGACGTGGGCTTCTTGGTTGCAAATTGAATGGTTGAAATATTGTATTTGTTTTCATTCTAGATCCGCCTCACTTGCGCGACTAAGCGAAAATTTTCAAACACAATCCTGCTCAAATGTTTTTGCTTGTTTGTTTGTCTTTTTAATTAAAAAATCGTGGTTACGGAACAAACAATCATCCCTCCTGTTCTGGTATCGCCTTATAATTAATTTTCTTCTAATGTAATTTATCAGTAGTTTAATTTATCAGTAGGCCTACGTTGACTAGTGTCATTCGCTCTCTAGGAATCATAGCTACGGCATGTGTCCATCATACACGCAGTGGCGGCGCCAGCGGGGCGGGGGGAGGGGCTGTCTCTTATACACATCTAGATCCCCGATCGGTCAAGCCCCCGACCCCCTCCCATCAGCCAAAGGTTGTCAGGCAGTCGGACCAAAAAAAAAAAAAAAGGCAGTTTTCCCATCCCAGCCATTTCCGGCCATCTAGAAGTCACAATTTAAAAAAAGAAATCTTGTTTTGAGAGGAGGGGACATCCCCTCCCATACATAGCCTACCCCTCCATGGCTCGGGCCTTCGGCCCTCAGATATAACGCTGCGCACTATAGTTAAACCCATACTTAGCCCCTCCAGTCGGACATCTTAGCCACCCCATAAATTATATCCACTGCATACACGTCTAAAAAATGCTTTGTAAGAGTAATGTAATAACTCAGACAGTAATTTCTAGAAAAAGTTCAATTTATTACAGTGAAAGTTGCACTGTCATCCTGTCATCTGAAAGTTGCACTGTCATCGTCATCTGAAAGTCAACTCCTCTGATGGTTGAGGGCAGGTTGAAGTCTGGATCCCGTCATTTCAAAGCCGCACAACCAGGCCCGTATCCAGGGGGGGGGGGTTTTATGGTTCGGGAGAACCCCCTTTTTCTAGCAACCCCCCCACCTCTTTTATTTCAAATTTCCTAAATAAGTCCTCCAACACAACGAATGCACTGCAGACCCACCCAGACACAAACGTTTTCAAACATATCTGCTTTTAAAGCATTATTTAGACCCATAAAGCACAAAAGTCCTCTTGCTTTGGTGGTTTATATCCGACCCCGACGCTTACCGACGCTTGCCAACGTTTACCAACGTTGGGCCAACGTCGCTTTGCTAGCTGGGCATACACGTCTAAAAAAATGCTTTGTCAGAGTAATGTAATAACTCAGACAGTAATTTCTAGAAGAAGTTCAATTTATTACAGTGAAAGTTGCACTGTCATCCTGTCATCTGAAAGTTGCACTGTCATCGTCATCTGAAAGTCAACTCCTCTGATGGTTGAGGGCAGGTTGAAGTCTGGATCCCGTCATTTCAAAGCCGCACAACCAGGCCCGTATCCAGGGGGGGGGGGTTTTATGGTTCGGGAGAACCCCCTTTTTCTAGCAACCCCCCCACCTCTTTTATTTCAAATTTCCTAAATAAGTCCTCCAACACAACGAATGCACTGCAGACCCACCCAGACACAAACGTTTTCAAACATATCTGCTTTTAAAGCATTATTTAGACCCATAAAGCACAAAAGTCCTCATGCTTTGGGGGTTTGCCGACCCCCACCGGGCTTCGACTGTAGACCTTATGCCCAGAACCCCCCCCCCCCCCACCCCTTGACCTGGCTACGGGCCTGACAACCCTACAAAATGATTGATGTTAAAGCAAGTAAAATGTAATAGTTTTTAAATACAAAATGTATTAATCATAATCATATCATAGTTGGTTAAACATTCAAAGCCTCAATAGGCGCAGTCACATATGAAATCGGCACCGGCGCGCCACCGGCATACACAATAAAGCATGCCCTCTAAAGATTAAAACTTTGTTTCGCATGATTGAGCATGCTAAAAATAATACAGAATCAGTAAAACAGAGCGTGAGAACGCCGGTGTATAGTGCTGAGCTGAGAACAGTGCCGGGCAGTGTTTAATTGAGAACGGGGTTAGTGTTGAGGGACTGGGTAGTGTTGCGAACGGGTAATTAACAACAGGTTAACGAAGACAATATAGTAGATGATAGACATGGCGTCAAATGATGCAGATGGAGTAACAAGTAAGTAATGGAAAAATCCATCATAGCAGTAAAGCCTAGTAGGTAGGTTAGGTAGACACTGACAGGTCGGAAGGGCTGTTCGTCCTCAGTTCAGTGATCTCGTCCGCAGTGTCACGCCCACCCGTAAGGTATGGAACGCCAAAAGGACAAAATACAATTGGCAGCAGTGCAAAACTGAGAGTCAGCAGTGCAAAACTGAGAGTCAGCAGCGCAAAACTGAGAGTCAGCAGCGCAAAACTGAGAGCAGTGCAAAACACAGAGTCACAGTGCAAAACACAGAGTCACAGTGCAAAACTGAGAGTCACAGTGCAAAACACAGAGTCAGCAGCGCAAAACTGAGAGTCAGCAGCGGAAAACTGAGAGTCAGCAGTGCAAAACACAGAGTAACAGTGCAAAAGTGAGAGTCACAGTGCAAAACACAGAGTCACAGTGCAAAACTGAGAGTCACAGTGCAAAACACAGAGTCAGCAGTGCAAAACACAGTGCGAAACTGAGAGTCACAGTGCAAAACACAGTTTTGCACTGGTGACTCTCAGTTTTGCGCTGCTGACTCTTAGTTTTGCACTGCTGACTCTCAGTTTTGCACTGCTACCAATTGTATTTTGTCCTTTTGGCATTCCATAGTAAGGGACCATTTCATGGGCATTAGGTTGATGAGACTAGCTGTGTAGGCGAGAATATTCAGAAACCTACATTTATACCATAGAAATGATAAATTCTTGTTAATACTTGGTCATGCTATTCTGTCCAGGGTGTACCATGCCACCATGCAGAGGAACAGGCTAGTTTTTGTTGGTGGGGGAGGGGGTTGAAAAACGATTAAGGGGTGGGGAATGCGAAAATTGAGAATGCGGAACAAAATTCCTATTCCAATGAAAACTTAATGTTAATTTTTAGTATTTTAACCCACTTAAAGGAACATTGGGAGGGGAGCATCTGCACCCCAAGCCTATGCCCATACCATGTTGGTACATTGATTCCTATATAAGTAAGAGACAGAATTCAACATTAAGAATTAAATGGTATGAATGAATGATATGGGGGCCAGACTGTAAAGAAGGACTAGGCCGTAAGATCATGTCCTCAGCACAAAAATAAAATTCTGTCTGCACATTTCGAAAAATAAGGGCGATTTCCGCTCAGATTTTGCTGAAAATTAAGCTTTGACTTAATCTTAATATCTGACTATTTGAGTAGTGCAGAAGTTACAATTTTGTGAACCTATTTTTTTATAGAGATGTCTGCACAAATTTGAGCTAATTTTTCAACTTAAAGGTGGTACAGTAGTAGATCACATAAAATGGAGGATGATATTGAGAAGACCCAACTCCCCCCTCCCCCTTATAGGGGACAAACACGATGATAATGATGATGACTCATGTTAATGCATGTTTGATAATTGACTTAATGCCAAAAAAAAATGCTCTATGAATTATTGTTTAAAATCGTCTTCAATAGTTTTTAAAATTTACCGGTTTCAATACAATAATTTTCAGTTTTCCTACACCCTCCCCCCCATCCATCGCTGAAACATCTGTTTGTGTTGCCAATTCTCACTTAAGCAAATCTTGTTGTCGTGGTTCTTATTTTATAAATTACAATTTTATTAAATCAACTTAGTTTGTGCTAGGGAAATACATACAAATTTCCCGTTGTTTACAAATTCCACAAATCTTTTTAATATAAAATCGTTCTTGTTTTTTTATTAGATCTTTATACGGTGGTAAGACAGCTTTATAGAGGTGTTTGTTCAGCTGTTTTTACCATTCTGGTGATTTTGTTCCAATGAAATTTGAATAAAATAAGAATTGAAATAATTGAAATGTCTAATTTTTTTTACAATCTTATCTGCTACTGTGCTTAAAATAATGGATTCTTGCACATTCTGTTCTTATAGAAATTTGACCTTGAAATATTTTGATTTAACCTTTACATTTATGGAGCTGCAGTTACCAGTTCAGTATGTACTTGACTGCTGTGTACACAAATGTGTTTATTGTGCCTAGAAAGGGAGACCTATTGAAACTTTCTGTTTGCTCAGTGTGTTCAAGGAGGTATATACCTCCTTGGTGTGTTTATGCAACAACAAACTATTAAATGCTTAGCACATAGCTTGGAATGATCCACTTTAATTATTTTTTTAAAAAATGTTCCTGACCATTTGTACACAACAGGCCAAGCCCATAGCCGAGGGGTTCAAAAGAACCGACCACTTTTTCAGAAATGCCATTTTCCCTAACCCTCAGAAATCTTGCCTACAGGCTTGATCAGGCTTGATAGACATACCATATATACAAAGAATATAATGTGCAGGTGGGTGGGAGGGGGGTAGATTGTTTAGATTTGTTGTTGTTGTGGTGCCCCTCCCCCGGCCTCCCCTGATTGATTCAGCTTCATTTACCTTCTGAGACATTTTGCAATAAAATTTGCTTTAGAAGGTATGTAGCTTTTGTATCATCTTAATTTCGTTTGGCCAAAATAGTTTTATGTTGCCAAAAGCAAAACTGCTTTTAAGGTTAAAATGATCTGGTATTCACACTCAGCACTTTTGCTAGTTTTATTGAAGAAACTTTGACCATCATTAAAATGTCTTTAGTGGTCAACCACATAGGCATTTATGCAGCTGAGGAATTTTGTAGAAAATAGCAACTGATCAATGTACTAATGCGGTCATCTCTAGATATGTAATCAATTATTTGCTCTTGTACCTCGCACTGTTATTTTGGCTAAATGACAAAAATACAGAGATTGGCCAATAGTTATTCATTAAGTTCTTATCACCTTTAACTTAGTATTACTGTGCTTTTTCCAGTAAGTACTTTTAGCAATTAATGAGTGCAAATAATAGACACAATCAAACAATACTAAAAGAAAAACAAAAGTTTGTGCATTGCATTAATTAGCCTTACCCAGATTTTTCTCTGGATTCGGCCATAAGATGCTAATTTGTGTTTGAGAAATTTACTGTTGATATCAAGTACATGACATGAGTGTGCTCCCACTTGATTATAAAATATTAGGTCAAATGAAGATGATGAACCCAATATATTTAATGGCACCACAGGCTATATAATGTTGTCTTCTTAATACTCTTTTATGTGTGTGTGTGAGAGACACTTATTAAACATTATCTTCCAAAATCTTGGGGATCAGACAATGCTTAGTTTATCACAGTCTGTTGATTCAGAAAAAAACATTTTTTTTTTGTACAAAGTAATTGTAACCTTAATAGGGTATACTGTATTATTATTTTAAACTCAAGCAAAGTCAACCATGAATGAATTGCTTTTGACTCAAACATGATTTCAGCCTCTGACCTTCATGACCTATGGTGGTGCACACTATTTACTTATGGCTTGATTCAAACTCGCATATCATAGTGGCCTTTAGGGCCAGAGTGTTAGCAAACATGATTTGTAATCCTAGCAAAGTGAGGCTCATTATTATTTCTTCTTTGTTATGTATGATTTTGTCTGAATACATTGATGATTGAAGTTTTTCTAGTTTTCAGTGTTTGGTTTATTATGAGTTTTTGTATGTCACTTTAATTGGCGACTTCCCCCAGCAGAATAAATTTGTTGGTATTCTTTTTTCACTGTTTTGAAAAATATGATCATGGTCATCATAATAACATCCATCATCATCATCACCATCACCATCACCATCATCACCATCACCATCATCATCATCATCATCAACATCATCATCATCATCATCATCATCATCATCATCAACATCACCATCACCATCATCATCATCATCATCATCATCATCATCATCATCATCATCATCGTCATCATCATCATCATCATATTATCTTTATTGTTGTTACTGTTATTGATTATAATTGTTGTTTTTATGGAATTTTACACCTTCTGCTAAAAAATATGTTTCACTACAATGCACATTTTATGGTAATATTATCTATCAGAATTTGGTGTGATTCAGCATTTTAAACTTCTGTTGTTGTTTGTTAATAGGAGTGTTAGTTACTGGTGCCTCAGGTTATCTTGGTGCCCACGTGGTGAAACAGTTACAGGAAGCAGGTCACAGGGTCAGAGGAACAGTGCGAAGCACAAAGAACGAACAGAAGATAAAACCACTTAAAGAGCTTTGTCCGAACGCTGCATATGAGTTAGAACTTGTGGAAGCTGATCTCCAAAAGGAAGATGGATGGGAAAGGTATTAAGTGCAGTGCACACAAGAATCGTTTGCTTTTGATGTGCATTTGTGACAGTTAGAGTTAGCACTTAGCTGCATGTAACAGTTTAATTATTCTTTAAACTATTATCTTTGTCATCATTATGATTAACAATTTGATTAAATTTGAACTTTATCATGCTTATAGTATACCTATTATGACCAACAAAATTATTTGTTTTGTCTACACGGTCAAATTTTATTTTATATGCTCATATTTGTATGTAAAGTGTAGGCAGAGACATTGTTCAAACTAACAAATTTTATATGACAAATTTGTGTTAACTGCCCGTATGTGAGCAAGGTAATGTCATATTACACACATATATGGGCGTGATGATTCCATTATACCCATATATGGGCAGATCATATAGTGTAAACAGAACTTTAGACTCAACATTCAATGTTGATCAGGTTTTATTTTGTATGCATGTGTTTTCTGATCAGAAATCATTTTCATGCCTCAGGTTGAAATTGGCATAGGACAAGGATGTGCTACTGCAGACAATTACATGAAATTAACTTTGAAAATTCTCTAATCAATAAGAGACATACTAACTTGCACGTCTACTTCAATTCATTTGATTTAGCTAGTGCGCTAACAATACTGTGCTCTGATATCGCTCTTCCATGCGTTGCAATCTAAAGATTATTTTTTCTCAACTCATTGTAGGTCGCATCTTATGTGATAGATAATTAGCATATGTTCCCGAAGTACTCATCGTCTCAGATCCAAAACTCACTAATTTAAGCTCAAACATTGTATGCAAGTATTGAAAGATATTAGTGTTAATGATATTGCCCATGAAGTTTATACTAATACCTGTAATGTACGAGTGCCTGTTGGTGGATATAAAAGAAGTAACAAAAAGTATAATAAAATATTTACAACTGTGTAATTGAATGTTTATCTCGCAGTGCTGTTGCTGATTGTAGCCATGTGATGCATGTTGCGAGTCCATTTCCAGCAAGCAATCCTGCCAACGAAGATGAAGTCATTAGACCAGCAGTCGATGGCACGATGGTAGTTTTGAAGGCTGCGGTTGCAGCTAAGGTCAAACGAGTTGTTCTTACAAGTTCTTTGGTAGCTATCAGTAAGTTTCAATATTTTTTCAATATTACTTCAACATTGTCAAAGTGACAGTTTAATGTTATTTAAGAACATGAATTTTTATAAAAATTGTAAATTTTCATTTGCTATAGCTTTTCATTTTGTTGGTCAGCGCAGCGCTGGTGGTCATAAGAAATCAGATGTAACAGACATTGCGAAGTACCCAAAGTTTATAAAATAATAACTAAAACCATAAAACGTATGGCACGCATAGACTAATAATTGATGGCTGTACTCGCAACTAGTATCGGATTGTCGATGCCACAGTAAAGATCAAAGGACTGTACGCATGCGCTATGTTTGCGAGTGAAGGTGTGCGTCCTTTTGTTGAATTGCCTTTTGGTGTTACAAAGTTTTTTTAGGGCTAATTTTAATTCTCTCTAATAAGTATTTTTTGTACAACCTTACTATTCACATTTTTGCTTTTACAGGTGATATATAAATGTATCAATTTTTAATTTTTAATTTTTTTGTTATCATCATCATACTTATCATCGTCATTAACATCATGATTATTATCATGATCATGATGGACCACCAGATATCATGAAAAATTGTCAAATTATTATTCATATCAATCTTTCTTTATTGCAACTTCAAGTTGAATTAACATATTCTTCAACAGTATAAAAAATATTAAACAAAAAGTGACCGCACAAACATCAAGAATAAATCACGTTAGACAAATACAAGAAAAAGCGGGGAAAAAGGACCATTAAAAAAAATTAAGTTAATTACTAAATTAATTGTAAAACTAAAATTAAGAGATAACTATCATACAAAGATCACTAATTTAAGTTAATTATTCAATTATTACACAATTTTGACATTAAAAATCAATATAATTAGAAATTATTATTTTCTCTCCAGTCTGTCATCACCATCCTACCTCAATCATCAGCCATAAAGGGTCATGAAGGTCAATGCCTTTCTTATTCTTCCATCTACTCCAATGCTATCCAGAACCATCTGGATACAACCACTTTTTCGTTTTCTCCCCTACTTTAGCCTACCCTTTCATCTAAATAGCAGTGCCAGCAATTGCCTGATTGCCTGGTTCAAGGTCCCTGACACAGGGTCAAAGTTCCCAATAAGATGTCCAAATTAAAAGGGGTCCAAGTTCTTCTGAGCAAATTTTAGAAATAGGAATTTCTAGATGCCCTGAAATGTCACTCTCCGGCTGTAAAAATGCTTTTTTGAATGTTCCCCAATGAAATAAGTTTCTTCCCCGATGGGGATCCAGGGCTTAAATGCCACTGTTAAAATTAATGTAAAGTATGCAATTGTATTTTTTTTTTTATTTGCAGCTTCTTTCTCAAAATCAAGATCAGTTTCTGAGGAAGACTGGAACACCGGAACTAAAGAGTCAGCTTATAATAAGAGTAAGACGATGGCCGAGAAGGCAGCTTGGGATTACATCAATGGTTTACCAGGTTTGTTTCTGATCACACCTCATTCAGAATTTATGAAATAATTTTAATAGGTGCTATATAAATGTATTAATTTGCTATAATCAATATACTTATCATCATCAACTTAATAAGGATATCATAATAATTGTTTTTGTGCTGTAGAAACTAGACCTGTAGAAAAAAGCAAAGTATTTGAAAATTCTGTAAAAAAAAAAAGAAAGAAACCATGATTCATTAGAAGAACATAATGCAGAAAACATAATGTGCATATCGGTGTCCATCAATTTGAACTTAAGGTTTTTCACCTATTTTTTTAACCTTAATGAGCAAACCAAACCAAGTTTTTAATGCCCGGCGTACGCAGCTTATGAGATTCTAAGAGACTGTGACACAATGACCCATTAGTTGCTCAGGCTTTGTGGGAAGGGGTGGGGGCGGAGGGTGGTTTACCCCTACACTCCCCTATGCCCTCCTGTTAACCCTGCTTGTACTTATTCAGATGATTCTAAGATTGAGCTTGCTGTGATCAATCCATCACTTATTATTGGTCCGTACCTGACGAATACCAAAGGAACTAGTGCCTCCATGGTAAGCCAAATGTTAAACCGTGAGATGTCTCTACTTCCTGCAATTAACTTTCCTTGTGTTGATGTTCGCAATGTTGCTGCTGCCCATGTCCGTGCGATGACCTATGACACTGTAGTTGGTAAGCATTCTAAACGTTTAGTTTTACAAATTGATAATTTTTAAGTTTATTTATCATGGGTACATATGCAATTGCTTATATTTGAGCCTTTCATTATTCGCTTCCTTCTTTATCAGCCAAATTTCTCAAACCATACCCATACATTATGACCCAACCAAAACCTAAAACCTAAACCAAAACCTAGTTTTAACAAATCTTGAAGGTAAGCAGTGCCTTTGATCATTTTCGAAAACGGTGCATTATAATTTTTGACTATCAATTATCATGAACCCTATCCTCCTCCTTTATCTCCCGAAACTAGAAGCCTGTCTTAGTCATCTATTTTAACTCCTTCGTATCAACCTCCATTAAAACCCACCTAGCTCCTTCCTTTTTATTCCAGTCTATCCCTCTCCCTTATCATTTAACTCTATATCCCACTTTTTATCCCTATCTTTATTATTCAACCCTCATCACCTCTATTATCATATCACCTCAACCTATCTCCTACTCCTACTCATTCAATATTATATTCTGCCCTGTTTGTTGTACATTAAAGTAATATAGATTGATAATGATTGATCAGCCCTAGCTTCCCCTCTTTTATCAAAAACCCCATCCTTCACACTTATGATTATCCCCCTAGTCCGCTAATCCCCTCCATTATCAACCAATACTATCCCTCAGTCAATTTTCTTCCCTTTATCAAGCCCTAGACCTCATCTAACACTTATCTATGGCTGCATTCAGACCTTAGAGATACGTCAGTATCGTGCGACATTCGTACGATGCAGTGATAGCCCGGCTTAATGTGTCCCAAACTAGAATACTACAAACAAAGTACAAAAATATAGCATGATATTAATGACTGTGTTGTTGAACTCCACTACAGGTAAACGACACATAATGGCCACTAAAAACATGTCGATGCAAGATGTCTCTATCGTTCTAGCTGCAGAGTTCAAGCCTCAAGGTTGGATTCAGTTGTTTCTTTGTAGCTTTTTATTTTATTCAGTTATCACAGCATCTAGTATCTAATTTTATGTTATACAATTAATCTGTTTTTTGTTTTTTTTGTTATTCAAATTCAAATTCATTTTATTAAACTTCTCTATAGCAGCAAAATTGCTGAGGGATTACAAACATTATTTTAGACTACCTAAACCTAAAGGATTAAAAGCATGCATCAGTAAATTATAAATGTACAGATCAAGCAAATGTTGAATTGCGAGAGATTACACTTTAAAACTACCTGAAACCTAAAGGATTATATAGAGGAATGAAAAAGAATATGTACAAATCAATAAATGCCTAAAAAGTAAAAGACGACAACAAAGGTAAAAGGATTAAAAAAAAAACAATAAAATGTTATACAATTAATTAGTTTAGTGTATAAGTTTTTTTATATCTGTTGTATTCGATAATGGATTTAAAGCAGTTTTCTGTTTGGGTTTCAAGCTCTTCGAAAGATTGTACTTTACCCTGCCAAATAAATATTATTGTTATTATTAATTAATAATTTATTTTCTACATTAATTCTTTAAGTATAATATAATTTTGTAACAGATTAAAACTTTGGAAAAATCTACCTACCTATCCTTAGGATCTTTTGCAAAGAAAAGTGTTTTAGTCATATCATTATCTAACATGTATTATTATATAAAATATTATTATTATTGTTTGTTTGTTTCATTTATTTCTCCATACACATACATACATAAAAAGAACTCAGAATAATTATACATTACAAAAGGAGGCCAAAGTAAGTTGAAAATGAAACTTAAAGACATGGTCTCCAGTTAAAAGTATATAAAAGGTCAATAAATATATATAACAGTATATAAA